TGTTGTTCACCGTCAGTAAGATGTGAGCAGTGAGGTATCAATGATTTGGTACTAACCTTTGCGTCCACCCCAAAGGTAAGTGCCTCATAAAGAATGAGGACCTCCTTGGAGTACTTGGACTTAGCGGTACCCCTTACCCGCTTGGTAATGCGGGCTTCACCAGGCACCTTCGATTTTGCTGCACTGGTAGGGGCCGGCGCTCCGATGGCTGCCGTAGGAGGCTTGGGCGCTCCGTCATGGGCAGCCCCGGTGGGTGGAGGGACTTCCGCGGGTGACTCTGGCTTCGGGCCGGTAAATTTTGTGCGGGCCATTGTGGTTTTTGTGGGTATCTTCTGTTTGCAGGGCGATCCGATTGATGTTTGGATGCAAGTGGTTGAAGAGGTAGAGAGGAAAGGAAGTGAGAACGGACAAAATGGATGTTTTTATAGTCGCTGTTCTTGGTCCGATCTTGGTGTTCTTGGTCCCATCTTCCACTACAGGAAGGAACAGTTCAGATGGTTTTAAGTTAGTGACGACTAAGTGAACTCCATTGTACTGCTGAGCGCTGCTCTCAGGCAATTGTAGCAGAACGGCACAGCTGGTAATATTCTAAGAGCGTTTACATAAGAGGTCAAAAACCACGCCATGGTTGTAATTGTTGCTTCACTAGTTCTCACTTCAAAGAGGCCGTTGAGCCGCTGTGTCCCGATCTTTTGCTTCCGCTGAATTATTGCAGGCTATGCGGGTGAAGACTATGCGGGTGACTCAGGATCCCAATCTGGCTCTTCACGGTTTGTGTGTCGCGTAGGTGAAGCTGGTACGGTCTTGTTCCCAGCTCTTGTCGCCGGAATGTTCTTCGCCTTGGTGGAAGCAGAGCACGGTGGCCTTGTTCAAACGATCTTTAAGCGTGGCTGTCCTCTTGGCTTTTATCATACTAGTATTTAACTTGGGTTCAGGTTGGGTGCCCCCGTTGTGGGACTTCCAGAGCAGAGTGTATCTGGTCTTGAGGTCTGTGCGGAGTGGCGGAGGCGTCTTGTAGTCGGGGCTTGACGATATGGAACCGTGCAAAACGGACAGCGTGGTGGATCTGTATAGATTTAGCTATATTGGGCAAACCTTTGCGTGTCAGTAACAGCAGTAGTGGAGGCACAGTATAGAGTGTGCGATATGGTGCGGAGCGTAGGACTAAAACACCATCCGGCCGTCCTAGCACAGGACTAATACAATGGTGTTAACTCTCACGGTCGCAACATTTCAACGTTCAACACTACGTCAGGAATGCACAACATGCACCATTGCAACGGCTTTTCAATTGTTACTGCGCATCGGTCTGTTCTCGTAATGCTATGGAGCTGCATTTACAGCGTTGCCATGAAACTTAGAAGTAACTCCCAGTCCTTGTTACATCCCCCCTGAGATACTTCCAATTGGCAAACATCTGTCCCAACGCTACTCAGCAAATCAATCATCAGTCTGGTCCAGAATCTCGTCACAACCCTTCATAGCAAGCTTCTCGGCCTGTTTGGCGGCATCCTCAACGCTAAGGCGCTGAGTGATCTTCCCCATGAGGACAAAGTGGCGCTTGTAAACTGTCTCCACATCAATCCCAACATTATTGGCGATGTTCTGGAAATCGATTGGAGCCTAGAACATTAGTTTGATTATTGAATGACCAGGTCGGGGTTTCCTCACAGTCCGGGTTCCGTAAAGAATGGTCTCATAAGGAATACGGGTGTCTTCATGAACGGTATCTTTGCAGTCCACTTCTTTTTCGATGCGCTCGTCCATCTGGGCCATCTTGCGAAGCTTGGTGGGGGAGGGAAGGCTCTCGTCCTCATCATCCTTGCGCTTCTGATCGGGTTGCGAAGCGCTGGCCTTGTTCTTAAGGGACGTGTTCTTGGTGCGTGCCATGTTGACAGCTAATCAGAGGTTGTTTGGGATCAATTGAGGGTGATGTATGTTTTTTTGAGATGGGAAAGTACAATCGAACCAAGTCGAATGTACTTAGGAGTTGTAAGAGGTGAGGAGGAAACAACTTAAGAACGAGTGTGAAGTCATATAAATAAGTACCAAGTACGCTAGCCGTATTGGGACATTCAATGGCAGCTCTGGATTCTACAGTGTCTTTTCAAATGCATTTCTGGACTCTCCTGACTCTGGTCACGTCAGTTACTTGTTCTAAGTTCTATTTGCCGATACAACTACTACATAGTTGGAATCAATGAAGGCCCCGCTTTATTCAAACATTGCATGGCGCTGAAGCTATCTTCTATTATTGAACCTGGGATTTACCGACCATTTCGCATTGTGAGGGTGATCATCAGTCAACAATGCTGTCACAAAGAGAAAGACAGACTTGCGACGAATAGATAAAACTTCAGACGAATCAGATAGCCTCAAGCAATATGCTTTGGGTGTTCCTTTGCTGTATAGTCTCCCTTGACGAGTATTCGTGTATTCGGGGGGACACTCGGCTGTATGCGATTCCTTTGTTGGGTCCAGACTTGAGAACTTATGGCGTGAATGGCGTTGTTATTCGCCACTGTTCTTCATGGTGGCCATAATCCTTTGTGATGAAGTGGGCTCTTTATTCGATCTATACAATCCAGATACGTCCGATGTTGGGGCACGGTGTGTCACGTGCGTGTCACGTGGTGCGAGTCGACAATGCAATAGCACAAAGGAGTAGCATCCCTGCGCAAGTGCGTGATTCACAACACTGTCCCATGCGAGTTGAGCCAGTGTACGACCAACATTTCTTTGTGAATCTGTGAGGATCGCATCTCTCAGATCTCAGTGTTGCCTATACTCCTATGCTGCTCAGTTGAATGTGAAAAGGTCTCGATATCACGTTGTGCTCAGGTCTGACCTGCATGTGTAGAGGCGTGGGATTCAAGTTGCAGAGCACGAGATCAAGATGCCATCAGAAGCATAATCATGACTTATTTCCATCAGGTAATGTCACAATCGCGTGCAGGTAGCCTCTCGCAACAACCAGGCAAGCCGTATTGATGAGGTCACGTGGAACAGGTAGCCCTTCATAGAGCATAATCATGATTTCCATCAGGTATTGTCACAATCGCGTGCAGGTAGCCTCTCGCAACAACCAGGCAAGCAGTATTGATGAGGTCACGTGCAACAGGTAGCCCTTCATAGAGCCTTTACCTTCCAAGCAATGCGCCCTGCACCTATTCGGCATCCATCAATTCTTTCAATCGATGATCCCTTCGGTGTCAACAGCCTCAGAAACGCCAGCTTCTTGTTGTCCCTCCACTGTAAGCACATCCCCACCATCTGGCCTCGATGCCATACCTTCCACATCCTTGCTGGGCTTCGATTGGCCACTTCGGTTTGGGCATCCCGTTGTCCACGCGCGCGAGCCGCGGCGTTTGGTAGGAGGCATTTTGTCCTTGGCCTCGGGTTTGCTCTGAGGCTCGGATTAGTTTTTGGTGTGCCGATTTGGGTTTGAGGTTTGCGTTGCGTGGTCATGCAGAGCCAAGAAGGCATTTGCAAGGTTGATGTATGATGCGTGGTGGTGCGTTAATGGAAAAACAACCATGGGCTCTGCATCAGGAGATCTATTCAAGGTGAACCAAGATACAGCTACAATTCCTTTGTAAATCTTTGAGGCTCTCAGGTCTCAAATCCTACGTTTTTCTCTATTCTTCTGAGCTGCTCAGTTCTCAAAAAGTCATTGGATTGACATGAGTAATTTGATAGAGCACTAGAGACATGGGATTCAAGTTGCGAAACACAAGATCAAGATACCATCAGGTAATGTCACCATCGCGTACAGGCAGGGTTTCAAAACAACTAGGCAAGCAGTAGGCATCTTCGCGCATCTGCAGGGGGAAAAAACCACCTATTCCTTGTCTCCTTTGGCGGCGCCCTCGTCACTGTCATCAAGTGCATCCTGCTTGTTGTCACCTGACTTGGAAGGCTTGGCCTTTAGTCCTTCCATCCCCATGGGATCAGCAGGGAGGTACTTGTTGCGCAGTGTACAAATACGGTTGGAGGCACTCTTGCGAGGCATGCCAGTCGCGTCCGCGAGGGCAACATAGTCTGGCTGTATTGATCGTCAGTATTGAGCTCGATTGTAAGGATGTGAACTTACAGGGGACTTGAAGGAGTTCACAGCCAGCATAAGGAAGGTGGCGTCGTCCACGAGCGAGGGGCGGCGGGTGTTCACGCGACGCTTGGTGGGAGATTTCATGATCTTGGCGTCGGATTTGGCCTTGAGAGGGGATTTCGCCTTGGGATCAGCCATTTTGATTGAATTTGGTTGTTTGGAGCTTAGGTTGTTTGCGCTTCACAGGAATGTGGGAAAAGGGAGAGATGCGTGAAGGAAGATCGGAATTTGTGGTGCTGCATTCATGGGCAAACATATATGGAGACCTCAGAACTTTTTACATCGTGAACTTTTCAGCTTCCAGTTAAACACAGCGGCCACAGACCCTCGGCATCTTCATGTTTTGCACGGCGCGTTGGATTGAGGATCACCAATGAAGATCTCGTAAAGTTAACCTTTTATACATTAGCGAGGCGCTAATTTACTACCCGGCGCTACCCGGCGCTAGCGCCGGGTAGCGAACTCTAAGATGCCCCACTCCAAAGTTTCTGGCACGTGGCTCGAACATTGGCCACGTGGTCCTTTTATCTACATATATGCTCGAGGATATCTGATTCTAGGAGCCCTCTCTTGAGACCTGGGTTATTTTTTTGCCCATTCCCAAGAGTAAACGATTGATCGATCACTGTCTGCTCGAGTCAACCTAGAGCCTGAAGACTCCTGACAACGACGCAGAGGTAGACTTGAAGAACTGAGTGTAACGCCAATATACTATGGTTTGGGCAATTGTGATTCAAGTATCTTGACTCTCTCCTGGTGCGAAATTCGGGACCAGCTGCAGGCACCTCTCGAGCGCCCCACACCTCCGTGATTGCTGCTGCCTGCGCACAACACCATCCATCTCTTTACATCTCAACACCGGAGAGTCTCTCTGAAGCCGCATACCTACATCATGCATCTCGACCACAAGATACCATGGAACACCGCTTCCGCCCACTACGACCTCCTCAGAAAGAATCCTCGCTTCCCGCCACGAACCGATATGTTTGTCCGCAGGCTTCATACCCAATCCAATGATCTGAACCACTTCACCCGCGTGCTCATCAACACAATTCGCGAATTCTCTACAACAGAGAGACAGAAGTACCCTGAAAGCGCAGAGGAGTCGGCATTGTCCAAAGAACTTTTCTCCGCTGAGCTTCTCACCTACGCGGAGCGCAAATTCGGACTTGGCCCACATACCACAAACTCTGTGGAACATAATCCTCTCTCGGCAGAGTACCAGCATCTAAGTCACTGGATTGATCGGGCGAATGATTGGGAAGAGGGAGGATTGCATTATTCAACCGGCCATGCTGATCTGGCCGACGCTGTGAAGATGCTAATCATCATTGCGTCTTCCGTGAGCGGAGATTCATCAGATGAAGAGAAGAACATGGAAAAGGAAGCTATGACCGCCCTACTTCGTCTTTCTGGACACTCTCAAGTTCCCCTCTCTGATCTTGATTCGTTGCACTGGGGACACAGTTTCGGGGTCAATCACGTCGCAGACTTCGCATTGGAAATCTATCTTCTGCTCAACATTGTTGATGTAGTTCTGGCCCGGGATGATCAAGGGACTGGACTCGGAAATCGTGTCTCAATGCTTGAAATGGATTCCTTTGAACGCTTTACCCGCAGAGCTCTTTGTGATTACGACTATCCTGCTCAGAATATTCCTCACCGGAGGTTTTGGAATGCTCATGGTGTCAATGATGATTGGGCCGCTTGGTCTTTTAATCCTGATGAGGAATCTGTCGCTGGTACTGAACGAGCAGCCGTGACGGATCCCCTGACGCGTCGGGAAGGAGTTGCTCCTGAAGTCCGCAGTGGGCTGAAGGAGTACCTGAAGATGTGTTTTGGGCTGATGTATCGGTATGATGTGTTATTGAGGGAATGGTACGGAGAGAAGGTGGCGGATGAATACTGGGAAGAGACCATTCTTCGGACTTTGTGCAAGCTGGGTGGAGCCAACAGGCTAGGATAGTTTTGTATCGATCAATCTCCAAGGTATCAATGAGAAAAAACGGAAATAAGGAAATATGCAAACACAGCGACTCATTTGAACCTGCAGTCTTGTATTTGGAATGTAACACTAACCTTGAGTACACGATCTATGAAATATGTATGGCTTTGGAGTCCATCCTGACGGATCATGATTTGGTAGGATACAGCGGCCAGGCTCGATGCCTGAACTAGATGGCTTAAATTGGTGCCTCATAGTTGATGCCTCATAGTTGATGCCTTAGAGTTGTTGATGCCTTAGCTTGATGCCTTGGATTCGTGCCTGTATTTGCCTGATTTTTGCCTTAGTGCCTGACTTCTGATTTGGGCGGTTCACGAGAGCAAACACCCGGGCATCTGGGCACAGCCCTCTAGAGCTCTCGCCACGTCACCATCGGGCATACGATAGGACTAAAGTCGATGTTGGAGCAGGAATTACCCCGCCCATGGGCGGTGCTAAGTCCAAGGTCCGATTTTTCAACAGCAGTCTCACAGGCATGGAGCGAACGACCTATTAAAACAGCAATCATCACGGTCGCATATGTTTTGTCTTGGCAAGGCAACATATTACCGCTGCGGTCCATGTTGTTAGCCCTGGGGGCAGTGCTGGAGTTGACGATAAACCTCACTTGTCGCTGGCACACACATCAACATCCCACTTGATCCTCCTCGGTGGTAGGGACTCTCCAGAACAACAACAAAATGGAACCTGCTGGACTGACCGTTGGAATCCTAGGACTGGTAGGGCTCTTCAGTTCTTGCTTGGATGTTCTGGAGAGGTTCGAATCCTGGAAGGATTTCAACAATGACTCGCGCGCACTCTCAGCTCGATTCGAGGCCGACAAGCTTCGTTTCGAAAAATGGGGTCAGACAATGGGTGTTGATCGAAAGAATTTGTCAGATCACCACCACGAGATCCTCGATTACCCACGGGCCTTGGCAGCGGTCAAAAGGCTTCTGTCGGTCATACGTGATATTGCAAGCGACTCAGAGATCAGTTTTCCGTCCACAAGCTCAGGGCCTGATTCACGGCCTGCCAAGGGTGGAAGTTCCTCCAAAGCTACCGGTCATACAAGTGAATCCACAAGGCAGAGGCTAAAGTGGGCAATGAAAGATAAGGCAAAACGCATAGCCCAGGTCGAACAATTCGGGCAGCTTGTCAATCAACTGTACAATTTGGCTCCTTTGACTGGACCTAGCAGTTGTGGTGAGACATTTGACAGAGATGGTAAGCGGAATTCTATTTCCCTCTTGACTTACCTCGGGACACATTCTCAATGACATAACTAGAGAACAAGGGAACTTGGAAAACTGACGTGAAAGAGATGCTGAACAAAATTGGGGAAGACATTGAAGGTTAGTCTCGAGGCATCTCCCAAACTTGTACTTTGTCTGATGAGCGAAGCCGAAACGAAACGGGACGTGAAGAAATGGCTGATGGGTCGCCATTCTCCAAATGAACTCTTTGCCGACTTCACCGAGAAGAGGTTGGATGGCACCTGCGAGTGGATCCTAACCAAAGGATCATTCGTCGACTGGTCTTCATCCGACTTTCCCGCTGCAGCAGCAAAGCTTCTGTGGATCAACGGGCCTCCAGGGTTCGGAAAGTCCACCCTGTGTGCCAGACTGATCAAGCATCTGACAGACACGATCAAAGAGCCTATTGCTCATTTCTTCTTTTCCTCCGATTTTGAGACTCGGGCGGATCCTTTTGTCGCGATACGATCCTGGATCTCTCAAATCTCTCATCATCCAACGGCGTTCAAGCTCATCCGTGAAAGATGGGCAACACAGTGCAACCAGACAGCAACTCGAGCAGATATCATCGAGCTTCTCCAAGCGATTTCTCAAGCTATTCATGGGTGCACATTCGCTCTCGATGGCTTAGATGAATGTACTTGGAGCCGGGGTGGGGACGACTCCGTCACTGTGTTCCTGGAAACAATCAAGAAGGCGACCAAAGGTACAGCCACCCGAATCCTGGTTGTTAGTCGCAGCGAACCTGATATCAGACATGGTATTATCAGCCCTTCTCCTGGGACTACGGTGTTTCAACACAAGATTTCACTTGAGGATGTCAGCTCGGATATACAGCTGTACTCTATGAGCATCGTGGAAACCCGACTTCCTCGCAAGACCGAGGCGACGAAGCTCCACATTTCGCAAAAGATGGCCAGTGGATGCAATGGACAGTTCCTCTGGCTGAAGCTGCAGCAGGATTCTCTCCGCAGTTGGAAGAATCAAAAGCAGTTGGAGGATACAATTGACAAGACTCCAGCTGGACTCGAATTACTGTACGAACGGAATTGGAGAATGATGTCAAGATTCCCCAAAAGAGAACGCGCTCGGGCCTTTGCCCTGCTGCGTTGGACGGCATTTGCTTTCCGACCTCTGACTGTCCGAGAACTCACCGAGGCCTTGCTAATCGATGAAAAGAAAAACGAACTGCTACTCGATGAGATGCCGGATACCATCGATGAAGACTATATCGACAGTGAAATAGTCAGCCTCTGCGGGTCTCTCCTTGAGGTTCGCACCTCCCAATCTGAATTGCACGTAGGATTGCGGACGGTACATCTTGCACATTTCTCTGTGAAGGAATATATTCTTTGCAACATGCCCTTAAATTTGACTATCCCGACCTTCAAACCGTTGAGCGAGTCTGTTGAAAGCATTTATTTCGCCAAGAGGTGCCTGTGCTATCTCAATATCCCAGAGGTGTGGTCGAACGGCTCTACTCTGCGTGATGATCAGGTCCACGGATCATTCTTGGATTATGCAGCCGGTCATTGGTACAAATACTATGCAGTGGACGAACTGAATGACAGCAGAGCGGTGGGCCACATGAATGCATTCTTTGATTCAAGCAACCCAGCATGGCATTCTTGGAGAAGATGGATGGAACACAACGACAAAGTCCTGGCGATGATGAACGTGGGAAGCAGAAGCATTCTGAGAAGTCCACTATTTTATGCAGTATTGGTTCACTTGCCTGACACCGTGCGGTACCTAAACGAGAAGAAGGGTTTCCAGCCCAACGAACATGTCTCGTTGGGCTGGACAGTTCTGACAGTCGCTTGCTACCGGGGTGATCTTGAGACAACCCAGGCTCTTCTTGACGCAGGGGCCAATGTCAATACTGTCGACGATGATGGATGGACGCCACTCCACTTCGCTTCAGCAGGCGGACATACCGATTTGGCCAAACTCCTGCTTACAGCAGGTGCAGATACCAGTCCGTCAGCTAAAACAGGATTGACATACAACAATGGTCACCACGATACACTCCATCCATCACTGCATTGGAAAAGATGTTCATATCCTTGTGTGACCCTGCCAATTGTCCCATACATCTCTCTAGCCAGGGCCCAGCTTTCACCCCAAGAGCGCGTTGAATTCACATTCAAAATGTTACCCCAAAGATGTGACTCCAATCATTCTCTCCGCCTCTGGGTTCAGGTCAGAATCAGGCTTCTTAAACTACGCTCATTAAAATCCGAAACAAGCTCAAAGAAGATGGAGCAATGTCGCTTTACCACATCCGAAATCAGTCACGAAGCCCACGCCGAGTCTGACCCCGACTCAGACTCCAACCTCTCCCATACATCGCGATCCGGTGCTGATCTCGCCCCATCCATATTATGGACTGAGGATGCTACAGACTGGTCATTTTCATTTAATCTCAAGTGGGCTTTGGGCAGGCTATCCGAGTGGATGAATGGAATTAAAGCTGATACGCTCTGGCACAATCTACTCACAGATCCTAGTCACTTGCTGGATTTAGTCGCGATGTACGTCATGTATTCGTACAAAAGCATATGGCGGGCGTCTCACCTCCAGAAGTCTCTAATATGTAAAATCTTTAATTCAGATTTGAAATAGCCTCGATACAACTCATTTATCCATTGCAAGGTTCTGAATACGATTTTGGCATTGTCCGGTATACGTGAAGAACTCAATTGAATTCAATCTAACGAGCCTGCGTAGAATTCTAAAATCATGCAGACAAAAGCATATACTGTCTGAAACAAACTCATAACAAATTCATCTTATACATTCGCCACACTTCCACCTCTCATTCATATCCACAGGCAGTGGATATAGATTTACTGAGAGGGAATGGGAAGGTTGGTGGGAAGGTGATCAGGGAAAGCAGGGGGAGTAATAGCGGGCAGCTGGCGGCCCTCGAACTCATCACGCTTAGGAAGGCCCAGACCCTCAGGGAGCTTGGGGAGACCAGTAGGCTTGGGCAGATCGGTAGGAAGGTGGAAGGGAATGTCAGTGGGGAGATGGAAGGGGAGATCGGTGGGGAGGTCGAAGGGGAGGTCGCTGAGGGCGCGCTTCTCGAACCCGCTGGGGGCTCCGGCTAGGGGAGCTGTGGGTGTGGGCTTCTCCTGCTCTCCTTCACCCTGGTCTTTGCCCAGGCCTCCCAGGCCTCCCAGGTGGGGGAGGGGGAGGTTAGGCAGACCGGTTGGGATGGGGAAGGGGAGGTCGGTTGGGAGGCCGGTGGGGATTGAGAAGGGGAGGTCGGTGGGGATGCTGAGGTCCTCGTCACGCTTGGGAAGGTCCAGACCCTCTGGGAGCTTGGGGAGACCAGTAGGCTTGGGAAGGCCGGTGGGGAGGTGGAATGGGAGGTCTGTTGGGAGACCTGTTGGCAGCTTGAATGGCAGGTCCGAAGGAATGGGGAAGGGAACATCAGTTGGGATACTGAGGTCCTCGTCGCGCTTCAAGGGAAGACCGGTTGGAAGAGGGAATGGCAGGTCGCTTGGGAGACCGGTTGGCAGCTTGAATGGCAGGTCCGAAGGAATGGGGAAGGGAAGATCAGTTGGGATACTGAGGTCCTCATCGCGCTTCAAGGGCAAGCCTGTAGGCAGGCTGAATGGCAGGTCAGATGGGAGACCTGTAGGCAGCTTGAAAGGCAAGTCTGTGGGAATCGGGAAAGGCAGATCAAGGCTGCGCTTATCGTTCTCAGACTCAGCAGGGTCTGAGTGCTTGGGGAGGTCGGTGGGAGGTGGAGGAGGAGGTCCATCAGGGACACCTGTTGGCTCCTCGCGCTTCTCATTGCCACTGGGAGGAGTGATGGTGTAGGGCAGGTGGTCGATGCCGCTGAAGACGGGGATGGGGAGGTTGAAGTCACGCTGCTCGACCTCGCCAGTGGGCTTGGGAGCGTCGGTGGGAGGAGGTCCAGTTGGGGTTGGTGCGTCGGCTGGAGGAGGACCAGGAGGACCCTGGGGAAAACCCTGGGGGAGGGCGAGGGCGCAGCCCATCAAGCCCATGGCGGCGAAGCCGGTGTAAGCGTATCTCATTGTGATGAGGGTGGTTGATTTAAGGTGAAGGGTCTGATTTAGAGTAGCTGTCTGGATATAGTGGTTTCTATATCAAACAAGTCCGATAATCCAGCAGAGACTCTTGGGGTTAGTGGCGTCTTTATAGCGCCGTGTCAACAATCCAAATCTTGGGTGATGACGGATGCCGTGGTCGAGCCATGACTTCAAATATCGTACTGCGTATTGATATCGCAAAGGATGCGTGCTTTGACGGAGCCATCCTTGAAACGGTTGCGGGTCGTCGATCTTATCCAGGTGGATCATAGGGCCAGGAACCAAGTTCCTGGACGATCCAGGTACAGGCCATCGGCAATTGGCACAGAGTGCGCAATTTTTCCTGGAGCATGCCTACTAGCACGCTCAACGGTGAGTAAATTGTGGTTCTCTGTCCATCAAGGCAAGTATCGACGGTTCTCATGGGCCGTCGAACGGCCAAAAGCCGTGACTAAAGCATGGTAGCACGCCGATCATCACGTTAACTGGTGAGAATATGGCGGTGATCCAACATCTCACGTCCGAATGGCCAACGGTCCCTTCCCGAACAGGCTTATGCCCCTGGTAATGGAGCCGGGCCGAAATTGAGGCTTTCCCTTGAATCGTCACTCCCTGTATGTATGGCGCGGGCCTCAAAAACGAGGCCATCATCCGTTCGACGTTCCCTGTCTCGAGGACTCGTCACAGGGGAAGACTCGCGTTTCAGTATATTCGCCACGAATTCGACGGGGCTGATACTTGTTCTGTCTTCACGTTGGGACTCTCCGAAGTGGACCCGGCACAATTGGGAAAAAGAGTGACAGGGCCGATGGTGCGCCAATGAACACCCGCTGATCGGCGCCTCCTCGGCCCCAAGAAATGGTCCTGGGTTCTCATGTGGTGAATTCCACAATATTCTGCAGACCTTCGATCGGCCTTCGTTAACTGCCCGGTACGGAGCACGAATACGAGTATGGAGCACTTCGCTGCCGTCCTTGGAACCTGCAAGTATGATGCGTCTTCATACATCTGCGACAACGTTAATTGCCCCCACCCCCAAATGTTCGATAGATCAAAGACTGAACAATTCAAGACGCACGTCATTCAATCTAAGCTGATGCATCAATTGTGGGCAGTTGGATATCAGATTATCCGACCTTGGGGGCCACGGGTATTCTGAGTCCGGTTAAGGTTCGGGAAGCGGATTGCCACGCCCCAAAAATGGGCCACGTTTCGGCTACATATGCGAAACATGGAATCAGTGCTTACATGTATGCCTTTGATGTAATAATGCCCGAGCTCTAATATGTACAGAGATGTCTGATATAGTTCAACGCCAAAGGGAATTCAAAATGCATAGAATGCAAAACCCGAAAATACGAATCAGATGCGACCAGGTGAGATTGGGCGAGTGACGTGAGAGATCCACTCGGGACCCGGTCATTGTTAGTTTCGTTTTCGCAGGGAATCAGGCGAGGTCGGCACCGTCGGCGTCATGTTGAGGAGATGGCGGGATGATGGGGCTGCCATATCTCGTGCTGGGTAGACCTTGGTTGGCCGAGTTGAGTTGTAGGGGAGACTCGAGGAGAAGGAGGATCGCCGGGAGCGGACAGGGCTACGAGGTCCGTGGTGCACTAGTATTGAATCCGATGGCGTTCGGTGGCCGCGGCGGGGAAGAGTGTATGTCCGGTCTTCGTCGCTGCTGGAGTCGATGTCGAAGATAGAGTTATTAAATGTAACCGATGAGGTGCGTCTATGGGGTCGCGGTCGGATTGAATCGCATGAATTCTCAAGGGAGACGGTACTCCGCGCCTTGCGAAGTTCATTGGGGGAATGATGGCCCCGCCTTTGTTCCAGTTCGTGGCTGTGAGATCCCCTTCGGCGCCGGTAACGGCCTCGGCCGCTGTCAGCCGAGTCGATGGAGTGACGGATGGGGTTGGGCATGCGCAGGTCAACCTGGCTCGGGCTGAAGGCGACCCGGGCCCGCATTTGCTGGACCGCGCGGTCGAGAGCCAGCTCGATGGCGCAGTGGTTGCGCATCCGGCTGAGACGCGGCCAGGTTGCTCGCTCGCCGCTCAGACATGCTGAGAGCATGAACTCCGTGGTGGGATTTTCAAGGAGTCGTGGAAAGTTGGAGGAGTTCAGCTCGGGGTATATATTAATGTCACCATGGTACTTTTGATTGACAATGGAGGCGAACTTGGTCATTGATGTTGGGAAGACGCCGAGTTCGGATAGTACATTCATTCGGTGCAATACTTCGTCCTTGGCAAGATGGGTCATAGTGCTCATCCACCGTGGGACGAAAGATGAACCATCGTCTGCTTCATTCCTGGGGCCTGTTTCCTTTGGTAGGAATGGCACCACATGAGGGTTGACTTGAGAGACGATGAAGTGATTGACATTGAACATTTCAGATAACCGCGTCATGGGCAGATCGCCATCGACGGAGCCATCAATATATTGTTTATGAAGGTCATTCCACGGGACCGCTTCTCCCGTTAATGGATCTTTAGCCATTAGAGTATATGGTCTAAAGACAAAGGGCACGGAACATGAGACCGCCCTGGATGGATGTTAGAGATGACTACGTGAGGGAAGAATGGAAACTTACACAGCAGACCAAATCAACACATTGGGCGCAGAGATGTAATTCAGCAACCGAGGCAGTTCATACATACCAGCACTCGATACGCAGATATTCAGAATCCTGCGAGTGCGGTTATATGCTTCTTGGAAGGTCATATCCCCCAGCCAGTTTCTGATGGTCTTCGCCAGATGGGAGATGTCAAGGAATGACCCGAACTTCAGAAAGCGCGTCATTTTCTGGAAAATGTTCTCTTCCTGGCCCTTTTCATTGAAAACGGCAAAGTCCCCATGAACATAGGTATCCAAGAGCGCGGGAAGTTCCTCATCTGTGCGCGTGCAAAACACCGCGCACACAATACTCCCCGCCGAGGCCCCAGAAATAATACGGGGAATCATCTGCGCCTCATACAGCGCCTTGAGGACGCCAATGTGAGTCATTCCGAAGGTCGCACCGCCTGAGAATAACAATGCGGTCCTTCCGAAAGCTTGTCGCGCCGCCAGCAGCTGGTCAAGAATATACTTCAACTCCAATCCATCGCAGCGATCATGAACGCTCAGATCAACCAGTGTCGCGATCGTGTCCAGCGCCGCAGTAATATACCGATCAATCAGATCCTTCGTTCCAATGTGTGAATGTCGATACAGCGACGCATTGCTCATCTGCGCGAGGTCCCGACTCAGCGCCGTTCGCACGAGGAACAGCATCCGGCTCGCATCGCAGCTCACGCGCGCCTCATCGAGTTGTCTCAGGCGGTCCTGCACCAACGCCGGATCGTACTCGGTGCACTCGAACGTTTGTTTCCAGACATCACGGTCTTCCAGTTCGTCTAATTCACTTGCGCAACTGCGCCACTCTTCGTACGACACGGCCTGTGGTCGGTTTAGTAATGGCCCCGCGGGTTCGAGTGTGCTACTTACGTTCTTCATGCGCAGGTACAGGATTTGTTTTCGGTCTTCGATTTCGGCCTTGGCGTGCCGTTGCTCTTTCGTCAGGCCATCGCGGTATGTGTGGAGAGTGTCACCGGCCCAGTTCCAGGATCCTTTGACTAGAGAGGAGACGGTGGGGATGGAGACGGCTTTGCGTAGTTGGGGTTTGCGGCAGGCTGTAGAGTCGCCCAACACCGGCGTGGCAAGGCTGTGCATCGGTACAAGCCATTCAGCCGTATTCGACGTGGATGGGAGAACCGGTTGCGATGGGTGTAATAGAGGGATGAAGATCGCAGAGGCGGTAAAGACGTCACGAGGGGAATCCAAGGTTTTTTTCTTTGGGTCGCTTTCTTTTCTTTTTTTCCTCGGGGATTCTTTGCTCAAATGTTACTACAAATGTTACATTCCCTTCTGATTATTCGACATTAAGGTCATTGCGTGTCAGCCTGATCTTACACCTGAATCATTTGGATCATCTGAACAGTCGATCTTAGTGGGGAATATTTGCCTCCCGAGAAATATTTCTATTACACTGTACAGTAGGTCATGAGAGAGAAGCACAGATTCCAATCACTGCACTATTATATAGTCTAATGCTCAATCAAATATCAAAATCTCACAATCTTACAGTTCTTTAAGCCCCTTCTTCACATGCGAGGCTGGGCACTAGCATGTGAGACTCGGGGCCCCGGGATCATTAAATTATGGAGTCCGGAGTACTCCGCATTTTCTGTTTACTTCTGTACATTGAGTATTATTCATTACTGTCTTTCTATCTGTAGCCTGATATGCCAGCATATCTAAGTACCAGGCTATCCTTTGAGTTAGCCACTGAACTGGGTAATGCATGTTTTCAAATCAAGATACCATCATAATTGAGATACCGCCGACTTTTGCTGCCACGCGAAATCATATCTGTTGGCGGAGGACCGATCAAGGAGCTTATAGATGCCACATTCTTCTCCTCGGAGTAGGATACAAACGCATGGGAAGCAAACAGGATGATGATAGCAAACCACCACAGCACTGTTGCTCTTACTTGCTCCGATAACGACCTTCGGGGCTCGAAATCCATTGGGTTGGATAATGTGGTGAGGGCCCTAATCATCGCCGCGGACGGAAAGTCCAAAATCCGTGGTCATTGACCTTCCGATATTGCTCGCTTGAAAGCCGAAGTTATTCCGTGAGTGATATATTGTTCGATCCTACAGGATTCTTTGAGGTAATGGGTCCTCGATCTGAACTTGGATGACTCTGCTGAGTATGGAGTGGTCTCGAAGAGCTACGAGGATATTGTCAGGCTTGAGATCTGCTGGTGATCTAAAACTCGAACAGTGAATGCTTTTTGCTGAAGCAACTTGTATGGATAACATTCGACTGGGTGTGAAGATATTCAAGACCCATGATGACCATCCGAGCAATAGCTCTTAGGACATTAGGAAGGAGACTGCCCTGGAAACTTCTTTTAATCATCCATAGAGGCTCATGTAAGGGGTCGATGACCATGCAGACATGATTTCCATGCGGCCCCGGTAAGTCGAATGAGTCGAGTAACGTGCGAACACAATACCGACCTTCGCGGCTATTTGCTTGGGTGATTCGCTCCGTGATGCGCAATTCCTTCTCTGCAGACTTTTTAGAATGCTTGTTTGCATTGACCTTTATCGCCATATAACGTGGGGGCAGCCAGCGCCATCTTTCTGAATTAGACGAAGGGCTGTGAAACGTACTGATGTAGATCCATAGCCAGTGAGATAGTCCCCCACCCAAGTTTCAAAGCCACTTGATACCTTTCTGCAAGTATCGTAGGTATCTGCATTGGATAGAAATGCTTAGGGTCATAGTGAGGCGCACGCTCCTCAGCGGGTTGGGAGGCTCGGAGAGCGCTAGCAATGTTATACAGGGATTGGCAAGGGGCTGACCGAAACAACCTAAGCAGAGGCAATTTAAGTGGCTTTAGGGTGAACGTCATTGCCTAGCCAGAAAGATAAAAATGAAGATGACAAGGAATTAAACAAGTGCCTATGGTACGAGTGGTACGGAGTAGTACCCCGTACTCAGTACACAGCGCCGCCCTTTCTCTTTCTAAAGTTCCGCCATATTATGAGTAGACATCCGCCCCCTTTGGAACTTGGCATACAATTCACCCCTTAACCAGATCAAGGATCCTGATTGGGCCAAAAAGACTCAAGCCACGCCCTCAGGAACAGCCTCGCCCTCTCATTCCGACGCCAAAAGTGGTCCGCGCCATCAATCATCCGAAACTGGAACTGACTGCCTGGCATGTGCGACAACTCGTCTGACCACCGTTCCAGTTTCGCGGCAGAAACAAAACTGTCCTGATTTCCAGCTAGCGCCAAAGTACGATGCCGACTCAGCTGGTCTGCTGGATCGGGGCAGGGGAGAGTCCGGGACGGCAGTTTCAGACAGACGCTCGTGTAGATCATGAGGAGGTGAGTTATCGGTGGCAGAAGCGGGGATACCAAGAGATAGGAGATGGTTGTCAATGCGCTCAGGTCTGGATCGGTCGGGGATATGGGATGATCCAAGGATGAGATTGCGACTCGGTATGCAGTCTCTCTTATCTCGGGGATTGATGTGTCCGAGGTTTGGAATAGGTCTACGACCACCTCCAGGGATGGAACGTGGGAGGCGATCATAGATCCGTATGAGTATCCACCTAGGATCAGATGGACATCTGGATGGGAAGGCGTGATATCTGGACTTGGATCTTCTAAGCCGCCTGGGGTGCTTGTGCAAGGTTCTGCGGCTGATTGATTGGGGGCCAGTGCATGCTTCAATCGGTGCAGGTAGTTCAGCATGAACCCGTAGAACGACACAAAGTCTCCGATTTCAGGTTTGGAGGTCCAGCTCGTTCGGCCTTCCGAGTCGCCCGCTCCACTGTAGTCAATTGTCAGCCGGGTGTTGGGATATTCCTTGGTCTGGATTCTGTCCTACCGGAAATTGAAAGTTCCCACGATAAATCCAGCGACAAGCAGCTCATGACTGACGAAATCAACAACAGGATCGTCGTAAGACCCTCCTAGAGGTGCATATGGGTGGGCAACAATCGCTCCGCGTATTTGAGATGGTGGGTGTGATTGTATATTTTGGTACCTGGCTGGCAGGAATATGCGGCATTGTAGCTTGCGGCCATCATGTACGGAAGGAATAGTAAACGAGAAAGTTGGCGTTTGAAGCTCCATCGCTGAACTCATTTTTGAACTTTGAATTTGATTCAGTCAGTACTTAAGTATTCCATGGATGTTTGAAGTGAAAAGGAGTGGAGGAAGTGGTGTTCGGAGGTGTTGACCCGCTCCTGCGAAATTTGGTGGAATTCCCATTGAGGACGAAGTTGAATGTGCAGCTCTACTTGAGTAGAATATATTGTATCAAGTATATAGGGTATTCGGAATCAAATTCTACGTTGCGATCTAAACAGAAACAGAGATGACAATAAATAGAAAAAGATTTCTCTCAACCAGTTGTCCTATTTAGATCTATGCTGTATGCTTCATTCATTTGAAGATATATTAACAACTTAGAACATGCGTCAAGACAACCAGGACGGATCTGGCTCGTCATCATCTGATCTAGACGCAGCATCCGAATGCTGGTGATGTGAATCTTGAAGAAGGTCTGCTGGAGGTTCAGGGTCATCGTTCTCAAGCGGATCTGCATGATCATCGCCATGCTCTGGGTCTTGATCTTCGGCATGGCCCGGAGAGGTTAGGGGTGCATCTTGTTCCTGCGCGGATAAACCGAAGGCGGGTAGAAGCAGACCCCTTGCTTCTCGCAGGGCCTCCAACTCGGCTGCGATGCAGCAGACCAAAAGTTTCCAGTCTTTGGTCTCCGCAAGCTCCAAATGAGATTCGACCCGGTGAGTGGTTTTATCCAAATCGTCCAAAATGCTCTTGACGAGTCCATCCTTGTAATCCTCCGACCCAGATGCGGCCTCAGTCGTTGCCATCTCCACAAAGTGTCGCATGTTGGCTCGTAAGCGTTTCTCAAAACTAGTGATATCAAACACTGCTTGTTTCCAAATACCGCCGCCCTCTTCCAGGGCGTGGATCTCTGCATCCACCTCTTGTCGTCTACTGTGCAAACTCACTTGCTCGCTCTTCCAGAGCTCCTGCGCCATGTCAAGGGTGCGGCGCTTGGGGTTCAGAGAATGGAACGTGGATTCACCAGGTTGACGTGACAGGGATTGAATCGGAGGATCACGTAGGTACTTGCGAATATCGGAGTCGAGTAAGGAGAGTGATTCAGTATATGAAGACAACTTGGCGTCAACCGAGTTGTTAATATGTGAGATTTCGCTGACAAGATGTCGGTGTTTAGCTTTCATCTCATAAAGCCTGGTTTCCATCTCATGAATGTCAGTTTGGAGGTGTTGGGCCTCTTCCTCTAGTTGTTTTGAGCGCCGACTTTCGTCATTGCCATGTATAGTAGTCATTGCCTCTTCAAGACCAGTCCTTTTCGAGACGAAGTTCTGAATATCCTGAAGACCAGTCGACCTTTCGTCGGACTGGGATGTGATAATATCTCGCTCTTCCTCCCGCAACTTGAGCAGGTCATAGATTGATTGGAATATGCCCTCGCGAGCAGAGCGCAGACTGATTTTCTTGGGAGCGAGTTGTCTCGCGGGCACCGTCACAGGGGAGTGCAATTGGGCGTCATTGAGCATGGGGGAGGGAGTGGAGGCATCGCTAGAAACCTGATCTGTTCGAGACCCAGCCAGACCAGAGAGCAGACCGTCACTTTGAGCATCGATCAGGACTTGTAGATTGCGCTGTATGTATTTCGCTTGTCGCTCGACATGAAGAAGAGAATCTTGGTGATAAGTGGAGGTTCCAGCTGGCATCGGGGATAGTGTTTGATCACGCAAGGATCTAAGAAGGGTGGACATGGCGGAGAAGAGAGCGAGTGGACTGGTATTCAGTTGCGGTTGCGGTGGTGGTTGCGGGTAGACGGTGATGGGTTTTGAGGATCAAGGGTATCTATTATATTCGCCCGAGAGTCTCAGCAGCCCTCACATCCATCATCAGACCAACCGAGGAGGTGAAATGTGATGAGCTGTCGAGCTGCAGCTGATATGTCATCCACGTGACCTGTACAGTCAGCAGCCAGCTCGGCGTTGACGTTGCTCTCGCGCCTGCAAAGCTTCTGACAACTGCTTTCAGCTTCCATTTGTACGTGCACTTCATCCATTTCGTCTCTTTCATTTAATCAAATCCCGCATTTATTGTCATATTCACCGTTATTGGGGTACCGAATTTCCCTTGACACTTTGTTCTGGGCTGGGGCTGACTCGTCGTTTCTGAAGCTCCCCCGATTGACGTTGCTTCATCACAACAGCAACAACAACTTTCATTCCTCCAAATCCACCCAGTGAACGGTCCTACGAGCCGTTTTTATCATAAACATGGTCGGACTTGTATCGGCCGCCGGTCTTGTCGGCTTCCTCTCCGAGCCTGACCCAGAGCTCAAGGTCTTTGCTTTAAAGACATTAGATTCTCAGATTGATCATCTCTGGACGGAAGTCGTCAACTCTGTTCCCGAAATGTGAGTGGCATTCTTTGATGGACTGGAAACGATATGTTCCATCGCCATTGTCGCGCCGTTGCCGAGTCCGACCGGCCCTTGGGCCCATGCTAACCATCATCCAGCGAGGCTCTATACGAAGATGAATCATTCTCCGAACGTGGACTAGCAGCGCTAGTCGCATCTAAGGTGTACTATCATCTTCAGGAATATAACGAGAGCATGGTTCTTGCTCTGGGCGCAGGCAAGCTGTTTAAGTTGGAGAACGGTGGCGAATACGAAGAGACAATCATCGGTATGTCGAGGAAGCTGCGCGCCATCGGTTACACCAATCCATGCTAATTTCATCTCCCAGCGAAATGCGTCGATACCTTCATTTCTCTATCTGCTGCCCAAAGGCCCACTACCGGAGACCAATCCGCCAATCTCAACACCGCATTCCCAGCATCGGGTGACGGTGCCACAAGCACATCTGCCAGCCTTACTTCCCCGATCACACCCTTCTCCAAATCCGCCTTGCCCTCCAAATCATTGCTTTCTCGCGCAGAGGTGCCTGGAATCGATGCCGCACACCCTGGTGGCGATGATACCAGCGTGGTGCACGAGGAGAACTCCCTGGTGCTCAAGCGTGGTGTTCAGGGACAATTGCAAACTGTTATCGAGCGACTGTTCGAAGAATGTTTCCGACAGAAGCGATACCGCCAGGTAATTGGAATCGCCATTGAGGCAAAGAGCTTGGACGTGCTCCGCATGGCCATCCTCCGCGCCAGCAATGACGAGAAACAACAGGAGGGTGATTCTCGCCGAAGCGAGGAACTAATGGAATATGTTCTTGACATCTGCATGGGTATTGTTCAGGAACGGGCCTTCCGCAGCGAGGTATGTCTCACTTCGAATCCAAGACATCCTCTCTCAGCCGACTGACATGATTTTGGAATCTAGATCCTGAAGCTCATTCTGGAGCTCCTCAATGAGATCCCCGCACCCGACTTCTTCTCCATTGCCAAATGCGTTGTCTACCTTAACGAGCACTCCATGGCCTCCAACATCCTGCGCCAATTGGTCGAGAAGGGTGATGCGCGCTCCCTTGCCGTGGCCTATCAAATTTCCTTCGACCTTTACGATAACAGCACACAAGAATTCCTGCAGAAGGTTCGACAAGAAATCGCCGAACTAGTCCCGGAGGAACAGACAGAGACCAACGAGGAGGATTCTGAGCCGACAGAGTCCGATTCCCTTATCCAGAACCAGGGAAGCTCGTCGCGGCGTTCCAACCAGAAGTCTGATCTTTCAGACGAAGCCCTCACTGCCTTCAAGAACATCCTCCAGATTCTCGACGGTATCAAAACCATTCAATTAAACCTGGAATTCTTATACCGCAACAACAAGGCCGACATCGCAATCCTTAACAAGATCCGGGACAGCCTCGAGGCTCGCAATTCAATTTTCCACACTGCAGTCACCCTCTCCAACGCCTTCATGCACGCCGGAACCACACACGACAAGTTCTTCCGTGATAACCTCGAGTGGCTCGGCAAGGCCGTGAACTGGTCCAAGTTCACAGCTACTGCCGCACTGGGTTGTATCCACCGCGGTAACCTCAGCCAGGGCCAGAAGCTTCTTCAGCCCTACCTCCCCCGTGAACACATTGCCGGAGTCGGTGGCTCTGGATCTGTCTACAGCCAGGGAGGTTCTCTGTACGCCTTTGGTCTCATCTATGCCAACCATGGAGGTATGGCCGTTGATATCATCCGCGACCACTTCAAGAAGGCTACCGAGGAGGTCGTTCAGCACGGAGGTGCTCTCGGTCTCGGTGTCGCCGGTATGGCCACCGGTGACGAAGGCATTTACGAAGACCTGCGCAACGTCCTTTACACTGACTCTGCCCTCAATGGTGAGGCTGTCGGCCTTGCCATGGGTCTGATCATGCTTGGTACTGGTAACATGAAGGCTCTGGAGGACATGATTCAGTACGCACACGAAACACAGCACGAGAAGATTGTCCGTGGTCTCGCCATGGGTATGGCTTTGATCATGTATGGTCGTCAGGAAGCTGCCGACGAGCTAATCAACGGTCTACTCGGAGACCCTGACCCAACTCTCCGCTACGGTGGTATCATGACCATCGCTCTGGCTTACTGTGGCAGTGGCAGCAACAAGGCTGTTCGCAAGCTTCTGCACGTCGCCGTCAGTGATGTCAACGATGATGTCCGCCGTGTTGCCGTTCTCAGCTTGGGCTTCATCCTGTTCCGCAAGCACCAGAGCGTTCCTCGCATGGTTGAGCTGCTCTCCGAGTCATACAACCCCCACGTCAGATATGGTGCCGCCATGGCTCTTGGTATCTCTTGTGCCGGAACTGGTCTGGACGAAGCGATTGACCTCCTCGAGCCCATGCTCAAGGACTCCACTGACTTCGTCCGCCAGGGTGCTTTGATCTCCCTCGCCATGGTTCTTGTTCAGCAGAACGAGGCTATGAACCCTCGTGTTACCAGCCTCCGTAAGGCCATGATGAAGATGCTTGGTGACCGTCATGAGGATGCCATGGCCAAGTTCGGCTGTGCCATTGCTCTTGGTATCATTGACGCTGGTGGCCGCAACTGCACTATCAGCTTGCAAACCCAAACAGGCAACCTCAACATGCCTGGTATCGTTGGTGCCGCTGTCTTCGTGCAGTACTGGTACTGGTTCCCTCTCACACACTTCCTCTCCCTCAGTTTCACCCCAACCTCCGTCATCGGAGTTGACCAAAAGCTCGAGGTTCCTCACTTCAAGTTCCACAGCAACACCCGCCCTAGTCTCTTCGACTACCCCCCTGAGCAACAGGTCAAGGCCGAAGAAGCTCCGGAGAAGGTCAAGACTGCTGTTCTTTCTACCACTGCTCAGGCCAAGCGTCGTGCGCAGCGTCGCGAGAAGCAAGCGCGCCGCGAGAGCATGGACCTTGACCAGGCTCCTACTACTCCTAAGGCTACCGAGCCTGACGCGATGGAGACGGACGATGCTCCCAAGGAGGAGGGTGAGGATAGCAAGGACGTCGAGAAGAGCGCTACCGAAGTCCAGAAGAAGAAGGTTGAGCGTGAGAAGGTTGGATATGAGCTTGACAACCTCTCAAGGGTCCTGCCCGCTCAACTCAAGTACCTCACATTCCCCGATCCTCGTTACGAGCCGGTCAAGCGAGTATGTTTCCCTCCTTCTTTTACCATCAATTCCGTACTAACTTTCTCTCAGCCTACTGGTGGTGTCGTTGTTGTCCTTGATAAGCAACCCGAGGAACCTCGTGAGGTTGTCGAATTGAAGGCCAGCAAGGAAGCCCGCCCACCGCCTCCCTCCACCGAGACTCTGCAGGACCGCCTGCAAGCCGCCATTGGTAATGCGGCCGCACGGGGGGTCCCGCAGACCCCTACCCGTGACGACCCTCTGGCTACTCTCTCCGCGATCGCTGGAGGTGCTGCTGCCGGAGCTGGTGTGTTGACGGCGGTGGATGAGGATGAGGAAGGCGTCGAAGATGCTCCTGTCCCCGACGACTTCACCTATGAGTCGGATGAGGAGTAGGATGTGGCATAGAAACTTGATGCTGGATGTATTACTAGATTAATCAGGCTTTCTACGTCGACCTGATCTATTGGGGGGCTACTATGGCTTTCCTTGACTGTGATTGATATGAGAGTTTTCTTTTACATATATCCCTGTTCTTGTAAACAAAGCGCGGCTAGTAATAAGTAGTGCCTGGGCCCCGAGGGTACTGACACATGTAGACGATCCTGATATTCTCCAAGTGCTACTCATATACATTTCTTACTGAGTAACGAGTGGACCAAACTTGGAACCGATCACATGCCTGAGTCAGCCTCGGCATCTCATGACCAATGAACGACCCACCAACGGCGATGACCGAATTGCACTCTGCACATGTGAACAGTCTGGAGACCCCGAGGGTGCAGCTACACTGGAATTCTCCCCGAGGGCTAAATCTCCATATAACCCTCCAGCTTCCCCGGACTTTTTCCCTTCCATTTCTCCCCCTGATTCCCCATACCGCTCTTTCCTTTCGGTTCACTCGATCTTCCGTGAGCCTATCACTACCCAACATGGCCAAGACTTTCACCAAAGACGACGTCGCGTCGCATAGCAAGGGCGATAGCCCATGGGTAATCATTGACGAAGATGTCTATGATGTGTCCAAGTTCCAAGACGAGCACCCTGGTATGTCGAACCTCGAACATGAGACAAATGCACCAACTAACACGATCTGGCAGGTGGCAAGAAAAGTATGGACCGGAGACCCGTCACTACACACACCTACTGACCCACCACCTAGTCCTCCAACGAGTCGCCGGAAAAGACGCCTCGAAGCAGTTTTGGAAATACCACAACGAAGGAATCTTGAAGAAATACAAGGCCCAGCTACAGATCGGTTCTTTGGATACCAAGAAGGCTGCACCAGCTCCCGAACCCACTCCTGCAAAGTCCGAACCTGCCCCGGCTGCTGCTCCTGCTACTCCTACCGACTATACTCCGCCAGCTACCGGTGCCCCACAAGATCCCTATGGTGATCTGATCCCATTCGCAGATCCATCATGGTACCAGGGTGTAAGTAGGAGACATACTGTTGCGCATGCACTCGCTAATCGGAATCTAGTATGCCTCGCCCTACTTTAACGATTCACATGCCGCACTGCGTGACGAGGTACGCACATGGGTCGAGTCAGAGATCGAACCCTACGTCACAGAATGGGACGAAGCAAGAGAAGCCCCGGCCCACATCTACAAGCAGATGGGTGAGCGCGGATACCTAGCCGGTCTACTTGGTGTCCACTACCCAGTCAACCACACCGAATACCGTGTGAAGTCCGTGCCGCCCGAGCGGTGGGATTTGTTCCACGAGATGCTGTTGACAGATGAGCTGTCGCGTGCCGGCAGTGGTGGACTGGTGTGGAACCTAGTTGGTGGATTCGGCATCGGATGTCCGCCACTTGTGAAATTCGGCAAGAAGGCACTCGTTGACAGAATCTTGCCTGGGATCTTGAATGGTGATAAGCGCATTTGTCTGGCGATTACTGAGCCTGATGCGGGTAGTGATGTTGCCAGCCTTGGGTGCGAGGCTAAGCTTACCGAGGATGGTAAACATTACATCGTCAATGGTGAGAAGAAGTGGATCACCAATGGTGTGTATGCGGATTACTTTACCACTGCTGTGCGGACGGGTAAGGACGGCATGAACGGGCTTAGTGTTCTGCTCATTGAGCGCGAGGCTGGTGGCGTCAGTACCCGGAAAATGGACTGCCAGGGTGTTTGGTCCTCTGGCACTACATATGTCACCTTCGAGGACGTCAAGGTCCCCGTTGAGAACTTGATTGGAAAAGAAAACCAGGGATTCAAGGTGATCATGACGAACTTCAACCATGAGCGAATTGGTATCGTCATTCAATGTGCGCGCTTCTCTCGCGTTTGCTATGAAGAGTCCATGAAATACGCACACAAGCGCAAGACCTTCGGCAAACGCCTGATTGACCACCCCGTCATCAGAATGAAGCTAGCACACATGGCGCGACAGATCGAGGCGACCTACAACTGGCTCGAGAACATGATCTTCCAGTGCCAGTGCATGGAAGAGACAGAGGCAATGCTCAAGCTTGGCGGTGCGATCGCCGGCTTAAAAGCCCAGTCTACGCAGTGCTTCGAGTTCTGCGCTAGAGAGGCCAGTCAAATCTTTGGTGGTCTCAGTTACAGTCGTGGTGGACAGGGTGCTAAGATCGAGAGACTGTATCGTGATGTGCGTGCATACGCTATTCCCGGTGGCAGTGAAGAGATCATGCTGGATTTGAGTATGCGGCAGAGTCTGCGGGTTCATGGGATGTTTGGTATGAAGCTTTAGACCAAGATTGCGGTTTATGATTTGCTTTTCCCATATATCCTGCCTTTGGCGAGTTGTTTTTCTTGTATCATATATTGACTTCATTGTATATTTTTTACAATAAACACCATTGACTTCATACCTACTTTGTCGCTTCGAAGTATAGCCCTGTGCGAAATGAATCCCATGTTCCAGTCGAGTATTCCGTAAATCTCAAAGCAAAGCAAATAACCTCGCAAAGACAACAAAGAAGACATCCGGAACGGCCTTTCTAGTTGTAACCTCAGGTCTGAAAGAACAAACTGGTGAAGCGAAAAACACAGATATTCCCATATTATCGTCGATGTTCATACCAAGACAGCTTGTTTCTTTGTCTACTTAAGTACAGACCATGTCCACTTCTAGGTTTCAAGGTTATCCTGGGTACTGGATATCGCTGCTTTTTTTCTTTGATCGCCAGGAGATGAGAATTTTGAGACTCCCAAGGTTCTTTGTTACTCAATTTATCCTTGGGCTATTTCTGGAGCTCGCCGTCCAGTGCCCGAAGCAATCACAAATTAATTTAGCCACGTCCTCGCCCGTCTGCATTGGAAATATTGCTTGTCAATTGCAAAAACCCCCAATTTGAATCATCCACAGACCCCAATGTCGTCCTTTTGGGAATTCGAAACCACCGACTACAATGGCGCTGGCAGCAACATTGATAGAACGATGGAGTACATCTCCAGCGACGGGCAATCAGCTGCTGCTCTCGTACTGGCAAATCTGGTGGCTGAACGAATGCGAGATTCCGAGTCAGACCCGAGAAAGTTCAAGGCTGGGGGTGAGGTTTACGAGCCTGGCTTCTTGCGAGAATTCAATGACCCCAAGCTCTCTGAGCTCCGGGAAATGGCGTCGACTATGGACCTCACCAAAATGTCCAAAGAGCTGCTCATGCTAGTCCTGCCACTGCTTCTTCATGTCGATACTCAAAGCCCCACGCCAGAAGATATCCATGCTCTGCACGAGTTTTCCGCGGGTTTATTGACGGCACAAAAGAACATGGTGGACAAGTGGCTGCGACAAGAACCGGCCAAAAGCACCCTGGAGCGGGCATTCAAGACGAAGACATATCCCGATTTCAAAGAAGCGTATCGGTCCAGGGCAGCCATTGCAAAATACAACGCCAGTCAAACTGAGCTGCGGTATAAGGCTGTCGAATCCTATGCCTATCAATTTGTACAAGCTTGCCAGTGTACAGACTGTCTTCAAACAGTCATGAACCTTGGTTTGATCAGCTTTCGAAGCTACGGACAAGATGGCAAAAGCTTGCTTCATGCCGCCATTCAGGGCGGGCATAATCCATCTATAGCATTCGCAATTGACGGTTTGATGAACCTCGGGCTTGACCCCAGACACTTGCCAACATCTATTGAAGGAATGTCCATTCCTCACCATGTGGCCTCACTGCACGAACAGGAGATATTCAAAGAAGTCGTCATGAGGCTTAGCAAAGCTGGCTATCCATTGATGGTCTGGAATGACGACGGACTGAAACTCGAATTGTGCAGCTTCATTACCGCCGACACAGCCGAGTGGCTCTTGTCAGAGGGATTCAACATCACCAAGTTACCCAGGAATACACTCCCACCCTTCCTACCTTCAACCGAGTTCTCAGATGAAGGCATCTCCAACGACAACGACTGGACCTCTCCACCGGGAAAGAACTGGAACACAGACGCAGTATACGGCGACCCAATCATCCGCAAGGACCCATTCGAATATGACACATTCGACGCGAACACCATCCAACTCGACGGCATGGGCGTCACACCCATCGAACTCCGTCCCACCTCCCGAACAGTCTGGCACCGAGCAATCGAAAACACTCAAGGTCCCGAATTCCTAGACTGGCTACTCAACCACTCCCACACCCAACCAAGCTGCAGATCCGACTTCGACCGTGACAGCGGCGAAACAGCCCTCGTCCTCGCCGCCAAAGGCAACGAGCCCGCATGTATAGACTGGCTATGCGAAAACTGTGATCCCATGGCCGCGCAATCTACAGACCCAACATTCGAAGAACCAAATACTTTCGCCTACGCAATGAAAACAGCTGCTCACAGTGTCCAGCCTAGCTGTGCGGCGATCCTGTATGCGATATCGAACTATGCCCCTGATGAACTGTATCGGGATCTTATGCTAGTCAAGCATATTTATTGGCTTGTTATTAAGGCGTATCGGGATACGCATTTGAAGTTGGAGTCCAGTATGAACCCTGGTCAGAGTCGAATGAAGTGTTTGGTGCTTTTGAGGAATATTACCAGGAGTAAGATTAAGGTGTTGAATACCAGGATGCAGATTAATTGGAGGAGGTGGGTGAAGTCGGTGCATTTCAAGTGGCTTTTGCAGTTTTGTAGTTTGCATGGGTATACTTTTATTTCAAAGGATATGAAGTCGGGAATCTCGTTTGATTTGAAGACGTGGCATCCGACTGCGATGGACTATCTGGAGGTGGAGGGAGATTCGTATATGTCTATGTCATGATTGGCTTTCTCTTTGTTGTATCATAGTCTTTCTGGAAATATGTAGCCTTTTTTCTTGATCTCAGAATCATCTCAAGATCATCTCGGATTCAAGATACACTACCAGATGGCAGTGATAAAGTCCCAAGTAACTGCGTGAACTGTGGCATCTGAGAGAAGTTGAGTGCAGTTGAGTGCAGTTGAGTGCAGCTGGGAAAGAAAGCGATTCAGGCCACAAGGCAGCAATTCGATACAGGACTCGATAGAGACCACTCACGCAAGGATGCCAATGCGCAACTGAACCGTCGCGGACAGTTCCCTTCTTTCATTCTATCTTTTTCCAAGGGAATTACGCGCGAGGAACATTGAAAGTTGTCGCCTTGTTCTTGGGGCATAATTTGACTGGCTTTGCTGTTCTTTGTAGCCGGTCGCGGATCTCGGTGATTGCCCGCAGAGCTTCTCTGCTGTGCACCCTCTCGACCTCGCACCCTCTATAATCCGATCTCGACCTTTCTTCACTCACTACCGGTGACTGTCTGGCTTCCATATATTGCCAAGCAGCTTCCCCCTGGCGTCTACGTTTTCACCGGCGACCCGCAAGCTCTAGCGCGGTCTCATTGAACAAGGTCCGCATTGCGTCCTCAAGACTTGCTTTCATCTTTTTCCCATGCTGATTATCCCTGTGATTGCTAGACCCTTGGAGCGTTATCCTTGAATCAGAGCCTACCGAGAACACCCCGATCGGCTTCCCAGTGATACCTTTGACGCCTTTCACAATGTCGAACTTCATGGACCAGAACTTCGCATCCGACGAGGAGGAGGATGACTTCAACCCTGTCAACCAGGATGATTCTGATGCCGAGGAAGTCGATTCCAAGGTCAGTACTCCGGTAGTAGTCGAACTTGAGGCCACATGGTGCTAATTGTGTAACAGCCGGCGAAGAGGGAAACATCAGCCGACGCCGCTCCCGATGCGAAGTACGGACACGATGCGCACGAGGAAGAGGATACCAAGGATGTCGAAGAGGATGAAGAAAATGACGAAGAGGAAGAAGACGAGGAGGAAGATGATGAGGACGACGAGGATGAAGTGGTTTGTCGCCTATCCAATGAGCTCCCCTACAAGCGCCGAGTCAATTAACCATTATTATAGAGAAATCCCCGGAAAAAGCAGAAGCGTGTCGTCAACCCTTTCATTGAAGATGAAGCCGGCGTCGACGATGAAGAGGACGAGGGCGATGACGAAGAGGACGAACTCGCCGAGTATGGCATGGAGACACACCCGGACGATCTCGATGCGTTACCCCAAGGCACGGAAACAGACGACCGACGCCATAGGCAGCTCGATCGCCAACGTGAGATCGACGCAAGCATGGACGCAGAGAAGCAGGCCCAGATGCTCAAGGAACGATATGGACGAAACCGCGCTGCTGCCTCCGACTCTCTCGTTATCCCTAAACGACTTTTGCTTCCTAGTGTTGAAGATCCTAGCATCTGGGGTGGTCGTTGCAAACCCGGAAAGGAGAAGGAAGTTGTATACTCCATTCAACAGAGAATCGAACAACGCCCAGCAAACTCCCGCAACCCCATGCGCATTATCTCGGCTTTCGAGCGCGGAAACATCATGCAGGGTTGGTTCTACTGCGAGGCCCGCAGACAGGCCGATGTTATTGAGGGCTTGGATGCAATCAACTTCTACTATCCCTCCCAGAAGCTTACTCTGGTCCCGGTGAAGGAGATGCCAGACCTTCTCCGTGTCCAGAAATCCGAAGAACTTCTACCTGGTGGTTGGATCCGCATCAAGCGTGGTAAATACCAAGGAGACTTGGCTCAGATTGAAGAGGTTGAAACAAACGGTTTGAACGTTACCGTCCGGTTAGTTCCTCGTCTGGACTACGGAATGAATGATGATGCTCTCGGTGCTCCCGCTGATGCTAAGCGAAAGCGCGGTGCCGCAAGCACTGTTCGTCCGCCTCAGCGTCTGTTCAGCGAAACAGAAGCCAAGAAGAAGCACGCAAAGTATCTTTCGTCTACTTCTGGTCTCGGTGGCAAGTCATGGAACTATCTCAACGACAACTATGTGGATGGTTTCCTCATTAAGGATATGCGCGTGCAGCATCTGAGCGCGAAGAACGTCAACCCTAGATTGGAGGAAGTTACCATGTTTGCACGTGGAGGAGAGGATGGAACTGCCAACCTGGATTTAGCATCCCTCGCAGAGACTCTGAAGAACTCCACAGCCGAGGACTCATACCAGCCCGGCGACCCTGTGGAGGTCTACCGGGGTGAACAGCAGGGCCTGATTGGTCGCACAGTGTCGACCCGAGGTGACATTGTCTCATTGCAAGTCACCGAGGGTGATTTGGCCGGTCAGACTATCGATGCCCCTGTCCGAACTCTCCGCAAGCGCTTCCGGGAGGGTGACCATGTCAAGGTCATTGGTGGAAGCCGGTACCAGAACGAACTTGGTATGGTCGTTCAGGTCAAGGATGACACTGTCACTTTGCTCAGCGATATGAGTATGCAAGAAATTACCATCTTCAGTAAGGATCTGCGCCTCTCAGCCGAGATGGCTGCCGATGGCCAGCTTGGTATTTACGACGTGCATGACCTCGTCCAGCTTGATGCTGCGACTGTGGCTTGCGTGATCAAGGTTGACCGAGAGTCCCTTCGGGTTATTGACCAGAACGGTTCCATTCGGAATATCCTTCCCACACAGATCGCCAACAAGATCGTTCCTCGTCGTGACGCTGTCGCCACTGATCGCAATGGTGCGGAGATCCGCGCTGCCGATACCGTGCGGGAAGTTTACGGCGAGCAGCGAAGTGGTGTCATCCGCCACATCCACCGTTCATTCCTTTTCCTGCACAACAAGGCGCAAGCCGAGAACGCAGGTATCTCTGTGGTTCGAACAACTAACGTTGTTACCGTGTCAGCACGTGGTGGCCGGGCCACTGGTCCTGACCTGACGAAGATGAACCCTGCATTGGCGATGCAAACACCCGGCGGCGGTGGTGCTGCCATGCCCCCTCCACGCCGTGGCCGTGACCAGCTGATTGGCAAGACTGTCACTATCCGCAAGGGTCGTTTCAAGGGCCTAGTCGGTATTGTCCGTGATGCAGACGACAACTCCGCTCAAGTCGAGCTTTACACATCTAACAAGCCTGTTCACATCCCGCGAGAGCTGCTAACACCCAAAGAGTATGTTGCTATTCCTGGTCCAATGTCTTTGTGTAATTACTAACACCAAGCAGTCCTGTCTCCAAACAACCCCTCTCTATGGGCCGTGGACGAGGCGGAGGTATGGGAGCTCGCACTCCATTTGGCTCTGGTGGTCCCCCCCGAGACAGCTGGTCTGGTGGTCGAACCCCGATGGCTGGTGGCGACTCTTCTAGAACACCCGCATGGGGCGGTGCCAACTCATCGAGAAGTAAGTGCAATATCCTCACAGATCCCATCCAATATGCTAACCACTACATAGCACCTGCATGGGGCGGCGGCAGCGGCTCCCGCACACCAGCGTGGAAGAACGACGGCTCCCGCACATCAAACCCCTACGCTGATGGCAGCCGAACTGCCTATGGCGGAATCGGCAACCGCACACCCGCATGGAACTCCGGATCCAAGACTCCCTACGACTCTGGTTCCGGCTTCGACGCCTTTGCCTCCGGATCCCGCACTCCCGCCTGGGGAGGCGCAGTCCCCAACACAAACACCGGCAACCGCACCCCAGCCTGGGGTGGACTCTCCAACAGCCGAGACCAGCGCGACTTCGATGATGCCCCCACACCCGGCGGTGGCTACTCTGCTCCTACTCCTGGTGCATATGAAGCGCCGACCCCTGGTGCCCCAACGCCTGGTGATTGGCCTGACAGTGCTCCCACCCCTGGTGGAGCTTTCAGTGCACCAACTCCTGGTGCACATGCGGCTTATGATGCCCCTACTCCGGCTATGGGTGGCTCGGCTGCTACGCCTGGTGCTTATGGTGGTAATGACGGTGGTCCACGGTATGACGATAGCCCCAGTCCGTGATTTTATTTCGTCTTTTCCCCAGGCTACAAAAGCTTGTCCTTTTTCGCACTACAGATATCATTTGGAATAGGACTGGTTTCACATATGTACTTTACTTGAATCAATTTTTTTTCTCTTCATGAGCATCAGCCAGCGGTAGACGTCGAATTGCAGCTGAATATTGTCTATTTCACGACAAATTATACATCATCTGGCACCTTAGACTGAAGGATTGTACTTCAAGTAGAACACAAAACGGTATTCATTTCTGTAAATTGTCTCTTCCCCTTTTTTTGAAGTTTTTCACTTTTTTAACTGTTCCCAATTTCCACTTGCACCAGTTGATTCAATCGGTCACCATTCCCATCACCCTGTCATCCATTCTGTCTGTCTGTCTCAACGTCAATATCATCTGAGACCATGTATTCCCCCTCCCATCATTGACCACACAAAGCAAAGTCCAAAGACTCACAGCCCAGCCCATTCACTCTCATCAAACTCCGCCAAGCCCTCAAACCCCCAAGACCTCGAAGCCCGCTCACGTCGACCCCCAAGTTCACGAACAGGAGACCGTCCACGAGGCGAAGCCTCACTTCCACACTGAGTACGAACAGAAGAAGAATTACCCCAGCGTTCGATCTTGGGTGCCTTGACAGAATCGATGCTGGTGTCACTTGCGGTTGAAGCATGCAGTTCCAAGTCGTGATCTTTGAGCTGGTTTTCCCATTCCATCTTTGCGAGCTCTAAGTTCCGTTTCGCCTGTTTGAGGTCTTCGAGCTGTTTTCGCCAGATGGGGTTGAGTTCTCTCGGATTGGACTTGGCTGTTGCGTTTTCGATGGCCATCCAGGTTTCAATGGTGTCTTGGGGGGTTTCTCCGATAGCGGTCATGGTTGATCCCCAGCCCTGCACGTCGGGTCGATTTTGCTCAGTGACTTGGGGTTTCTTTGGTGGAGATGAGACGTTTGGAGCGGGAGCTGGGGCGGGAGCAGGTGTGACAAGTCGCTTCAAACGATTCATCCAGGCTGATAGGACGTTTGCGTTAGTCCCTTGGGTTCCTAGGAACTTTGGCCAGCCTTTGAATCTATAGGTAAGATTGTTATCAGTATAGAGAGGGAGAGTGGGTAGTGGAATTGGAAGTGAGAGAGATGGAAGTGAGAGAGAGGCGTACCGGAAATACACCATCAACACGAGGAGCATGAAGGCGAGGCAAGTCAGGATGATGAGGATCTCATCACAGTGGATGGTGAAATCCAGGAACTCCCAGTGGGCGATGGATAATTTCATATACATGATGAAGAGTACAAGATGCATGAGGTTGAAGTTGGAGAGTTGAGAAAGGAGAGTTGAGAAAGGAAGTAGCGAAGAAGGGAAGAAAGACAAGATGAGATGGAATTGTTGAGCCTGAGGAACTCCAAGTCTACAGCCACAAGTCACCATACACTCTCAATACTTGATCAATTATCTCTGCTGCCCATAAACACTTCTCGTCTTGGAAGTAGGGTGCAATCACCTGGACTGCACAAGGAGCTCCGTCTACTTCATCCGGAAGGTCTAGCATGCATCAGTGATCTTCTCTGCCCAAGGAAGGACATGGACTCACAATCAGGTTGCACATCGTCTAGGGTTGCCATCGCGTTTGGGTCAAGCTGCTTCGATGCCTTGCCGAAGGGAATTATACAAGCGGGATACTGTGGTTGTAAGTCAAGAGATCAACGTGTCAACTCTAGCAGGGATAACTCACATCCAGCACATTCCACATCGTCGTATACGGAGGCCAGCCATATGTGTCGTGTCCCACCGCTGTATTCTGAGATCCGGGTGCAAGGACAACATCAAGATTGTGCTCAACCCAAGCCTCTCTCCAACGATCCGAGAGCTTCTGACGAGCTTCATACAACGGCTGAATGGTCTCAAAAGGCCCAAGTCCATATTCAACAGGGAACGGACCAGTGAACATCGGCGAAGCAGCCTTCGCAACGGATGCCACCGCCGGTTCACCACTGGCAGCAATAAGATCATCTTGAGGACCATATATGAAATACTGGAAAGCAAGACGCGAAGGATACGCAACATCCAAATCCTCACCTAATCGAACAATTCGATGTCCAGCTCGAGTCAACGCCTCAAAAGCGCAATCCAAAGCCCTCTTCACAGGCGGATGAAGCGGGAAATCCTTATCCTCTGCAAGGACACCGATCGTCAAGCTTGCCTTCTCGCTCAGACCACGGGGAACACTATTCCATGGCACAGCCACCGCACTAGAGTCATACCGCCAAGCGTGACCATCGCCAACAACCAGATTCATGAATAACTTCAAATCAGAAATACTATGTGCCAATGGTCCAGCGGAAGGAACCAAGCCTGGAATGCCTTCTTTGGCCCCAGACACCTGGCCGCCAAAGGGGACACGATTCGTAGTCGGCTTGAACCCATAAACGCCGCAGCAGAGCGCAGGAATTCGAATCGAACCTGCGATATCAGTCCCTACGCCGAGGATGGATCCTCGGAATGCAACGAGGGCGCCCTCACCACCACTGGAACCACCAGCCGTGAGTCGAGTGTTGTGCGGGTTCAGGGTTCGACCGAAGATATTGTTCTCCGAGTCTCCTGTCTGCGGAAATTCAGTATGGTTCACATATATCAGGTGCGGGATCATACCATCATTGTCTGCGGGATGTTAGTCTTGACGTACAGTACTGCACCGAGCTGAAGCAGCATTTTCACCAGTGCAGAGTTCGTCGTTGCGGGTTTTTTCTTCAGAAACTCGACATATCCAATTGTTGATTGGACGCCTTCCACGCAGAAACTGTCTTTAAGACTGATTGGCAGGCCGTGTAGGGGCCCTGTGGGCTTTCCCTCGCGCTGGAGATACTCGTCCAGATACTGTGCGCGCTCCAGTGCCTGTGGGAAGAATGTCTCTGTCAGACATGATGTCTAAACATGTCAGTGAATGCTATGCCCTTTTTCCAATTCATGCTGTCCATACCAGCTGTTGTGCAATAGCAGCTCTTTTACAGAATGCTGTTGTCACATCCAGCGAACTGACACGGCCAGTGGCTAGCCTGACTAAAAGCTGGCTGGCGGTATAGTTCTCGGTGATATCCAATTCTGTATCGGAGAGCAGGCCGCTGCGGCGGGGGATGTCGGCTTCAATTAAACGGGGGGTTTCGGCAAGTGCAGGGTGCTCGGTATTTATCCGCCATTCGAGGGGGATTTTCTCTTTGCATTCTTGTTGTTTCGCTGTGACGAGGTCTTGCCACTTTGGAGCCATCTTGTAGTGTGTTATGCCTCCTGCTTGATTCAAGCAGGTGATCGACCCCTTAAATATTGTGTTTGACGTGCCTATGCGCATGTGTTTATACCCCACTCCGATGTGTGTCGAGCTGCCTTTTTGGGATAGCTTGTTATAGCCAAGGCTGGCGATTGCAAACTGTCATTTGCCATGACTGTGTGATTGATGTTTTGCTAAAATACGCAAACATCGTTAATTGGCTCACATGCTGTTTTCTGATGCAGGATTTATTGGAGCACCGGGGTATTTAGTAGAACATCCATTTATATATGAGCCTATGAATATTTCTAAAAATGCAATCTAAATTTGATTCCGATTTTGTATAGATATAATGAAAGACTATAGAGCTCCATCGGTACTTCAAGCAGGGAAATACTTAAGTAAACTCAGTGTGCCATCTGTCTTGAACTATAGAAGTGTCCCCGGCCTCATCTCTAAAGCTGGCAATCCTTGCCCTAATCGAGTCACTAATTTTACTTCGCCACCACATCCTCAGGCTTAACACCAGGGAAGTTCGTCAAATAATAAGCGTCAATCCAGATCTTCTCTCCCTCGCAACACATCACCCCTAGACACACAAGTCCATTTAACCAATTATACGGACCTGGTCCAGCCTCAATGCGCAAATGTGAGAAGAACTCCACATCATCCTGTGAGACTGTCGCAGGAGGAATCATCTCGGGATCTTCTTCAACGGCCTTGGCATAGCTTGTCCCCGGGCCTGGGCGATATAGGCCATGAGCGCGAATGTAGAGGTGGTGGTTGTCAGATGTGCGGACAGTATAGCGAGCGTCGAGAGTCATGGACTAGAATAAATGGAGTTGGTCATTTGTACAGCGCTATAGATTTCCACCTGGACAGGTATGGAGTCTGTGTTCTGTTTGGGACTTACGTGTGTCCCTTTCACAACAGTGGCCCAGTCTGCACCACCAAGTGGTAAGATCTCGCCTTCGATGCCGGGCCCCCGTACACTCCCGCGCACAATGTTAGCGATGCTGCGGATAGTGCCATTGTTGTGAGGGGCACCAATATTGACCTCTTCTTTGGCGATGTCGCATTCTAATCTGTATAGCCAGGAAAGTGCAGGCTGGCGCATGGATGGGCCATTGGGGAATATTCCATTTCCGGGAGATGAGATATCAGACATGATCACTTTAGAAAGCAAATAATGTGACAATGTCTGGAATTGAACGCCTTTTGGACTATGTCATCGCTTTATGTTTCCCCGCATCTCCAATTCCCAAAGGGGAAGGCCGACGCACCGGCTTATTGTAAAGTTTATACTTTATGCGACAAAATCAGATCTACTCATTCTAAACTTCTTAAATATATGATCATGTGAAAAGAATCTTGGCTAACAGAGTGACGGCTTTTGAGTTTGGTGAGCCTACGATATATTTCTGCAGATCCCTGAAGGGGTTTTCAGCCCCAAGCGTCATAATGAAGACTTCAGGATAAGTTTCTCTCAAAACGTAGACATGCAATAGATGGTCCGGTTATGTCGGATTCACCTGCAGGGCCGGGGTGTCAGGATGCAGTCAGTCGTTGAGTCAAAAATATGCTTAGATATATCTCCAAAAATTTTTCTTTCTTCAACATCCAGTCTACCATCAACTCATGTCCTACCAAGTCTCCAAAAGGCCCCGAAATAGAAGGAAATATCTAATTATCAACAAGTCCTAGCACAGTAACGGTAGGTCTCACTCCGGGGATCAAGTCAGAGGTGTGCTAACGATCCAACCTTGCCAGATATCTCGGGCGATGAAACCACCAGTTTCACCACACAAGGCGATAGATTTCGAAATGTAATCGAGGAACTCAAAGGCCAACTTGAAGACCTGGACCAATCTCAAGCGGCACAGTTCGAAGAGCTCCAAAATCATATCAGAGGTCTATTAGCAGACGGGAGGACAGGAAGCCCTCTTATCTGCGATTCACGATTCAGTCAAACATGCTGCAGCATGTGGGTCTGCTGTAGGTAAAATTACTGAAAGATACGGCTACAGCTCATCGGTGTGCGCTGTACGAGTATGGTGTACTCGTGCTCGTATGTAAAGAATAGCATGGCGGGGACCCATTTCTGGTGATCATGTTCTTCGCTGATCTAGGCAGTGATCGCTAAATGGATACTCGTACATAGATGGTACCACTATTTCGGTAGCCTTGAGATCATAGCTGAAGATTTATCGTGATCACAGATTAACATGATTTGGTCAAGGTGTCTTGGCTTCAGCTTTCCCCAGCCCCCGACCCACTTGATCAGATTAAGCCGAGGGGCATTGGTGCTGATATTGTCGACGTGTGGACCAGAGTTTGCATTGCCTATGGATCTTGTGTTTTAGTTGAGCCGATCAATCCCCTTCTTTGTATTAGTGTTGGGTCTGCAGGAAAGCACAGGCCAATGGTTTTGATATATGAGATCGTGATGGATCTTGCTATGACGCACCCCAGTAGATATGACGATTGGGTGCATATAAGGGAAATATCTGGTTTTGCTTAAGTTGATCATCGACTGATGTAGTGCGAGTACTCGTAACTGCTGTCTCTTTTGTGCCCGGGAGGTTAGTAAACTGGATCTGTCAAGATGAATGGTCGTGTGAAAACAGTGGGGTTTAGCTCAAGGGTACTTAAATGATGAACCCTCGTTGAAAGTCAACCTCCTCTTAGTAAATTCCAACGAGAAAATGGGACATCAAGACGCGGCTGAAAATTATGCAAAGCTTTTCGAAGGCAAAGGGGAAGGGCGATACCTCCTGAATCCAATTGTCTTTGAGAGGCTTCACCCAGGAGTCATTGGCTATTTCGATGCTCATTCGGGGGATTGGACACCCATCGCTGACTTGTCAGACCCCCAGGCATTCATGTCCGAGGGATACGTCGAGGCCTATAGTAGAAAGCTGGGAGAATATAAGAAAGCAACCCGGGATTGGAACACCAGGACTTCCGAGAGCGAATCGGCACGCAGCTACCGCGGCAATGCAGGTGCCTCTGGGGCTGCTGGGGGTGTTCCTGCCGAGGCCAATGTGGATGTTAAGTACAAGAAAGGCTCCGCTGGCCAAGCAGCCCTGATCGCCAATGACAAGGTCAACTATGAAGCATTCCTTGGGCCATTCAAAGACACCACCAAAGCCTGGATTGCGGCAAACGGACAAAAAATTGTGGATGAGCATGGTTCCAGCGCCAAAGAGAATGGAATCTGGGCCATTAAGGGTGTCTACTTCACCGACGAGTGTGCCATCAAAATGACGACCAGTAGCGACCAGGACATCGATGTGGGCGGTGATATCGGGGCCACTGGTTTCGGCAAGATTGGTGGCGGGACTGGATCACTTGAGAAGCTCGAGAATAAAAGCTGGACTACATTCCCTGCGGTTTCAGTTAGTGAATCCCCACAGTTGACAAATGATCCGGCACTGACACATTGACGCAGGGATCAAAGGGACAGGTTGTCTCATATCACGGCCTTAAGTTCAAGGCTCGGTCTCTTTCGAAGCTGTGGAGCTCCAAGGTAAGAGATCCCGATCCCTTTTGCGAACATCGATACTGATAAGATGCAGGTTTTCTCTACTGATGTGGAATGCTCAGTGGGCCCTGTCACTACCTCCAAGCGCCCAGTCTACGACCAGGATGGAAAGTTGACCGGCTTTGAGCCTGTTCAACGGTCCCAGAAGGATCGTTCCGACAGCCCACTGCAGGATGACTATTATTATGAAATTGAAAAGACCGGAGAGCCAGAAGCAACGGATGCTGTTGGGGACGCTGAGGATGATGAAGTCGACGACGAAGGAATGACAGAGGAGGATGTCCAAGCAGAGAGAGAAGAGCAAGAGCAAATCAAGCAGCAGCGCAACCAAGTGATGCTGGAGGATTGGAATGCCTTTGTCAAAGAGACGGAAACTATGAATGAGTATTTGGCCAAGGAGAGGTTGGAGCGTTTGAAGGAGGCGATCAGGGAGAGACAATCCTCTGACCAGAATTCAGCTGAGATGAGCCAGGGCTAAATACAACGGAAATGAACAGAAAATGAGGGAAGAACTACACTAGCTACAAGAAAGATGCCTGGGAGGGCAGACCTGCAAACACCCTTCAAAGAAGGCTTTTCGGTTTGGCGAGCCAATACATTTCTCCGGAGCCCTGGACGGTTTTCAGCCCCAAGCGTTATAATGAAAACACTAAAGTAGTTTTCTCTCAATCCATGGATATGCAATACTTAAGTAGATGCTTCCCAAGTTTCCTGTCCGGTGATCTCTACAGAATGGGAGTGTCAGAATGCCGTCAGTTGTCTAATCAGAAACATGCGTGGATATATTTTCGGCCGTTGAGGAATTCCAATTGTCAAACATCTAATTCTCCCCAAAATCATGTCCTACCGAGTCTCCAAAAGAACCCGAAATAGAAGGGAATCTCTTTCAACAACCCCTAGCACAATCAAGGTAAGTCTCACCCGGGGCCAAGTCATAGGAGACGTCCTAACAATCCAACCTCGCCAGGCATCCCCAGACGACGAACCTACCACTTTCATCACCCAAAATGCGATCGAGGAACTCAAAGGCGAAGTAGAGGACCTCAGGAATAGGAACCAGTCTCAAGCGGCACGATTCGAAGAGCTCGAGAATCAAATAGCCGCAATGGGCGGTGCAGTAGCCGACAGGAGGACACAGGAAGTTCACTCGGCTGCAATTAGTGCTTCAGTCACCAGGCATACGTCTCAAGCAGCAAGAGTAGAAGAGCTCGAAAAGAAAGTGACAGGTCTATTAGCCGACAAAATGACACAGGTAGCTTACTCGGCTGCAATTACCGATTCAGTCGCCAGTCACACGTCTCAAGCAGCAAGACTAACAGAGCTCGAGAAGAAAGTGAGAGATCTATTAGCCGAGAAAAAGACGCAGGAAAATCGGTCGTTCGCAGTTCGCGAGTCGGTCTTGACTCGCTGGGAAAATCCATACAGGGACTCTATTTCTGACCAGCAAATCCTGCAAGTAGCTTATAGCGGCGATATCTGTGCGGATATCGAGGCCATTGCGAAGATGGAAAACTTTGATCGCGAAAGGTCGAAGACATGGAAGGAGGCGTTTCTACGTCGATATGGGGTTTCATGGCACGACTGCAAGGCAAATGATAACCTTCGAGGGGTGTCTTGGGAGATGATCCAGGTGTTCAATATGCGGGCTTATTTCCTGAGAGAAGGTAGGAGTCATGAAGTTCGTACTGTTGTGCTTTGTGATGCCTTTATTTCGATTTGGAAGGATAGGCGTGACTGCCGCGTCCCTGCGGATCAGTTCCGTCGTCTGCGAGATCTTTACTACAAGAACTAGTGCTCAGAGGTGAGGTGACGAATGGCTATTCTTCTGTTGGGTTCCTGTTATATTGCTCTCTGTTGCGGGCTCCGCGAGGCAGAGTTACAGTCGTTGCAATGATAAAATCAATTTGCTTCTGTATTTGATGGGAACCCAACGCTTTAGCTAATGTGACAAGTGGTATCATTTCGAAGAAATAAAGAAACAAACAAAGAAATAAAAATGAAAAAGCAGCTAGGCTGCTTAGAACTCCAAGTTCATCCAGTGGATGAATGCACATATTGATAGAATCCCTCCCCTCCCTCCCCCTCCCTCCCCTTACTTATCGCCTGGCCCTCACTCATCCTCATCGTCCCCCCAGTCGTATCCATCATCATACTCGTAACCTCCCGCGAAGGCATCATCGACGCCGTCGTCATTGTCGTCCTCCATATCCTCATCCTCCTCGTCATCTGGATCGTCGGCTGCATCGTCGGCTGCATCTAGAGCAGGTTCGTCCTTAGCAGGTCCACTCTGGGAAGCAGTCTTGGCATTTTGTGAAGCAGTGGGGGCAGTAGAGGGTGGCGTGGGGAGTGGAGCGGCGGATCGGATAGCAGAAGGAGGGCGAGAGAGTCGGTTTTTAACGGGGGTTGCCCGACGGGAGCGGGCAGCGCTGTCAGGTTCGATACTGGCACTGCGCCGTGAGGCAACGCTTTGGCTGCGGCTCCGACTGCGGGTCTCACTCCGGCTCATGCTTTCCTTCTTGGGATTGCCTCCTTCTCCACCGTAAAGCGTATCGAGTAAAGAATAGTTGATCTTCTTACTGTAACCCCGGCGTTCAAGCATGCGACGTGTAGCTTCAGCGGGAGTTGCGGCTCGCGTTTTGCGACCCTCTTCGCCTTCTTCGCCTTCCAGGTAAGTGACATCGCCGAGACGACCGCGACGGCGCTTGCGATTTTTGCGAGGTGCAGGTCCGCCGTTGGCTTCTTCTTGAGCTCGTTTCAGGGCCTTGGCTTGCTGGATCCGGAGATACTCCTTGTTCTCAGTGACCCATATGGCCTCCTTGAACTCGACCTCCTCTGGCGTTAATAGACAAAAAGCAACTTCAGGGTCGTCTTCGAATTCTGCTTCGTCGACTTCGGTATTATCGGAAACAGGAGGTCGTGTGGGTTCCGAGGCGGCAGTTTGGACCATATTAGAGTCGAGAATAGATCGTACTTCGTTTTCTAGCGCTTCTTCGATTGCAACTTCATCCGCGGATGGTTCGGGCGTAGGATCTCGCTTCCGTTTACCCAGGGTCTTGGCCGTATCGGCTTTCATTTCCTCAATCACGTCGCTGACGGCTTTGGCGACGTCTGAGGCCCGTCGACCCTGGCCCGCGGTCAAAGCCGGATCAATAGGGAGGTTTGGAATGGCGAATCCGTCGGCATCCACACGGCGTGGCTGTGTCGATTCGGCTTCGCTTTCGGATAGGGAGTCATTTTCGATTTCAGCCGCGGTCGTTTTAACACGCTTGATGCGGCTGTTTCGGCCCTCGCGGCCGCGGGTAAAGGATGGGGGGTCATGGGTATTTTCTAACTGGACGGACCGGAATTGGTCCACGGTCAGTTCACCACTCTCGGTAGAACTGAACTCGTTCAAACGTGTGCTGATTGTGCTCTCGGTGACTTTGACGATGTAAACGACCTCGCGCACAGTTCGTCGGAAGTTGTTCATGCGCGCTGCCAGAATCAGCGCCGCACCGCAGAGACCTGCTGGGCGTCGACCGGTCGTCATCCAGTCACGGTTCATGCGCTGAACGATGCGGACTGCTTCTCCGGCCACCGCCATCAGGGAGGGGCCAAATTCGAGTTGCTTGGCAAAACGGTAGATTAAACTTTCGGGGTCGATGGGGTTCATGAGGAAAACGTTACCCCCCAGGCGAAGCTCATCGAGAAGAGCTTTGTAGCAGCGACCCAACTTAAACACGTTTATCATCAGGACGTCGGCAAAATCGATCAGCATGACCGTATTTCCATTTTGACGTCGGCACGCAATGTACAGGCACACAGCTGCGACGGTTTTGGTGCGGCGACCTTGGATAAAGTTGAGTCCCACGGCAAGTTTGAATACCTGACCCGCTGCCTTAGTCGCACTCTCGGGGATAAGTAGGGCTCGGGAAAGTTGCATCATGAATCGGTTTCCGTTTTGCTCGGTCATTTCCCGGCTCTCCATGGCGCCTCCGCGTTGGAAACCGGGGCCGTAACTGCGGACGTGGGTCTGATCTTCTCCGACGAAAGAACCTTGAACCATGGCCGCACCGGAGGAGGATTCACCGAAGGTGACTTCTGAGACGATGTTGGATTCGCTGATGACTGTACCACAGCCCGCGCAGACCCTGGTGCCTCCATCATCGACGATCTGAGGGGCAGGACAGCTTGGGTTAGGGCAGTTGGAGGTTTTCGGGTGGGTGGTAGGCTTGGGAGCCTGAGGACGACTGATTGACTGCGGGCGCATGATTGGAGTCGCGCTGGGAGGCTTAAGACTGGCCAGCCGACCAACCGGGCGGCGGGGAGGAGGCACCGGACGCGTGCCGGACCTGGGAGCCGACATGATGATTTATGCGGAAACACAGTGAAATAAGGCAATGGACTGATGCACGAGACTCTTGAAAAGGGTGACGAGGTCCTTACAACCTCAAAAATGGGAGTTGTCGAAGTGAATCTTTTTTTTTTGTCGCGGAGTTCGTATCGAAGTCACGGTTGCCGATAAGGAAGAGACAAGAAAATCCCAGAACGGACAAGCGCGGGTTTAGTAATCTTATGGGATTTTCATTGGCGCAGAAGTGAGGCGGTTAGTCGGGGCAGAACAATGTGAATTGACGATCTATTCACATCTATTCATCTCCTATTGTTCTTCGTATTCTTCAAACCTATTCATCTCACTGCTATTGATCTATTCAGATCTCATCTATTGTCCCAATCACGTCAAAAATACCATTTACCAACCAAATTCAGTCAGCATCTTCTCATCTTCCACAATCTTTCCAAATAGCTCTTTTGGTGAACCCTCAATAGCAGCCCGCACAATAGGTCGAGCCCCCTCCTCTGCAGACTTGACTCCCCGACCACCTCCAAAGTTGGTGCGACAGTAGCCTGGGCTAGCTAGAACCACGAGGATGCTCTCCTTCTCAAGACTGACAGCCTCAACAGCACTAATCATATTGATAGCTGACTTGCTACTGCGGTAGACTGGCAGCTCCCACACCTTGGCATTGTACTCTGAGGTTGGCGAGTACGCAATGCCAATTTGACCAAGGCCGCTTGTTACATTGACAATACGTCGGTCATGGTACTTCGATGCCCGCAGGAGGGGTAGGAACCTCGCCGTCATCACTGCCACGCCGAAAACATTGGTTTCAAACACCGCTCGGTAGCTCTCGCGCAGAGTAGCATTTGGGTCTGACGACCTGTTGATACCGGCGTTGTTGATGAGGATGTCGAGCGATCCGAAATGCTCTTCGACGATCTTGGCTGCGGCAGCGATGGATTCATCTTGGTCCAGATTGATGACAATAGGAGTCAAAGACCCTTCACTGCCAGACTCTTGCAGTTGCTTTACTGCGCCTTCGGCTTTCTCCTGGGAGCGGGCAGCCACCAGAAGATTATATTGGCCGGTGCTGGCAAGCTGCTGTGCTGTCGCGAATCCCAAGCCCTGGTTTGCACCAGTGATCAGAACCAAAGGCTTGGTGACAGTGGCCATTGTGAGAATGCTTGTATTTTTCGAGCTCGAAGGAAATGTAATGGATGGTCAATCAATACCTTATCCTCTCGGGCTTAAGTATCCAATATCACAGTCATGCAAATGGTCTTAACGGAGTTTAGGATGCATCCCACTTCGGATTTAATCGGCTTTGTCGTTTCCAAGACCCGATCCCTGCAAGTTACATGGTCAACGGGCTAAACATATACCCAAGTCGGGGGCTAGATCCTGACTTCTCCAATATTGCCCACTTGAGTAGGTGGTTCACTACTGTGATTTTTCGATACCTCATACTAGGCTCACCTACCCTCTCACCCTATACATGAACTAAAGTGAGCATACCCGGATATTTAGATAGTGGAACTCGGTGCATAGTCAGAGGCGATATTTCAGGATAATTCTTTTCTCTCTATCGATTGGGATCTTCTAGTCCATTGCCGTTCTACAATGCATGCCATACTGAAACACGTGACAAGTCACGAGAAACACGCTAGTCCAATGGAAACGCGCTAGCCCAAAGCGGACTAATGGGCTGCTGAGTCATGATTCCCAAACAGGTAATCGCGACCTGGATCAACCATGAGAGCCTCGCAACTGCCTTGTACTGGATTCACACGGTGGTTGCTTTTGCAACTGCCCTCGCATTGCTCTTCAGGCCGTCAAACAATTCAGCAGAATGCCGGAGTAGATACGCTAGCCACATACATCGGGGTCCTGGCCGAGATGTCTGGAATGCGGCATTTCTGCGTTTTTTGCGTGGATCGCGCACAAATCTCGCAGCGCCATCCAAGTCATCTATTAGGTTCTGGGATTTTCCCTTTTCTTCTTTCTTAATGAATCATATGATGAAATTTGTCACTTGTTCTTTTGACCACAGGAAAATTCCCACTTAAATCCAGTTTTTCCACTTCCATCTGCGCTCTACGTTGAAGCAGCCAATCTGGCGACACTGGGATCTCTCGATACTGTGACGATCAAAAAATTCAAGATCCAAAGCTATCATCCAGCCGATCATGTCACCCGCCAAGAATCAGTCCCCGGATCTGGAGGCTGCCCAAGACTTTGACAGTCGAAAGAGTCTGTTTTTCGTCAGCAATGTACACTGCGCGTCATGTGTCGCGTATATCACAGAAATACTCTCCGAAGTACCAACAGTCAGGGATATCGATGTCAATATCTTGACACAAGAAGTGCGCGCCAGCCACGCGTCCTCAGTCCGACCAACCGACCTCGTTGATGCTCTAATCCAAGCTGCATTCGAAGTGCGCTACGTCACAACCTTCAACCACCAAGGAGATATCATAACAGAGCTTGACACATCGTCATGGAATCACCGTGGCTCGGCGGTGTTTCCATCCCCGCGAGCTTCGGTTTCCAGCTTCTCCTCGAATATCAAAGAGCGACTTCAGACAAGCAGACACAAGCGACACATCGCCAACTGCGATGCTTGCAAGAAGGAGGAGATTATTAATTCCCCTTGGGATTCTCCAAGGGTAGACCTGGAGCCTTTGGCTGAAAAGCCTCACGCCAATGTCCAGGAATCAAATCAGAGTTGTGAGAAGGATCTTGGTGTTTCGGATCTTGTTCCATCACCAAAAAACAACGAAACAGACTCATTTACCTCAACTTTGAGACTAGAAGATGAATACGTCGCTCAGATCAGCATTGGTGGAATGAGTTGTGCATCATGTGCCAACAGTATCACTGCAGAACTTCAACAGCTCGACTTTATCAAAGATGTCAATGTCAACCTTCTCACAAACAGCGCGAGCGTGAAGTTCATCGGGGTTCGTGAGAATGCGCAAAAAATCGTCGAGCAAATTGACGATATTGGCTTTGAGGCGGCCCTCGACGAAGTCACCTCCACCACACCGGCGCCAGTCCCGGCAGACCCATCTCTTAAGTTCGTCGCCGATATCGCCATCACTGGCATGACTTGCGGTTCCTGTGTCGGGGGTGTGACCCGAGGTCTCGAGGAGCTTCCCTTCATTCAAAATGTGACAGTGAATCTCCTTTCGCATAGTGGGAGGGTGGAGTTCGAAGGTCGAGATAATCTCGACAACATCATTGAGAAGATCGAAGATCTAGGATACGACGCAGTTGTAACCAGCGTATCAGCAGTGAAAAGCAACCCAGATGTTGCTACGACGCAGGCTAGAACAGTCTCGATTCGAGTGGACGGAATGTTCTGTCACCACTGTCCACACAGTGTCCTTGGCGCTGTGGAATCAGTTGCAGATGTCACAATAATTGAGGCACTGACTGAAAAACATCCTATTCTCAAAGTCACCTATACTCCACACCCGCCCTCTCTCACCATTCGCTCAATCATTTCAGCCATCCACTCAGCAAACGATTCTTTCAGTGCAACTGTCTACCATCCACCCAGTATTGAAGACCGATCGCGTGCGATCCAGCATCACGAACGAACTCGTTTGCTGTCGCGGTTGCTCTTCGTCTTCCTGAGTGCAATTCCAACCTTCATCATAGGAATTGTATTCATGTCTCTTGTCTCTTCCGAGAATTCTGCCCGAGTCTATTTGGAGCAACCAATGTGGTCTGGTAGTGTGACACGTATAGAGTGGGCACTGTTTATCATGTCAACGCCAGTCATGTTCTACGGCACCGATGTTTTCCACACCAGGGCTTTCAAAGAGATTTACGCGCTATGGCGCCCTGGAAGCCGTGTCCCGATCCTTCGACGTTTCTACCGCTTTGGTAGTATGAATCTACTCATCTCCGCAGGAACATCTGTTGCCTATATCTCGTCCCTGGCAGTGTTGATCGTCGATGCGGTCGTCGGCACAAAATCAAGTGCCCATAGCACCACATATTTTGACTCTGTCGTTTTCTTGACTCTTTTCATTCTTGCTGGTCGATTCTTGGAGGCCTACAGCAAGGCCCGAACCGGTGATGCTGTCACATCTCTAGGAAAACTTCGTCCCTCTGGAGCACTCTTGGATGATGCTTCCACTGAGGACGGAGTGACCCGTACAGGTGTTGATCTACTGGAGGTGGGTGATGTCGTTAGTATCCCCCACGGCGCCTCGCCCCCAGCAGATGGAACTATTGTCGACGGTGCCTCCTACCAATTCGACGAAAGCTCGTTGACCGGAGAGTCGCGGCCAGTCAAGAAATCAACCGAAGACATGGTCTATACCGGTTCGGTCAACGTCGGTCAGCCAGTGCGCATTCAAATAACCGAGCTGGGTGGCTCATCGATGCTAGATCGGATCATTGCTGTGGTCCGTGAAGGACAGAGCAAACGCGCACCTCTCGAACGGGTGGCCGATCTTCTCACTTCCCACTTTGTCCCAATCATCACCCTGATCGCTGTCTCCACTTTTGTCATCTGGTTGGCTTTGGGTAACTCAGGGGTTCTTCCCGCGGACTATCTTGATGTCGCACATGGCGGTTGGACGTTCTGGGCTCTGGAATTTGCAGTTGCAGTCTTCGTGGTTGCCTGTCCATGTGGACTGGCGCTTGCAGCCCCTACTGCCCTGTTCGTTGGAGGTGGCCTAGCAGCCAAGCATGGAATATTGGTCAAAGGCGGCGGTGAGGCGTTCCAAGAAGCAAGCCGCTTGAACGCGATTGTGTTTGACAAAACCGGAACATTGACCGAGGGCGGAAGTTTGAAAGTCTCTGATCACGATGTCTTAACCAATGACACTGGATTAGCCAAAGTGGCATGGGCTCTGGCTCGGAAGATGGAGGAAACCAGCAACCATCCAATTGCCCTCGCTATAACAGAATCTTGCAAATCCCAGGACTCCGCCTCTGTCAAGTCATCCGATGTTCACGAGATCTCTGGACAAGGCATGAGGGGTACATTCACAATCTCTGGCCCTGAACAAGACGAGCAGTACGAGGGTGCAATTGGCAATGAGCGTTTATTGCAAAGTCTGATTTCCCCGGAAACCGACACCTATTTTGTTTCCAACCTCTTGTCCAAGTACCAGTCAGCAGGCAAGTCGACAGCCATCTTATCACTCCGCAAGATCACCGATTCCACAACATCCCCATTCATACCAGCCATCATCTTCGCAACCTCAGACACAATCCGCCCCGAAGCCATCGACATCATCTCTCAACTCGAAAAACAAAACGTGGAAGTCTACATGTGCACCGGCGATAACCAGAAAACCGCCCACGCTGTCGCAGAAATGCTGGGAATCTCTCGCTCAAGAGTAATGGCCAATGTCCTCCCCGCCGAGAAAGCGACTTTCGTTCGCCAGATTCAAGAACGCTCAGATAATGGAACAAGCACTCCCAAATCACGTCCGATTGTCGCCTTTGTCGGTGATGGTGTCAATGACTCTCCTGCTTTGGCAGCAGCGGATGTAAGCATCGCCATGGCATCCGGATCAGATGTCGCGATCAACTCTGCCAGTTTTATTTTACTCAATTCGGACCTCAGCACGATCTTGCAGCTGGTTACGCTTAGTCGGCGGGTGTTCAATCGTGTTCGTTTGAATTTTTGCTGGGCGGTTGTTTATAACCTCTGTCTGGTTCCTGTTGCTGCGGGAGTTTTCTATCCCATCGTTAGTGGACATCATGAGGTTTCCATGGGTGGTGAGATGGTCATGGTGAATGATCATTGGAGATTGAGTCCGGTGTGGGCTGCACTGGCGATGGCATTAAGTAGTATCTCTGTTGTTTTGAGCAGTCTGGCACTACGGATTGATAAAGAGAGTATCAAAAAGATGCTGGGGCGATAATTGTTACTTTTGATCATGTTTAATGGGTTTGATTTAGCGTTATGTATTCATATTCAAAATACCAATGGATCCTGTTTGCAGAGTTGCCCAAGGTAGTCCTCCTGATAAACTATGATCAAGATGATCCTCCCCAGATCTCGGCAATGCGCTTGCTGAGATCCTTAGCTACCTTCTTGCGTCCAACTAACTCTGCCATCCGGGTCACTATCATCGTCTCCCGCTGTTTGGGCTCCAGTACCGCATAAGCCTCCATCAAGTGTCGAGGCGTCGGCCATATTTGTTGAATTTCAAGTGCTTTCTCGCCTGTCACACCACGTGTACACATAAGCATTTTCAAAAACACATCTCGAAGGGTCAGCGTGTCAGACTTGGATGTGAGGGCTGAGAAAGTCGAAAATGAAACACCGTATGTACTCGATGGATCCCGAGAGCGCAAATTTTCAAGAATGGTGAGGAAAGAATCATTCGCCAGACGACGAGCAGGTATCAGACCGATTTTGGATATTTGAGCTGCAGGAACGGTGGTCTCGACGTGATTTGATTCTCCGCCTGATGGATCCTCCACTCCGTACATCTTCCGCAGAAGCAGAGTCATACGAGCCAGGTATCGGATCGATTCATCTAAGTGCTTTGTCTTCTTGATGAAGTACTCATTTAGGACTTGTGTTGATGCAATGGCCGAAGCAACCATCTCTTGATACTGTGCTGCGCTCCCACTTGTGGAATCTGCATGCGTGACTGTAAATTCTTCGATCAAGTAGATGACGTTTTTGATGCCTGAGCGACGGAGACGGAACTTTTGTTCGTGGAATCGGCCATCTTTGATAGATCCAATTAGATCGTCGAGACGCTTTCGCTCTACAATCCAGTCGAGCATTACTTCGTCGCTTTCTTCGCCGTGGCTCTTGAGGAACTCTGGGTCATTGCATTTGGCAACCCACATTGCGTCGCCGACTTCCAGAGCTCGGACTTGCGGGGTGATTCCTTGTTTGATCAGTTCACCGGAAATGTAGTCGCGGTCGGTGGATGTGCGGACTTCTCGAGTATCGAGCACAAGTTCGATCGTGAAGCTTTTCGGTGGTAACATGATGGGCTGGATGTTGTCCATATCTTCTTTTGATAGATTTTCTTCCACGTCCGGCGGGTTGACATCTTGCTCGGGTGAGTTCCGACCATCTGCGGCTGTCTGCTGTGACTCTGTTGCTGGGCCAGATGTCGCGGTCTGCGCAGCACCGGGCAATGTCTTCTGGAGACGTTTGGCCACCTCCCAACCTTCCTCGGAGAGAAGATATCTCCGCAATGGCCGACCATGCTCACACACATAGTCTTTTTGAACCAGTGTCTTCATTGAATTCCACGCAGTGTAGAATTTCGTGGGATCTGGTGGGGCTGTGAACGAGCTGTCACAAAATGGCTGGGCAACTTCAATCAATTGAGCCTTCGTCATCCCCTGCGATGCATTTTCACTCTGGGTTCCCAATCCTAGTAATATAGCATATGGGCCGGACCGTAATGTCGGGACGTATGGCTTGGTCTTGCGAGGTTTCTTCGCTGGCTGGTCCTCAGTGCCGCCGGCATTTCGTTTTCCACCTATTTCGCCTCAGTCATCTCCTCCAGTCACCATGAACGGGGACACCAACCTTTGTCAGGTGGCTGTGGCATAGGAAGTCCATTTTCGTCACAGTGTGCCTTCAACTTATCTGTCAACCGGTCACATAGTTTGGGACCCAGTCCATTCAATTGCTGGGCCTGGGATGGATGCTGGAATTCCAATGGACAGGCTTTCATGGACTCATATGCCTTCTTGTAACTACGCGGTTGTCAGTCCTGCATTCAAAGCGGTCGTGTATAACCCACACTGTCACGCCTTTACTGTTTCGTTCTCGGGCCTGATCCAGCCATTCTTTGATCCATCCCAGCAATAGGGGATTCGCACAATCCTCGCTCATGGCGAGCCAACTGATTGAGTGGAAGTCCAAATCGGCATTTGAGGAAGCAAAGACGCGAAGTGATGTTACCCTTTTGGGAACGCGACTGGCACGTGCTGATAGGAGATAAGGTGTTCTCTGTTTGCTGCTGAACTGCCCAGGTGGTCTTCTCTTGTATACAGTGTTCAATTGATGTCCTTCAGGGCTTTCCTGTATATTCTAATGATACTGCAATCAACACTATTCTCTCCACAATCTCTACAATCTGATTCCATCTCCTTCCAAGGCTCTACTAGACCCGATCTTCCTTTACTGATCTTTCCGATCTTTGGCAGAAATGTGCACTTAATTCCAGGTTGGATTTTTTTCCACATTCAATTATGGACGAGAACAAGGCGACCTCTACATATTTGCTCAGTAATAGGTGTTGTGGGGTGAATCGAAACTGGGATGTTTCATTGTTGCCACCGTTGCCCTGATTTCGGTGGATGACGTCGACAATCTTGAACAACACATAACAGACTACCCAACCCAAGGGGATCTTGATTACCGCCCACATTTCACTTGAAAAGCAAAACAATTGAAAACCGACATCTTTCAAGCAGTGGCAAGTGCCCGCCATGGAAAAATTCCCCAGTAAGACCGACGATCAAGGCAACCCAGAATCGGAAACCCCCGATGGACCAACTGATAGCCATATACTCTCTCAAGTCGACCAAGATGATAAAGGTCTAGTTCAAAAGGCCGGTGAGACCGCAGAGATCACCAATATCGGCTGGGGGCACTCTCCCGACCAAATTGAGGAGCCGCTAGTGGCCGGACTCTCCAATGAAGATCTTTGGATGCTTATTAGACGTTTCGACAAGGTTAATTATCCTGCCCTTGCTGATTGAAGGATTCAGTGACTAAGATCTCGGTCACAGCAAGTCTACAGAGTCAAAGCAAGACCCGATGCGCCATTGCAGCGACTAGATCTGACCCGAACGGATGATGACGAATTCTCACCAGACAAACTTAGAGCAACACTCGAACGCTTCTACATAACTGTGGTGATCAGCTTAACCAGCTTCATCAAGCATGTGGCTCGTTTACGGTCTTGGAAGGAACCAAGACGGACAGCCATATTCGGCGCGGCATGTCCCCATAAGAAACAGACTACCATACGAGACATTCATTCTAACTCTTGTCTCACAGGTATACCTCATAGCATGGCTTCTAGATCTTCTTGTCCCGACCATACTGGCAACTTTGCTTGCCTTGGTGGTATATCCACCCTGCCGACCACTCATGTTCCCTCCTGCGCCAATTGCCCTTGTCGATAAAGACACAGGTGGCGTTCAAAAGCCCAAGGCAGGCATCCTGGGCTCCCACGACAGTATTACTGGAGCACCAGAGAAACACAAGGGCATGGCAGCAGAGCAAGAAGCAAGTAATTTAGTCGCCAGTGTTGCCAGCGTTGCAGTAGGCAGCGCAGTCGGGAAGCACGACCAAGATGTTCCCGACGACGCGCCACTCGAGGATGACCTCCCGGATGCAATGGAGATCGTCGCCAACACTGCCGATGCACAAAGTGCTGCTCATGGAAAGGTTCCTGCAGATTCTCATGATAAGACACGCCAACCTATGAGGCAAAGCGTCATGGATGCTGCCAACTTGGCAATGCAGGTCGTCAACGATATAACAGATACTTACGAAAAGATGGGAAAGTTAGTGAGAACATTTGCTGTATGTTCGTGCACGAGACTGAGTATTGTTTTCTAGTGCACTCTCTGCAACAGCGCCCTTCCCGCGCTTGAGTCCCCGTCTGCGCTTGGCGGCGGTTTTATGTCCAGCTTGTCTGGCTTCGATGGTGACATCCAGTTATGTATTGATGAAGTCAACCACATTCATAGTCGGCTTTGCCTTCTTCGGGGATCCTGTCATCCGGCGTGGAGTCAAGTATCTCAACCGACGGTTCCCGAAGTGGCAAAAGGTCATCGAGCTGCAGAAGTATGTGTCCGGCTTTCATTCGGTCATACTGACTCAAATTAACAATTTTTCAGTTCTCTCCTCAAAGGCATTCCAACAAATGCACAGCTGACAGTTACATTGCTCCGCATTGGCGAAGCCAATGCATCACCACTACCCCCACCCCCGAATTCGCAGGAAAAGCCGCCCTCCCGACCAGCCTCATTACACCACGAGGAGCTCACCCTGGGTGCCACCGGCGAGGAAATCCAGGAAGCTGCACTGGAAAAGCCAGACGTCGACCACCATCCCGAGACTGAGCAAACGCAGGAGAAGCCTCACAAACGGACACTGGCATCAGGGATCCTAGGATTTTTCCGCGGAACCACAGCCAGCGGCGTCGAAAGCAAACGCGGCATCGATCGACTGCGAGCAACAGTCGGTTCCCGCCATGCCAAAAACCGGGTTGGCGTGCTCCGGCACAAAGGGAAGATGATCACACCCATTGGCCCTGTCTCATTCGATGCCAGATACAAAGGGAAACACGGTACAGTGATCATTGACTCGACAAAAGAGCCTGCACTACTTTATTTCACGACCGAGACTCCATTTGTTAACGTCGAGGTGGAGAATCGGAAAGCTGGCTCGGTATTGTTTACCATGCCAGTCAATGAGATTCAGGAAATGAGGAAGCTGGGCGGTATGGGATGGAAAGGCAAGCTTGTTGTTGGCTGGGCTCTTGGTAGCAAAGAAGTTGTTGATGGATTGCTTATCACCGGTACTAAAGCTGGGCAGAAATATCAACTTACTGCTATGGGTACTCGGAACCAGTTGTTTAATCGGCTTGTTGCGATTGATGGACAGGTTTGGGCGACTTGCTGATATCCCACGGACGTGTGCTAAAATAATCCCAGGTTTGGAAGTGAGGCTTCTATTTAGTCGGATGCAGTGTCTGTATCGTGCGGGGGTGCTATAAAATATCATTCTACCATTAAAACAAGCCGCATCCTAGTAAAGCGTTAGAGTTATAGGTCATGATTGTTGAATTCCTCCCTGCTTTTACGCCATAGTATGGTGTAAGCCACATAGTGGCTGAGTGGGCATTCTTGGCAATTTGGCCTCAGGTCGCCATTTGGCCCTGAGGCAGCTTCAATTGACGAAACTGCATGCTTCCGCTATGGAGAAGGACCGGAATTACGCGAGATTTATGCATGCGGTCTACCATCGAATTCTAGCATGAACTACAACGGAGATTACTACGGCAAACGGCGTATTGCTACCAGTCCTCGATCCAATTCAGCCGAATTCACGACTCCAGTAAATTCCGCCAGTTTCCCGCTGAGAAGTATAAATAGCACGTATTTCCCTATTGAGAGCAGTACACAATCTATAGATTCATACTACATACGTTTGCAGTCATAGATTCTGTCGATTCTTCTACCACTTAGTTCTTGGATACTTTACATGCTGAGCAAGCACCTGCCTGTTCAACAATGATCACTGTTCTTAACAACGCGGATAGGAATATCTAAAGTACTTAGTAGAAGAATGCTTATATGATTATATTCATGTTATTCAATAAATAATTATGCCATTTGATAATAGCATCTATCCCAGCTGAATACAGTATTCAGTGAACCGTCAGTTTCTTGAGATGTATCCTTCATATTATCGTGATTCTATGCTAATTCAATCCCATTATACCAAGGTTACGTCGTTTGCTGACATCGTTGCTTACATCGTTGCTTACATCGTTGCTTACATCGTTGCTTACATCGTTTGCTACTGTCGTTTGTTATTCTCGTTCGCGATTGCTTCCTGATACTAAGTATTATATAAAGGTGCTCCCCTAGATCCTTCTTTCTTCTTCCTCCTCCCATCCATTCCCATGGATAGACCATCACTCCTGAATTTCCTTTCATGGAAATCTTTTCCTCCATCCACCTCGCTAGAAGGAATCTGAATACCCAGATAATGCAGACTGGCCTCAGCCTATGTGCTCAGGTTTAAGCCTGCTCATTCATCATCTGCGGTCCCTTTCCATCCAATGCCGTCTTTGAATCGGGGTGAGTGGTTTTTGAATACACTCGGTGTGTTTCCGGGCTTTACTGACATTTTCCGTAGTTTGGTAGCAAGACTGCAGGGGATGTTCGCCTCTCTGTCTCTCTGTGGCTTTGAGCCCCAACAGCCGCGCACTGTGTTAAGCCGTCGTGCCCGACGATATGGGTCTTTGTCCCCCTGCAACCCGCCCGGTATTGTTTCCTTCACTCATGGAGTTTTCAAAGAGATTCACCTTGTGCTAATTTTTAGGCAGCCAAAACTAGGGTTTGTCTACAGGACCTGCCAAAGCAATCGTCGGTTTGTGGGCCTTTGGACAGTACATCGTCAACCTCATATGGACCGAGAATCATTCACTAGTCGGGACATCATGGATTTCCTCCACCTCATCCGTTGCGGCATCATGGTTTTCCTCCCTCTCATCCGTTGGGGCATCGTGTATTTCCTCCCTCTCATCCGTTGGGGCGTCATGGCTTTCCTCTTGAGTGTAAATTCAACTTCTCGCAGATCTCGGATCTTTATCGCCATGCTGAGCGCTCTGCTAGGTGCTCCTACCTTCTGAGTATTGAGCATTGTCTGGGCTGTTTGCGGGACTCAGTTTCACCGACTCAGCTGGGCAGGGTGACACCCGGGTGCAGATTGAACTGGTCTCAGTTGGTCTGTCATTGGGCCATGTAGAGACTTTCCGATTGCCCTCCTTGGACTCGGAAGAAGATGACGACTCTTCCTCTCAATTGTCTACCCGTGCAGGTGCACCTTCAGCCTCCATGGTGCCTAACATGAGGCGATGGTTTCTCTTCACGCCTATCAAGCTCCGCAAGCTCCCCAAGCGTATCGAAGAGCGCATCGAAAAGGAACTGGAGTTCAAACATACCGTCGATGAAGAGACCTGTATTTTTTTATGAGTCTATTCTCTACGGAGCCGACACTGCGAGGAAATACCGACCTGGTCATTCAATAATCCCACCTCAGGGCTAATCAACAAAGCTCTTCTACGAGGGCTTAGTGACAGGAACCTCGGTGAAGATACATAGAGTTCTGAAGAGCTCTAGGTAGCAAGATATCTACTACCGCCGAGTTCAAGGAAATGTTCTGCCCCCCCCCCCCTCCAAACCCCTTTGCATGGAGCTCAGCCTATGGCGCTCCGGGTTGACTGCCTGCTCACTTATTATGTGCGGCTCACCTGTCTGGGCAGTGGAGAGCTGCCAAGCTTCACCATCCCAGAAGAGCCGATTTCCAACAACATACAACACCCCGCAGGCCCAACAGGAAGTTGTGCGCCGCGACGAAGAGCTGGAGACAAAGCTCTCATGTGGTTCCCACCATGCGCCTCCATGGGAGCGCCTACTACCTGACCCAATTACTTTATCAAACTGATCGATATCAGCTTACGGGTGGCTCCATGAATTCACAGGCCATACACTCACAGGGTGCTGACAATCGCCCTCGCCTTGTTGCGGAGTCAAGTCCAGCGCCGCTAGCCACCTGATCTTATTTTGCCAACAAATGGGCCTCGGTGCCCTCTATGCTGCATTTCACGCTGGCTGTCTTCTTGGGATTTCAAGGATACCGTCGATGAAGACACCCATGCTTTGTATGAGTCTATTCTCTACGGAACCGACACTGTGAGGAAATCCCGACCTGGTCATTCAATAATCAAACTAATCTTTTTTGCTTAGATTAACCACCAGGCCGTCGCCGATCATGTTGGGATGGATGTGAAGACAGTTCGCCTGCGCCACATTCTCCTCATGGAGAAGATTGCGGTGAACCTTAGCGCTGAGCGTGCCGCCAAACAGACCAAGAAGGAGCCCCGAGTTTGGGTGCTTTCTCACTCTGGTCTTCATGCACGATTATCAAGCTACAGAAATGGCAGAATTTTCGCAACTCATGTTTTATCTAATGCTCTGTAAATATGATATTTCCCTTCTCTTCTTTCATGGAGACTTTGATAATCTTCGATACTTGCTCCACCTCATCCACCCGTCCACAGAACACCAGATCATGTTCTGGGCGTGTATCAACCCGACTTGACAAGAATGGTAGAATGCAAGATTTCCACAATACCGCACGGGATTTTCTACATAGTATGGCTGTAGCGGTAAGAAACCCAATCGAGACCACCACGTTAACAATCGGGGGAACAACCCACTCCCATCGGACATGGATATAAGTCTCATCTCGAAAAGCTTGTCCAAGGATAGTCGTACCCCTCGAGTTGGCTCGCAAGATGTCCGTTATACTGTGAGCGATATTGCTGAATGTTTCATTCAGGTCACCTCGGTCAAAGAGGATCGAGCTTGCAGGAAATCCGGGAATTTGCTGGCTGCTTAGACGAAACACAGATTCATGGGCTGAGCCGACGTTCGTAGTATTTAACCAGCTTATGAGAGCCCCTCTAAGACTCCATTCTGCATAGCTGACCTTTGCGTAGGTTGAATTATCGGACACGGCCTTCGTGTCATCCGGTGGGCCTAATGGAGATATGCTAGAATCGTGCCAGGAGGGGGGTGGATCCACGTATCTCAAGGGGCTGGTTCTTGACGGTCGAAGGAGACGGTGGTTGACTGATACTCTATTTTGCGTGTATTGCTGTTCGCAATAATAAAGTGCACACTCTGTCAAGATTGGCTTTTCTACAGGCGCTATAAGATTTTCGGTGGTGTATACGGATATTCTGTCCAGGTATTTCGCCGAACTAAATTGGATAATTGGGTTGGTGATATCAAGGAACTTCACTGGGGGCTTGTAGTGGTCGTTCTGGTACATGTCTCCTTGGAAATTCCAAGGGGTGGAGCCTTCACTTGCGAGTGAAGTCCATGTGGTGCGATAGAAAACCATGTATCTTTCGCCTGTCTCGTAGGTCACAGGGAAATACCAATAGTCTATCCCAGGGACGATTTTTACTCCATTCGGAGTCGTGTATGTGCAGTTCAGAGGGATATGCTCGGGTATTTTGCCATTGTCGAAATAACTTGCGTCTTTCCAACCTTTCCAACCGCTCCAAGTCTTTGACAGAGCGGAGCAGTTCTCCACGCTCGATGTTGTGATGTCTTCGCACTTACTGCACACACCGAGAGTGATGAAATCAGGGTACTCGCAATCCCCAGTGCTGCAATGCGGTTCCACAGGGGTATAGGCGGCAGATATTCCACTCAAAACAGATTCCTCTATCACCGGGTCGTGTGGACCAGTTGATGTATAATAAGACCTGTCAGGGGAGTATTCGTGTGTCATTCGGACCGAGGCCGTTCCATTCAAAGCCTCTGAACTTCGAGATGGAAAGGTCAGGATCTGCTGTGTGAAAGGGCTAAGAGCGACCGATGAATCCATAACCAACGCTCCTACTGTGGCCAGTCCTGGGGTCGTGGTCCACAATGCGTTCAAAGAGCCCCATGGGCCCCTACTTGCCTGGTCCAAAATCTGCAAATCGTATAGGGGTTTGGGAACCTGATATCGGTTCCACTTCAGCTGACTGAGGCAAGATGATACTACAACCAGTGCTGAACCTTTGGATATGGTGATGATGGTAGCCACAACCGCGTTGGGAGAGACACCGTACTGCCAGCCATCATAGCCTTTTCCATCGACATATCGAAGGAATATGACAAGAGCTGAAACGCAAATAACACTCAGCACACCGGCTGCAGTCTCCCACACCCAAGAGCCAGGCCAGTCAAAACCCTTCTTTTTTTGTTGCGAATCTGGATCGGTGGAATTTGTTGCAAGATAATTGGCAGCATCCTCGTTGAAATTTTGTCCTTGAACAGTTGGGCAGCAGACTCGGCAATCCATTTTTGGCAATTATGCTGAGAGAAAGGTGACTCTGCTTCTCTTTCGTCCATATTTGATAGCTCATACATATCATCTCCTATCGGTTCGCTCAATGGTAGATGTCTATAGGTGTTTTTCGTGAAATGCCTTCGGGCTGTTGTCTCTCGTGGTGCGACCTAGAACGTCTAAATTAGCCAGCACGATCTGGTAGTAGCAATATGATCTGCCTCCATTGACTCACGGGATCAGCGACTTCAGTTGGTCTCATCTCAGGTACTTTGACCTTGCAAATACTTGTTTCAAAGGGACAAACAGGCGTATCGTGAATTATAGGGACCCGGTTGTTCAGCATGGCCTTCTCGTCAAAGTATTTCTCATCAATCCATTGCAGAGTAATCCTGTTCTTCGGGGGATCGGGATCATCTTGCAAGTTATGACATCGTTTGAACACGATCTTGAAGCCATCGCCCATATCACCAGCGGCCTGTATCATAACCCCGATGTCAGGATTATTTTTCGAACACACCCAATAAGCCCAGTGGTCACTGAATGGGCTTCCGTTGTAAATCAGCAATTCAACCTTCACTGTTCTTGGAGGACCTGCGAAAGTCACCGTCGGCCTGGGGGCCTTGGGAGTGCGATTCTCCATGGCGGTTGGTATACATGGAGGGAAGATGGAGGGTGAGAAAATAATTTCACTGACTTAGCTGGGGGGAGTGGCACCCGGGTGCAGATTGAACTGGGCGTGCAGGGGTTTCTCTTGGCATAATACACCTTGAACCTCCATGTTGCCCAACATGGGGCGATAGTTGGGATGATACTAAATGCTCATGATCGAGAGCATGGAGTATCTGTAAGAAAATGTGATCACGGTCACGGATGATTCCCCCTGTTTGACACATGAGCTGGATGAACCCCTGTTGGGGCGTCTTGTAGGCGCTAACAGGAGGCGAATACAAACAACCCTGGAGAAATCTCATTCTGAGTGCGATCAGAGGGTGTCTAGCAAATATCAGCCTAGACCCTTCAGTATCTCTCCCCGTCCAATATAGAGACATCTGCTTCATAGAAAGTTACTTCGAGATTCATAGAATGTCTTCTGTCCCCACCTCAGGGCTACGACTTTAGGATGTGTTCACCTGGGCATTTTTGATACACCCTTGGATCACATACTCTATAAGTTCATAATACTTAGGACTTTTAAAAAGTCCACAAAGCTCACAGCCCAACCCAGCCCAATCCAACTCACCAAATGAGCTTGGTTTTGGAGCCCGTAGCTACATATCATAGTTAATGGGATATAAAACTTGGTATTACACTACTAAACATAGTATGAAATCCACAGAATTCCCAGTCCTTACTATCACCAAAGACCAATGAATAGAATTCCTTGTCCTCCGACATGAACTGGGAGTTGAAGTGATTAAGGAATCCAAATCACAACAAAATGAAATACACCTGTAGACGCTTCCAAGGATACGTATCCATGCTCCCGCGTGCGTTGGCCTGTTTTAATCCACTTGTGTTCTCCTGGCATGGTGTCGAAAGCCGAAGGGCATGGTGATCTTTTGTCTATATAAACAGCATCTGTGTCCAGTGCAGAATTTAGTCCTCAACGAGTGAACATCCCGATTCCACATTCCACATTACAGATTTTATATCTCAAAGCAGCATTTGGACCTCTCATCAAAATGCCCACAAAGGTTTACATTCTTGTCTGGGTTGGTGCACCTCTAGACTACACCAAGTATCGCCATACAGCTCTGTTTTTCGAGTTTCCTGATGGATCTAAATGTGTGCTGCATATAGAGGAAGCGCCTGGGATTTTCGAATTTGAGCCACTCGAAGACTACGATCCCGAGCAGAGTCAAAGACTTGCCAAAAAACTCTTTGTGGTGGAGATTCCAGATTCGGTTCAGGAAAGCTCCATCAGGGAAGTTGTTTCTGAAACCCCGGTGAAAAACGAGCGTGAGAACTCGGATTGGAACTGCCAGAATTGGGTTGGAGATGCCCTTACCCGGATGGTCCAGAATGGGTTTTTGAGCTTCTCTCAGCCAGAGTCGGCCGTCAATCAGATGGTAGATGTGTTGTTGGAAGCCAAGAATTAGAAGGGCTGCTGGGCATACAGGTACTACAAAGCGTCAGTTTGCCAGCAAGAATTGCATGGTGAATCTTGGAACTTTAGAAGGATACAGCCTTTGCGGTGGACTTCATGAACTCCCAAGGTTACATAGAAGCTAAAGTGCTTCCAAGATTCGATTTGTTCAGACAGCACCAGTGATGAATTCTTGCTCCCGGGCTGCGTTTTGTGGGGATTGAAAGGGGAAATGTGCTATATGTATCTAAAGGTTTCCTTACCGTTCAATGTTGGAGAGTAAATTCATGATTCATTGCTCAAGTTAGCCTTCTTGGGAAAGTCTGCATGACATTATAATACCTAGTGAAGAAACAAGGCCGCAGTTCTAACCGGACAGCGTAGATGGTTCGGTAGGGCGAGGTAGGGGGAAGTGCGGTCTAATCATGGAACCTGTAGAGACTTAGGATACACCCATGGTCATGGCGCATACTAACGGATTCAAGGAGTGAAATCATGGATGCTATTCTAAGGATGGAGCCTGGCTCCAAGAATATGCTTTCTAAAGTTGTAAACGCTGGCTCTCCTAACGAGGCAGTGTGGTTAACAGGATTAGTCATAATAAGGAAACACCTGGGCAGGGGTTGATTATGGTTTTCAACGGATTCGGGAGCTTTGGGATCTTACCTCCGCGGCGACCTCGGAATGGTAGTCAAGCTGATGAGATCACTTGTGCAGTTTGACGGAGAAGCGTATTCCGCTCTTGTCTATATATAGAGGATGCTTTGGCGGGGGATTTGGTTCTTCATACTACTTCTCGATGATCAGGACTCAATACATCGCACATACATTGAATTTGCTTAAGGTATCACAGGCAGCGGTAACGAGCATCCATGGACAATTCAGATATCTCCCATTCCCGCTAATGTCTCAAGAGACCTCGAGCCAAGAAACTCATGCCGATGTACTCTCTCTCAAACCGCGGTGGAAGAATACGTGCCATATATTCTGGCCAGTCAGGCATAGGCTTCCATTCCCGCAGCGCCTTGATATCTTCCCAGTATTCCGGGCACCAGCCACCATATTCCCAATCCAGAATAGCTGTCACCCGGCCCCCTTCGACAAGGATGTTGCGCGGGGCGAAATCGCCATGAGTGAAAACAATCTCATGACCATCCATGAGCGCAAATTTGGCATAGTGTCGTAATAAATCTGGAGCTAACCTAACCATATCTCCCAAAATGAAGTTGTTGAATTCCTGCTCGGTCTCAAAAGGGCCGCCTTCAAGTGGTGCAATCTGTCCAATTATGGCTTTGCCGTGGTCAATAGCGCCGATGTAGCTACCTTTCAACTCGCGAAGTTGTTTCATGTAGGAGTGAAGCTCAGAGGCGATGGAGAGCTTTTGATCAGGGGTTAAAGTCTCCCATGCTTCATCAAGTCGCTTGCCGGGCATGTAGTCCATCACGATAGCCACGACTTTTCCATCCTCCCGTTGAACATCATGGACTTTGGGCACAGGGATTTTTGTGTTGGTCGCAACGAAGCGTAGTGTTTCAGCTTCTTGGACGCGCAGCCTGCCTGATTTCACGACCTTGTTACCGACTCGGACAATGGTGCGACCATATAAGGAGTGAATGACTGTTTTTTCTTGGTCATTCATGGAGTCCATTTTGAATGAAGAATATTGCCTTCTGTTGCATATCAGAGGTTCTGAAAGATGGACAAATCTGGTGAATCTCAGAAAGAGGGGAAATTCGATACGGCAAATCGACCGGTTGTCCCTATTAGCCCTGCAGTACACTACAAGGCTTTATAGGGTTTAAGAGACACCTAAGGCTGCCTGGGGCTATGTACTGTTACGGACGAGTTGATGGGAGCCAACGAGTTGAGGGGAGCCAACAAGTTGAGGGGAGCCAACAAGTTGAGGGGGACAACGAGTTGCAACATATAGGGAGACCAGGGTAGATATACTTAAGTACTCAATGACATCTTATTGGTCAACGCTAGCCGCCTTCTACGAAAGGATACTTTACTACCTGTGGAATTCTTTGTATTCTGAAGCGCGCTGGTTTGATTGGTAACAATTGACCAAGGCTCACCACGGCCAAAGCACAGGCTCGTGTAGTGTATTATTCGATCATTCTATTGACTATACTGTAGAAAGATCATGAGGACGAAGAGGCAATCTATTGTTAGGATTACTTTGTTCGGGTCTCACCGCCGATGTACCTCGCCTTCGCAGCGACCCAGTCTCAAACACCATCTGACCAATTATAATTAGGAGACTATTGCTTCCACACCCCAAATCCTTGCTACCACACCCTGCTAACCCGATCTATAGAATTGGGAGGCGGTCAGCTCGAAACCCCTGCTGTAAATATATTCCACTGGCACAAAAGTCTCACTAAATTGACTGGTTTTCAACATACATATATTACATAAAATACATCATCAGGATCCAACTCAATCAGCTAACTTAGACCATAATTCGACATATTGAGCGAGAAAGACATCAAGTTTAGATATAAAATGAAGCAAAAATGTTCAAACCAGTGTAACAAGCAGATGGGGAGAGCTGAGAGGTGCAGAGTTGGTGGGTGTGAAGGTAAAATGGGAGGATGGTATTGCAAAATTACAGGGGTGACTTGAGTTTGTATGGGATATAGTTAATAAAGCAAAGTATCCTGTGTATTGACCTAAGGCGGTTATGTAAAATTCGGGGACGGTAAGCATTTTCAACTGGCCGCCTCCCAATCGGGTCAGCAGAGTGTGGTAGCAAGGATTTGGGGTGTGGAAGCAGTAGTCCCCCATAATCAGATCCCATGACAAGCCATCTAGAGATCTATAACCCGTCATTACGATACTTTCTCATCCAGCCCGTTGACCAGCTCAGTTCACCATGGGCATGTGGAGCTGTGATATCGAGGATTGCGACAAGTCGTCTGTTCGCACAGATGGAGAATGCATACTTTGCTGTCGTCATCTTTGCGCTGAACATTTGAAGCCTGAGTATCATACATGTCCGCCGTGGGAGGTGAGTGAAGAAAATCATATATTATATGAACCATAATAATCGTTGTTTAACTATCACCAGGATGAAAAAAACTACGATCCTGCAGCTAATCGAGCGGAGCAAGAAGAGATCAATAAACTTCTTGCTAAAATCAATATCACGGCACTCACAGATCGAGCCAGCTATTTACGCCGGGGCGTCCGCTGTTCTATATCGCAGAATCTTCAATATGACCTGTCGACACGGAACTCAGTTATGGGTGGTATGAATTATCATATTGAGATTTCCTTTAAAGACGGGGTTTGCTGGTTGGCGCGCGTTCGGAGATTCAATGTTACTTCACCCCCTCTGGAACTGCAAAACTACATCATGCGCAGTGAGATTGCCACACTCGAGTTTTTGGAAGAAACAAAGGTTCCTGCCCCAAAGGTCTTTGATTTCAGCTTGGATGAGGCGAACCCTGTTGGTGTTCGGTACATCCTCATAGAAAAATTGCCTGGGAGATCTCTGTCCTGGTCTGTTGCTACCCGAGAGCAACGCTTGAAGGTGATTGATCAGCTTGCTGATATCTATATCGAGCTGCATGCCCATCCTTTTCCCATGATGGGCTCGTTGGACAAAATTGATTCTAAACTTTTCATTAGGCCGTTTGCAAGAGAGTCCATGGCCGACTTCGGAGAAACTGGATTGAAACTGCTTGGACCATTTTTATCTTCAGAACAGCATTATAATGCACACCTCGATTTGATTTTGGACTTGATTATGCGGCAAGAAGCTTATGCAAATCGTCCAATAGACGCCTTTTTGATACACCGTTATCTTCAGGAAAACATTCTGAAAATCCTCCCATCTGCAAGCCTGGATGACGCGTTCTATTTAAAGCATGCAAATGAGAAAGGAGATCAAATTTTGGTGGACGACCAGTTTCGAATTACGGGTATCATTGATTGGGAGTGAGCGCACACGGGTCCCAAGTTTTCGGTTTTCAATTCTCCCATCGTTCTCCTTCCAGTTGCTGAGTTCTACAATGGGAATAATGGCCTTGGTGATGAAGAAATGACTTTTTCCCACTTGCTGGGAAAAAAAGGGCATACCGACCTTGGAGACATAGTCAGAAAAGGGCGGCTTCTTCACCGTCTGCAATTTTGCTGCGGTTATGACCTTCCTGACTGGGATGGATACAAGGACATCTTCATAGGCCTTGTCAAGGCCTTACACAAAGACGACTCGAACAACCTGGATTATGAAACTTGGAAGGCAGAGGCCACCCAGCGGTACAGTGCTGATCGTCAGCTCAAAAAGCTTGCCATTTTGTATGGGTAATCATCTATTGGAGGCACATCCGACTTCATCGATCTACAACAGTAAGAAGAGCGGAGAGATAGCGTACGGGGTTGACGCGGCAAACACCTGTTCACCTGATATAGGTCACGCGGAGATGGTCACTCAGTACGCCCAATGGGAGATCTTGCATAGGATTGGTCGATATGCAGAAGCCCTGGCCAAGGACTTGCCTGGCTCGATAAACTTGACGAGCTTGCTAAAAGAAGTGGAAGGCCTGCTGTAGTCTATTGCAAGGAGAGACTGAAAAGGACTGTGACACTTTTACCTACAGCGAATGTTGAAAGATCTAGAGTTTTAAAAATAGCGCTATCATCAGAATGATCAAGTTCATCCATCTTCAGTTGACTTCTCGATGACGAAGGTAAGCAGATTCTAGATAGACTTGTCCTTAACTATCTCGAGGGCAGCTTCTACCAAGTATAGGCTTCCTGTCACCAAGATGGGCCCTCCCAGAGCAGTTTTCTTGGCGCGTTCAATCGCATCTGTCACACTAGTTGCATTATGAATGGTAACTGGGGACCAGTTTTCTCTCCAGAACCGAGCAAAACTTTCCAATAAGTCGCTGGGGGTGGCGAAATGTTCGTCGTATTCAATCCGCTCGACCAGAATGACATGCTCAATATGTGACCCTAGAGACCTCACTAGCGTTTCTAGTATGTTCTCCCAGGAGCGCGTTCGCTTTTTTGAGAAATGAGCGAAGATAAGAACTGGGACAGAGCTGGTGGTATTCGTTTGTTAGATTACTCGCTAGCGGTGGCAAAGGGAACTTACCTAGGGGTTGCAACCCGTTCATACCACTTTGCAACTACCTGCATACTTGTCTCGTTGTGTGCTCCGTCCATGTACCAAGTGCACCCACCGTAATGTTGAATGTCGAAACGTGCGGGCCACTGGCACTCTTCAACACCAGCTAGAACGTCTCGCCCGTCTAGGATCTGGTGGAGAAATTCATGAGCAATTTTCGCAGCCAAGGCGCAGTTTTCTCGCTGTTCAAGTGGTATTTCCTCAATCTGACCGGTTTCGAGAAACTTAAGCAGAGCATCCTTAATACTTATGAACTGAAGTGGCGCCCCGATTTCTGCAGCCCTGCGTTCAATCTCACCCTCAGCCTCCTGATCCTGCGGAACAGAAAGCGCGAGAACTTGGTCTCTAAAGATTCCACTTTTATGCCATGCAATATGCTGTAGATTTCCCCCTAGATTTTCGACATGGTCCATCCCGATTTTTGTGATGGCAGTGATGGCAGGACGCTCAACGAAGTTTGTCGCGTCGAACTGACCACCGTGATGGGCCTCACAGATAACAACGTCGACGCCTTCTTCAATGAACGTGTGGAACGCCACGATGGCCAACATCTGGAGAAATCCAGGGGGCTTGGTACCGATTGGCAGCGTGGTGGAATTGAGAGAAAGACCCTTGTACACCTCAAAGAACCGCTTTGCGAAGATATCCTCCGGTAGTGGATTCGAATCGATCCGGATTCTATTCCGTGGCCACAAACTGGGCGACGTTTACAGACCGATCTTCCGTCTAATTCCGTTCCTGACTGCATGGCTTCGCAAGAAGCAGTCCACATAGGCACATGTGCTGCCTTTGCCTTTTGTCCCGGCGACATGAATAACGTTCAAGCGATTGATGTGCTCAGGCTAGTCTCTGTTAGTAATTATTTCTAAGAGGTAAACAGATATGGCGAGTACCTTATGCCCAAGAGTTAGTAGCCAGCTACTCATACCAAGTCGAGGCTCCGTTCCTCTCAAAGTAGGGGCATTTGGAGCCCTTGGGGCGCCCGGCGACAATGATGGCGTCGCCGGGATATCGGTAGGGAATGGCCGCCGGCACTGTTGAAGTAGTGAGAGAGCTTCCTAGGCCCGTTAGCTTTGGCATGTCACCCATGACAAATAAGCTTACTTGGTATGTCATCTTCGACGTTTGGGTCTGCCTCTATTGGTAGCGTGCTCCCACGCAGACCTAGGAACTTGCTGAGACAGCCAATATTGTGCGCAAGGCGACGATTAGCCTGAGATCTGTTCCTACAGCCGATGTACGTAATCATGGCAGTACATATGTGATAGGTACATTCCTCACTCCGTGTTTAGACCACTTGTTAAGATACTACGGGGTGATACTGTCTTTTTACCCTGTAAATATGTGACTTTTTTACTATGCATTTTACTCGTTGTATCTGACCAGATTGTTAAATCAGACCATTGTTGTATTTGGGTACATGTAGTCAGAGAACTTTACCATCGTGAATTTACCAGTACGTTCGCTGTACACCTGATTTCTGTCACTAATTAAAACCTCGCATTCCTCAAAGGTCTCGAGAAATTGGAGTGAAGGAATGATTTCTTGTCAACAGGCATCATTTATCTAACTTCACCACCTTCCGATCTGATATATTCTAACCAATATTTTGCGGGGAAGAAAAGAAATTCCTAAATACATATGAGCGTCCAAAGCGATGTGCTCCAATCACTCAGGTTGCCAAGACTTGGCCCGACGCATCGCGACTTTTCGAATTACGACGTTCACCTCTCCAAACGCCTCCTTGCTCTCGTCGGCCTGCAAGCTTTGCGTTCTACTTATTAAGATGGATCTATCTCTGTACTCTCAAAGCAACCTTCTTTATACACAGGAGTCATTGTCAAAATATCAACCTGGAGGATACCATCCAGTCAACCTCGGAGATACATTTGAAAATGACCGTTACAAGATATATCATAAGTTAGGATGGGGTGGTTTTTCCACAGTATGGCTTGCGAAGGACAGAGAGTCAGTTTGTCCAGCACCAACTTTGCCAAGCTCATATCCAGCTAATCTCACGCCAGCCGAAATGAATGGGTCTCTTTGAAAATTATGACCGCAAATTCGTCGATATCGCAAGAGCTGCAAAATTTGAACCTTTTAGAGAAGCAATCTCAAAGAGGGCTTTCCTCAAACTGTGGGCTTTCTTCGAACTACATTGTTCAACTGCTTGATGCCTTCCTCCACAAAGGCCCCAATGGGGTCCATCAATGTCTTGTGTTCGAATTACTTGGTCCTTCAGTTGATAAGGTCCTCTATGACTACTCTGGCAGCGACGAAAAGCTCGACCCGGAAATTGTGCTCCGAATTTCTACGCAGCTTTTGAAAGCTGTCAAATTTATTCACAATGCCGGCATGTGCCATGGAGACATTAGTGGTCGGAACATTGCATTCACTTGCACCCATTTGTCCAAACAAACTGAGGAGCAACTTTTTGATGTTATTGGTTCCCCAGAGATTGAGCCGCTGGAACGAATTGATGGTACTCCTCTGGGAAATGAATTGCCGGCCCAATTGATCAAAGCAGCAGATTGGACTGAGTGGATAGATGAGGATGAAGAAGATATTCGGCTTCTTGATTTTGGAGAGAGTTTCTTTCAAGGACAAGAACCTCAGAAGCTGGCCCAGCCGGGTTCATTGAGGGTACCAGAGACAATTTTCACCGACTCTTTTGATTATCGCGTCGATTTATGGCGCACAGGTTGCATGGTAAGTAAATACATTTACTATGTTTTTGAAGGAAATATACGAAGGAAATGTACTTAAGACGATATGAAATATAGATTTATTCCTTCTTATTCACAACCTGGCCATTCTGGTACCTTGGCGAAGACGATGTCCTAATCTTTCAAATGATTGGCTTTGTGGAGGAGAGATTGCCAGCTGAATGGGAGTCTAAGTGGGAATCAATGCAGACGTCTAGCGACGATCTGGAGCTAGAAGATCATGGAACCTCGAAGCTTGAACAGAAGTTTGCTGGGTTATCCGATCCAGCACTCGAACCTCTACTTCATGTGATCCAAGGACTGATGCGGTTTTTACCGTCCAGTCGCCTTACTGCAGAAGGAGCACTTGATTTGCTGGGTAACGCTCAAGATTAATGAACTACGTACGGGCCGAGAAACAAGTGTCTGGGTAAACTGTTTTCGAATTCTACTGTATTAGCGGGGTTCTCCTGAAGTCGTGAATCCTTTGAGGTTGGGTAGAAATAACCTCATCCCCTCAACGCCAGTTACACTATTTGGTATGTGATCTGATTTGAACCACACACTTGAGCACTCTTCGACCCTTGAGCGCCATGAGCCCTCCAAAAGTCATAGAGGCCCAACAAATCCCCTAGACCTGAATCCATCAGCATCTCCCCCCTCAACAAATAGAAACACTTACCTCCAACTTAGCATCAAGAATAACCTCCACCATCCTATCAATAGCAAGACACCGTTCCTGGGTACTAACACACCCAATCCTCACCAACTCAGCCAACGCCTCCCCAACCCAATTCTGACAATTCCAATCCCGATCCCCACTCCCATTCCTGACAGCCGTATTCAAACACGCCAGGTAAATCTTCGCCCGCGAAATAGACTCAGGCACCACGCAGACGGGGATGCGAGCTATTGGTGCCTCGGTGAGTGGGTTTTCAGGGTCTCGTTGGTACTTGAAGAATGGGTGTGCGCCCACTACGTGGAGCCAGTCGTGTTCGCTTTCGCTCCAGGTTGCGTGCAGGGCTGTGTGGCGGTACTGTGTGAAGTCTACTGGGACGCCTTTGTAGACGAGGATGGATAGTTCGGGCATCTTTCTTTCGCCTTTTGGTAAATTGTGGTGTTGGGAGTTGTCGGATCTGAGGGTGGGGTGCGGCTGATCCTGGATCCCTGTCTCCAGGTGTATATGAAATGTTGAGTATATCTCAGGAAATCATAATTGGGCTCTCTGCATTGTGTGTACCTGAAGACATCTACAGTATTTACATATGGTTGTCTTTTATCCACAATCCTGCGATGGCCCGAGAAGATACTTAAGTATCTGTTCCCAACCGGAGCCTGAAGTGGGAAATATATACCTAGAATCCGACCTTACTTCTAAATGATCAAATTAATTTTAATCTCAAACAGAAATCTTTATACATAATCAACTCAACCCATTTTGATAATCCCTCACAGTCTGCTCAAAAGACACATCCCGCTGGAACCCCAGCGAAATAGCCTGCGAATTATCGAACTGCGTAGGCCACGATCTCAAAATCGACACAAGCGACGGATCCTCCTTTTCCGAAAGTAAAGCCAACTTCTCTCTGCCCCCCACAGCTTCCAGCGCATCCATCATCCCCTGCACCGTGACACAGATACCAGGCACATTGATCTGGCGAATGTGTCGGGGCACGGAGTCCGCAGGAAGCCGAAGAGTAATCATCAGATTCTCCACCAAGATCTTCGGTGAACAGAGCCATGATTTAAACTGTCGATCTTCAATTGGAATGACACACGCATTTCCATCGAGTGGTTCCCGAATCATCCCGGATAGGAAAGACGATGCCGCTGCCGTCGGCGCACCGGGACGAACGGAGATCGTCGGGAACCGCAGTGTGAACCCAGTAATAAATCCCCGACGGGTATACTCATTCACCAGAGTTTCGCACACGATCTTCTCTGCGCCATAGGATGACTCTGGTGTCGGGATCACGCTATCGGTGACGATCTCCGGCAAAGGCTGCCCGTACACTGCCTGGCTGGAGGAGTAAATGACTCGGACCCCGGGACAGGTGTGTCGGAGGGCATCGAGGAGATTGCGCGTTGCGTCGATGTTGACGGTCATGCCTAGGTCGAAGTTGGCCTCGGAGCCTGACGACATGATGCCGTGGAAAGCATAGACGGCGTCGAGGGAGGCGTCGACGACGTCTTTTGCCCCGGTTAGGAGATCTGCTTGGACTGCGGTGGCATTCTCGGGGTAGCGCACGCCTGCGGGGATCGGAGGCTGGTTAATGTCCGTTAAGGTGAGACGGTAGGTGGGATCGTTCAGGAGTTCCTTTGCGAGCAATTGACCGACGAAGCCGGCAGCGCCGGTGATGAGGATGTGCATAGTTCAGTATTTCAGTAAGGTAGTCGATTGAGCAAAATAGAGAGTAAGTCGTATATAAAACTACTGCGCATTTCTCTCCGCATTTTCGCAACAAGTCCGAGATGAGCTTGTCGGACTTGGGCCGGATCTGCAGCTTTGTAGTATTGAGTATTTACTGTAGAAGGGACAAAGTACAGTAGAACTTTAGAAGAAGAACAATGAACTGATATACTATAGTCACAATAAATTTAATTACTTGAACTACTGTCTACAGGTACTATATTCGCCATGTTCGCTGTGTAGTAAAATCCATTGACAAATGAGAAAGTCGGGAAAGTCGACTCCGCGGGGGTCAGAGAGTCGCACACTGCATCTCCTTTCTTCTCCTTTGCTTCTTCTTGTTGTCGGCTCTTTGGCAGCCTCTAGTCTCCGACTCCGTTATTTCCCCTGAATCCGGAGCATCGCCGACATGGACGCTGCAACTCCGCTGAAACGCTCCTCCGATGACGCTGGTCTGGAGTCGGAGAAACGCCCGGCGCCCAAGATCTCCAAAGCTCGTGCTTGTGCGTGTTTTTCTCTGTTCTGTTCTGTTCTGCCTGCTCTCTGCTTTGTGCCCGCAATCTCCTTCCCCTCTCCTTTCCCCACACTAACGTGGAGCAGGCGCCGAATGTAAGCGCCACAAGATCCGCTGTGAATTCCGACCAGGCGAGTCCACCTGCACCAAATGCATTCGCAGCGGCATCAAATGCGTCGTAAACGACTTTTCGCAGAAATTCGTCGACGACGATGGCATGTACGGTGTTTCTCATCTCAGCCCCGGGCTCCACACGCTAACAACCGGGTAGTTGGAAATCCCAGGCAAATGCGACGATAAACCAGCTGCAGGCAGCTGTGTCACATCTATTACGACAGGGAGGACACCCTGAACTATCGACATACGCCGATACCGCGAATGGATCCAGTCCCGCCTCGCATCGTCCCTCCATCGATCGCTCCCAGACACAAACCAGTCACGCAGAGGGACCCGGGGTCGTCATGGATATAACGCGGGAGCCATCGCCAGAGCAGGATCTCCAGGACCCAGAGCTAGTTCCCGCGCCCATGCGCAGTCTATACGAGGTGACTAAACTACGAAATCTGAGGAACAATCATGTCGAAGCACCCAAGCAGACTTTATTAGAAGAAGACTTCATTTCACGGGGATTGATCTCGTTGCACGAAGCAGAGGAATTGTTCGCCTACTTCAGTCGCACCATGAATCAATTACTATGGGGTGGGATCATCCTTGTACACCGCGAGTTAACATCCGTCCGACGGGCTTCGACTTTGCTTTCCGCGGCTGTCTTGACCGTAGCAGCACTCCATATCCCGAACCGCACCGAAACTCTGAACAGGTGTTACAGCGAGTATGTATCGCTGGTCTCCAGTATGGCTCTGACCCGCGCCCACACCCTAGATGACATCCGGGGTCTTTGTGTGGGGGCATTCTGGCTGTCTGAATTGAGTTGGAAACTCTCTGGCCATGCCGTGCGCATCGCGACAGAGATGGGCCTCCATCAGAGTTATCAGCGCTTGACGCGTGGACACACGGATCAATACGAGCGTGCCCAGCTCTGGTATTTACTATACGTGTGTGACCACCATTTCAGCATCGCTTATGGTCGGCCGCCGGTCATCCACGAGGACGTGGTGATTCGGAACTATGAGACCTTCCTTGCGCTGCCGATGGTGGTGCCCGGGGACATTCGGCTTTTAGCACAAGTGGCTTTGTTTATGATTTTGACCGAGGCGTATCGCATGTTCGGCAGCGATACAGAACAGGCCTTGACTGAGGAGGACTTTGGTCAGTTGCGCGTATACAATGTCGCCGTAGACCAATGGCGACTCCTCTGGCAGCCTCGATCGGGTAAGTGACCCGACTCTGTACATTTGAGCTATCGGCCCTAACATCTTTGGGAATCCATTACAGCCGATAGTGCCTATGTGCGAACTTATCCGTCCAAAGGCGTCGTCTTGCATTATCATTTCGCCAAATTCCAGCTCAACTCCCTTTCTCTCCGTGCCCTGTCACCCTCCAATACCCCGGTCTTCTCCATGGACCGCAAAGAGTCCGCCAACATCGCCATCTCCTCAGCAATGGCCTGTCTAAACATGGTCCTCGAAGAACCCGACATACGAGACGCAATCGTAGGCGTCCCCATCTTCACCCACACCATGGTAACATTCTCCGCCGTATTCCTCCTCAAAGTCGCCATAAACTGGAACACCGCCTACCTAAGCATCAACGCCCGCCAAGTCCGCCGCCTCGTAGAACGCGTTATCGAACTAATGAACTGCGTCTCCGCAGGCGAGCGCCATCTAACCCGCCACATCGCCCGCGGTCTCGGCAAAATGCTCGAACGCTTCGATTCCTGGGAAGCAGCCTGGCAATTCCGCGACGTAGAAGGTCGCGATGTACCAGGTGGAGCAAACGCCATGGCTCAGGGATTCCCACCCCCAGACTTGATTTACGGAATGGTCGGGACATATGGATTCGGACTGGATGAGAATTTACTCGATCCGATGGCCGACTTTGAGTTCCTGACGCAATAAATCGACCTTATGGCCACGCTATATGCACGCACTCTGAAACCGGAGTGTAAGCAACCCTACATGTCGTCACCTGCCGACCTCCATCCCTTTTTCTTTTTCCCTTTACTCTGCAGCTTGCGATACCTTCAATACACTTCCTATATTCTATATTCGATTCGCCATGGCTACCCGCAAGAGAAAGCAAGATGAGGAACTTCAGGCTCTGCCTAGTGACGACAGCGAAGAAGAAGAAGAGTAAGTCTATGCCCGGAATCATATTTCCACTCTATGCGCCTTATACATATATCGCGCATTTGTGACCGCCACACGCGACAATGCCTACCGTGACGTCCGCAATCCCAATTGCAACACAATCGCAATCACAAGCCAGCCGCACATGCTTACGGCAAATAGATACGAAGACTCGGAGCCCGACGTGGGCGGAAGTGACGAAGGCGAAGAAGAAGAACCCGAAGGCGCATCTGAGTCTGATGAAGACGAGGAAGAAGAAGAAGAAGAGCCCAAGGACACAGGTACATTTACTTCCCTTAATTTCCTTCTGTGATCTGAATGCTAATGCGCCACAGCTCCAGCAGCCAAGAAACAAAAGACCGCGCCCGTGGTAGTCGATGACGACGAGGGTGTCGAGGTTGCGGCTGAAGGCGCTGAGGACGCGGAACCCGAAGCCGAAGCTGAAGCTGAAGAACCAGAAGAGGAAGAGAAGGTCGCTGATACAGCTGCTAAGAGTGGTCCTGCTGCTGCTGCTGTTAAGGCGAAGGGGGATGTTGTTCCTAAGGAGTCGGATTTGCCGGAGGTGGAGGCTGCTGAGAAAGCCGAGGAGGAGGAGAAATGAGAATTCTTAGCTAGAGTTGAAGACCTCAATGGTATACCTATATGTCTACTTGGGTTGTGTTGTATGGCTCTCGGTTTGAGCACTTAAGTATGGGGTAACTGTGGAGCCTGGGGTAAGGTGGACTAGTGGAATAGCCAATCTGTGCATTGGTTATGACTTGCATATGGTGATATCGAGTGCTGTAACTGGCTAGGTTTGATGCATCTGTTCCTGGGAATTATTGCAGTTATTCTAAAGTTACTCCCTACTGTGTGTGAAAATCTACACGAAGTCGATGGAAATACAGAATACTAATATCAATTATAACAAGCTGAACTGGGAATACAGAACAGATATCATCAATCAAGAATGGTCATTAGCTCCCCATTTCTATCTGAATATTCAGGGAAGACATAAAACACTATAGCCTCGTACAAGGATCCCACGGGGGTTTTTGGTATCTCGCTGCCAGTTTTAAGTATCACTACCACTGCTGCGGAATGTCGCGCACAATTGACAGTATTGGTGCGTCAGATCCAGGACAGCTTGAGGCAAGTTAGTCGCTTGAACAATGCTGCGGACCTTGACGGCACCCTCGTCTTCGATGAGCTTGCGAACCATGAACAGAAGTTCAGGGGAGAACTAAAAAGTTAGCAATTATTCAATCGTGATGAAAAGCGAAGTTATCAAAACATACCTCGGAGTACCAGCGATATTGCCAGGCGATCAGACGAATCAAGGCGCCGAGCATCCCCCGGGTATCGTTGCGCTGTTCGTAGAGCTTCAGAACACCCCGCATGGCTTTCGGGGAGAATCGAGTGGCGAGACAGCTTTGGTACGCCTCAATACTCTCGTCGAAGTGGTGGAGGCGCTGGGCGAGCTCTCCAAGAATCTCCCACTCAGTGGCAGACTTCTTATACTCCATCCCCTGCTGGCGGAACTGGGCCATCTCAGTTCTCCAAATGGTGTAGATGCGAAGATCCTCGTAAAGGACCATGAACAGGTTGTCAAGCCATCTTTCACAGAGGCGCTTGTTTTGGAATTGAGTATATGAGCTGTGCGATGGATCGGGCTGTGCGATGAGCTGTCAGTGCGGGAACAAAATGCGCTGCTCTGTGTAACTTACGTCTTCACTGCCGGATTTGACCACCTCAGACGCCACCGTGTGTTCCGGTCGCTCGAGAGGGCTTTGGGCATCGTCCCCTGTTGCGTCTCCGTTGGGGCCGTTCACTGACCCAGAGTCGGTCTCGGTCTCGGGGCTGTTTCCATTGGTCTCTCTTTCTGTCGAGTGTGAAGGTCTCGACACGTGCTGCCGCTCAACCCGGTACTCCTCTTCCATAACAAATACCTCGCTACGTGCCTTTAATAGTTGGTCCCATCCAATGGCAGCCGCGATCTTGGTCAGGAGATTGTATGCCTTGAGGAAGGTGCCTTGGTAATTGGCGGCATGGATCTTGCGGAGCGAAGGGTGGACATAGTCGTGGGGGTCTCCCTGCTTGGGCTGGCCTTCGTCAATTTCGTCGAGTATGCTTTCTGCAAGAATGGGGAGCATGATTCGAGATGGTTGTGGCATGCGAGGGGTATCTTTATCTTGGTATGTGAACATCGGGCAGGAGTTCAGGGTCAGAAGTGCTAGATCCCACTTCTCCATGCCGACATAGACCTCGGCGAGACGAGCCCAGGTGCTGAATTCACTGGGGGCGGCGGTCACTGCACGCTTGGCGCATTCCAGTGCCATCTCGCTCTCACCTTTGCTTTGGCAGAAATCTGCCTGGCAATCTAGTAAAGCGTAATCCATTGGCACATCCTGCAGAGCATCATACATCAAGCGCACCGCTTGCACCTCCTCGTCTGCCATAATTTGCACGCGAGCCAAGAGCGATGAGACTTCGACATCCCGGGTGCGAAGTTTCTCGAACAGGTTGATTCCAGATGTATAACGACCGGTTGTATGGATGTACTTGAGAATTCCGGTGGTGAGGTGGTTGCTCACGGTGTTGGGGACTTGTGTTTCGGGGTCCGAGCTCAGTTGGCGTCCTGCGATGTTATCAGCCTGGAATTCGAGGGGTTAGTTATTACGATGAGCAAAACCGTACCGAGGAAGAAAAGCTTTTCAGCGGCATCCAAGAACTTGTGTTCCATCTCTGTGTTGGTCACGGGGTTGAATCGTCGGACTCCGACAATCTTCTTGACGGCATCACCAGCTCCATCATCCGCATACAGATAAGCCCTCAGAACAGCGCAAAGGAAGGTCTCGAGCCAGAGCGCATCAGTGGCAACGCGCTTGTCACCTCTTTCATCGATGCAGTAGCTCTCTAAGCTTCCGGGGATTTTGACTTCGACGCGCATATCGAGGTGGGAGAATGCATTGTAGCAACTGGGCAAACGTCAGCATCAAGACTCGGGGGCCGCTTACATTGGCGCACTTACCAGTAGATTCCTGATACCACTTTGTGTGTCTTGTCGAGGGGAGAGAATGTGAGGGTGTTGACGTAGGCAGCTAAGCTCGCGGATGAGGAGGCATCAATTCCAGTGACATGATGATAAACGCCAGTCTATTGTAGACAAAACCACGTTAGTTGGTTAGATAACATCAATTGAGCGCAGTGAAGGCTGCCAACTCACCTGGCGGGTCGAATTAGCCTTCGGTTGCTTGACCAAATAAGCAAGATCCGGGGGGCCTAGTTCTCGCAAGGTCTGTAGAGACTCTGTGCGCGCATCGACCGCGAGGTAGATATCCTCCTCCTCGTGGATCCTAGAGAGTGCGGTCCGTGTCAGTTACAACATTCTGAATCGTTCACTGTTGCGGCTCTGGCCTCAAGCAATGGTCATGCGTCCGGGGAACACGTAAACGGGACAGGAACATACTCAGGAACAGCGGGCGCAACCATCGCGCCTGCACCAGCGCAATGTCAAAGTATCAAGGCGAGGGTATAATAAATTGAAACGAAGATCGGGGAAACGTCAGGGGTGTGGGTGGGGAAGAAGTGAGGAATGGTCTTAGAACGCATTACACCAGATTCAGGCACCCAGGCACCCCTGCGCTTAGACCTGATTAGACGCGCGTGATAGTGCTGATAACCAATTTATCGCGACTCGTTATACTCTCCCTCTTCACGCTGTCTGATGGTTTTGATTTTCATTCCTGAGTGGAGCTCACATCATGGCGAGCTGGGTCGCATTGAATGTTGAGCCTGACGATGCGATCGAGGAGGAGGTCGACGATACCAAGGAGCTGCAGATCGAAGAGGCCTTGAAGCTGTACCACAGTGCTTTGAAGCTACACTCTCAAGGCCCAAGCTTCTATCCCCAGGCCGCCGAGGCATACAATATCCTACTCGATTCCGAAATCTTTAAATACCCAGAGTCTCTGTCCGATTTCAAGAGGGGAGTGCTGGACGATGCACAGACCCAAGAGGTACCTGGAGAAACCAATGCAGAGTCTCTGACCGAGTACAATGCCAACGACTCCGCTTCCAGTCTATTCCAAACGTTATATCTGTCCTATAAGAACCACGGCAAATTTGTTCTCGATTCGGTACAAGACTCTATACAGACAACGCCCGAAACCCGCGAAACTCCCGAATCCAAACAAGAAACACAGGAGAAGTTGACAGACGCATCTAGAAAGGCGTTGATATCATTCGGAGATGCGCTGGAACGAGATGACTCGGATCTCAACCTGTGGAGACAGAGCGCAAGGCTGAGCAGCGCTTTACACAGCTACCGGCTGTCTCGATACTGCCTGGAGAGTGTGCTTGCAGATGATGAAAATCGGTTGGAGTTGAGACCAGAACAATTGGGACTGGAGGAGGTATTCGCCGAGCAACGTTTGAGATCGACACTGGAATCACTATTCGACAAGCTGTCTGCTTCACAGATCCCTGACAAGCGACCCAAGAAAGCTCTCATGAAATATTTAAAGCAGCATGAAGATCCGTACCCGAACCTTCCGACCCTTCCAGCTGAACTGCAACATGTGGATTCGTCCAAAGGGCCTCTAGCCCTGCACGCAACACGCCGGGAAATTGTTCCCCGTGAACCAACTTGGGAATCTATCGGAAAGGCACTTCTAGAAACCCTCGATGAGGAAGATAAATCCACCTTGGCCGATGTCCCCAGTCAATCTATTGCCATCTCATTTCCGGCGAGACGCTCTCCGGATCAAGATCTGCCGGACCCCACATTGGAGACAGAAATGGCGTTTGATACGGCAGAACCGGAGATCAAAGATGCCAGTACAGAGCAAACAGAAGCGGCCACCGCACAAACGGCCGAGAATGAGGTCAATGCGGAGCACGGCGCACCCGAGCAATGCGAAGAGCAATCATCCATCGACCAAAGTGCTGAAAAGCAATTGATGGAATCACTCGAGCGTCATTCCCCCCACGCTCATGAACAACAAGCTGGACAAGAAGAAAGTACTGTGGATGATGTTGAACCAACATCTACCATCGATGCTCGTAAGAGATCGTCTGCTTCAGCTGCGAATGACGAACCGGAGGGGGGCCGCATGAAAAGCAGGCGCACACGGGCTCGAGAGTCGAATGCAGACTCTTTGGCCCCCCTCGAAGAAGTCACTTTTGACCAAGAAAGATACTATGCGGACCGTCTCGAAGTCTTCGTCAATGCCGATGATTGGATGTTCAGCACTGTCGATTCCTTATTCTCCAAGGTCGGCGTCGAAGCACTCGGTAGCATCGAGAGCCTTCGTCAAAAGTCCCCGTCAAGCATTGAGTCAGCCGACATTCCGGACGACCCGGAGTCAAGGTTGTTTCACGATCTTCGAGGTCTCATCAAAACTTGGGACGACCAAAAATCTCGATTGATGCAGAAAAAAGATGACAAGTCACCGTTGAAAGACATCCGCGGTACAAGCAAGTCGGGTCTGGCTGTGTTCCTTGAGCACTCAAGGAAAGGTACTCGGAAATCGCTCATCGAAGAAGAGCTGCCTTCGGGTGAGGAAGTACACAAGCTTCTTCATGTGGTCAACTCTGACTGGCTTCACTCTCATGACACCGTTTTTGAGTGGCTCAAATGTCTTCTTATGCCTCATTTTGGTCAAGAATCCTCTGACTGGTCAACTGCACGATCAACATATACCGCCTATCTTTGGCCGCAGGAGTTGAAGGAAACACTTGTACAACTCCTGGTCCGAGAAGATGAACACATTCACCGAACTTGTGTCGAGCTTATCGCAGACCTGGAGCGTCGAGTGCTAGGGTCCGGTGATCAAGCAGTCTTCCAATATCAAGCCAGAGATCTTTACGAATTGGAGATGATCCAGACTATTTACGAGCTCCATTTGGACATCTTCTCTTCAGTAGAGGATCCAAGCAGCGAAGCAGCCGAAGAAACCCGACTTGCGCAGCGGGATCGGTTGGCTCGCTGGGGCATGCTGGCCCGGACATCTATCGACCATTTCGTCGATAACGGTCCATCTGGACAATGCCAACAGAACCTGACTCTTCGGCACCTTTGGGCTTCTGCATTCCATGTCAACCTTGCTGGAGATGCGCAGCGAGAGCATATCTTGCTTTGTCTTCAAGACTTAAAGCAGATTCTTCAATCACTTGGCAACCCAAGTTTCAGCCTGGTCAATAATTCCATCATGTCAGAGTTGTCCGTGGCTGTGATAGACCAAGAAGTCTTGAAGCTGAAGTGCATGGATTTCTTTGCCAAGGTTTTCAACTCCGATTCTGAAGATCCGGTTAGTCTGATTGAGGCGATCGAGCCTATCCTGGAGCCTTCATCGATTGAATATGCCGAAAAGCCAGCAGAGACTGACATGAGTCATCCGACCTCACACCTGAGCGAGATGGCCGCCTTCCTTGACAGAGGGGATGCTACTCTGCGATTGTTCCTCTGGAACAGGCTCCAAGAAGCCTATCAGGCCATTGACTACCCGCCTAAGGTTGTTTCCTGCTACTTGCGGAGTATAGAAGTGGTTTTGACCGAGCTTGAAGCGGCCAAGCACAAAGAAGAAACAAATCAAAATCGTCAAGTTGCTCTGTTGGGCTGGCTCAAAGCTCTTGACAGCATCTTAGCCAAAGCGATTCCCCTGGTTCTTGAAGAGTCCGACAAGGCATTCGACTGCTTCGATATGGAGCATGTACAAACATCTATGTCTGCCGTGGCTCGGCTGTCCAGGCTCTTGCACAGCTTTGTCCTCCACGAGGATCTAGTGCGAGTTGGTCAAGTCTCTGGCCGTGAATTCCGCGGTGCATTGGCAAAATCGCTTGAGAACTTCAAAGACCGAATGCGAGAAATGTACGTTCGCTGCTGGATCTTGCAATACACGATGTTCATGGAGGCGGTTTCTCAGAATAAGGATACGTTTAGTGATCCTTTAGAAGACCGAATCCATTTCCTTCGTTGCGTTCACAATGCACTGGGCGTACGTTCAATGTGCAGATACTCGCAGAAGAAATTCTTGAAGCTGCTGAAAGCAGAGCTCTTTCGGCTCAACACCCAAGGAGACTACGAATTCGACACAAGTCAATTACTTCTGGATCTCCACGGAATCAAGTTCTCACCGTTCGATGGCACCGTGGATCACGGATGTCCCCCTGAAAAATTAGATCGCCCAACGGCGATCATGATGATCGACTTTGTCTTGCAGCAAGCCAACAAGATGAATATGAAAGATCTATCCAAATCTGAGTTGAAGACGACGATTGAGAAGATGCAACAAGCAATTGGCCCTGCGAAGGCCAACTCATCAACACCACAGTTAACCTTCAACCGTCGGATCATCAACGCCTATATCAAAACCGCCATCAACCCGACTCATCTTCTTCGCGCTGTTCAAGGAATCACGGAGCTTTCAACAACGATCGTTCCCACGGAGAACGCCAAGATCGCTGCAAAGGGCTGGTTCTTCCTTCTCGGTCATGCCGCACTCACCAAATTCCGATCACAAAAGCGCATCACCCCTGGCTCCACATCAGAGCTTGATGACGCTATCACCTATTTCAGACAAGACCTGGATCATGGAACTGAGAGATGGGAGTCATGGTATCGACTTGCCCAGACTTACGACTCAAAGTTGGACGAAGAGATCACCTGGGCTGCCGACAAGATCAACAATAATCGTGCTGATCTAGCAACGCTACAGCGACACGCTATTCATTGCTACACAATGGCCATTTCAACGGCCATCAGAACTGCGGATCCGACGGCTGAGACCAGAGACATGATGTCAGATCTTTACTCCGATTTTGGCCTGCGCATCTATGCGTCCTCTCGTGAGCCACTGTCGATGGGTGCATTCAGTGTTGCGGAATTCCCTCGTCATTTCAGCAGCGAAGAAAGCCAACAGATGTACAAAGGGATGCCATTCAAGGAAATGTCGCTGTACTCGGCGTGGAACTTTGCAAGGAACCTTCTGAAACGAGCGACAGGCGACAAAACCAAACGATGGATGTGAGTTGCTAAAATATGATCTTAGGAAGAAGGTATCAAATGCTCACAATGAATAGGACACACTACACGCTTGGTAAATGCCTCTGGAAGATGTTCTGCAGCGATGATTCTTTACGGACGTCGTCCAAGAAGGTCGAATTCCAGGAGGTTGTCAATGCTCTTCTGAATGCAATTAATGCACTCCCTCAGCGAAGGGACTCGCGCTCTGACCCGATCTTCGAGCCTCACTTTAAGCTGTTTTCCGTTATCCACAAGGCAGTCCTGCGCGGGCATATGACTGTAAGTTCTGCGTTAACCTGGCTCGAACTTTTCACTAACGATTTTGGCAGCCCGCGGAGGGAAGCAAGACTTTGCAAGCGGTCCCATGGGCCCGTAAAGTCGATGCACCGGAGCAGTTGGAGGGATGGAATCCGTATATAATGGAAGTTCTCAAGAAGTTCAAGAGTGCAGACAAGTCCAACTGGCATCACCGCATGAGTACCAAGGTGAGTTTCAACCGATTCTACAAATTCCAAGGCATTGGAATATGCTAATTTAACCTCCAGGCTGCGCATATTCTCTATGACGAGCAGCGCAACGCTTCTGCTGCTCTTGCTGCCAAACAAGAGCTTTCTCAGATCTTCACCAAAACTCTCACTATCCAGGTCTGGCGACCTGAGTTCGAACGCCCTGGTCGGCATTTCGTATATACGACACGCTACGTCTACTTCTTCGTAAGCTTGCTTGATCAACTCGACGATCGCACAAGTCTGGATCAACTGCTCCGCCGCGTGAGAAAGAAGCAAGGCGATTTCTTCCTTCACTCCAAACTATGGGAGGACTGTTGCCTCACATATGCACAGGTAAGAACTAAGAGCACCCCCTTCAATAGAAATATCCACGCTAACAACCCAACCAGTTAATCCGCCGCGCAGCCAAAATCAACGAAGGCCACGAAGAAGGAGTCTTCAAACCAATCGGCTGGGAAGAATTCTCCACCAAAACAGCCCGTCTAGATAGTCTCCCCCAACTAGGCGCAGAAAGCCAACCGATCCTCGAACTACTCCGAGAAGCCCTCGAGCTCAAAAAGCTCAACAACAACTTCATGAAAATAACCATGTTCGAAGACCTGATTGCAGATCTCTATGCACGACTTTACGAAATCAACATCTCCCATCTGGTCGAGCAAGTCCCTGACGAAAATAAAGAAAAGATGAAAGTCGACCATCTCCTCATGGGTGCAGATGTGCAAAATGATCCTTCAACACCTGTCCCCTCTGTTCCTGCATCTGATACGCCTGCTCCGCGCGGTAGGACCAAGGGCATTGCTCGTCGTGATATTCAAAAACGCGCTGATACTATCGTTAACACGAAGTTGGCGCCGAGACTTCCGGCGAGCAAGGTCGCTGCGGCTGAGGCGGAACAGAACACTCCTGCTCAGGTTGATTCTACGCCTGCAGGGCCTACCTCTGCACCGCGTGAGTCTCAGGCTGCACTTCCTGATGGGAATGCGGAACAACGGGACGAGCGAGATGGCGAGGAGACGGAAAGTGAAATTGAGGATACGAAGCTTGAAGAAGGGACTTCCAGATTATTCCCTCTTGCCGCTGATGCGGAAGAAGGGGATACCGAAAACGACAATGAGAATGAGGGCGAAGGCGAGGGTGAGGGCGAGGAGGGAGACGGTGATGAGGCAGATGGAGAAGATGAGGAAATGCAAGACGAGGAAACCAAATTGGAGGACGAGGATGAAACGCAAGATGAGGAAACAAAGCTGGAAGATGAGAAGGATGGTGATCAATCTGCCAATGATACTGAGACTGAGCCTGTCAATGGGAACTCGGAGGCGGCAGATCAGGATGCAATGGAAATCACTGCCGATTCCTGAGGGTTTTCCTGCAACTTGGTGTTTTTTGGTGTCTCTTTCTCTGTCTTTTCGGTTTCTTTTGCGATTTCTAAATGGAGTGCTCGGTTCAGGACTTTGTTAAAGGGCAGCACTGTTCATTCTGCTCTATGGCGTTTACAGCGGTTGCTATGGAAGGCTTACGAGCTAGTATGTATAATAAAGACAGACTTTGAAACTCTTATTCAGAACAGAACAACTATGGTAACTTGGATATTCCGAGAATTTTACAACATGAGGACCAAGACGCCAACGCCAGGGGATATCGAACCAACAAAGTACACGCAATTATTAAAAGTGTTGGTATAAAAACATGGATAGAAGAAGGGTGATCGTAAACGTCGTGAGCAACTCCCAAGCAAGACAAGATTTAGATGTCGTCCTCAGGGGCAAGGTCCCATTTGCGGGTCCCCATTTTCCGGGTCTTTTTGATAGGCGACGTGGTGGGGGATGGAGGAGCAAACATGGTATCAGCGAGCTTCAGCTGATCCATGCGTTGCAATGCATTCTCAATATCACTTTCACGGCTTTGAAGGTTAGAACGCGCGGATGGGGCGTTCTTGGGTCGGGGTTTCCGTGAGGGAGATTTGCTCAGCATCTCGCGCTCAAAAGCAGCGAGTTTGCGGCGCAGCTGGTCATTCTCCTGTTCCAATTCGTCCATTCTTTCATTTGAATCGGTATCTTCGAAGACTGCCATTCTGTTAGCTTGGAAATTCGCTGCATTCTACATTCACAAACGTACTCTGGAATCCACGGGAGACAAGCTCGACCTTCTTGTCGATATGCTCATCGTTGCGACCGATCTGACAATGTTTAGCTTCGCACATAGTACTTGATGGATGGTATTTACCTGCTCATCCCAAGCGTTTTGCCACCGTTTCCTTTCTTCCTCCATTTTCTCATCCATTTCAGCCCAGCATTCCTCGCGAACATCTTGCTCGACCATCAAACATCTTTCTTCAGCGGCCTGTAGCCGCGTTTCAACTTCAGAGCGGGCTATTTCCTCCTCTGCAAGCTTAACAGCTAGGGCGTGACAGTCACGGGTGAGGCGGTTGATCTCTGCGGCAGCTCGTTCAAGCTCCTCGGTGCCATCGAAGTGGTGTGATGAGCGGCCACTGGCGGAGCGGTGACTGCTAGAGGCGACGGAAATGATGGATTCGCAGACTGATGGGGCCCGAGGAACGGTCACCTCACGGGCCAAGGCAGAGTAGCGTAGAATTTGTGAAGTGGCATTGAAATCCCCCACCGGGTCGGCGGTCACGACCATAATAGCCTTCTGTGGGTACTGTCCCCGGGACATCTGGGAAGACGACGGGAAGGAATTTGAGAACAAAAGCTCCGTCAACTTGCATTGGCGGTATGGAACAAGCGCGGTCTTTTCATGTTAGCAGTGATCGATTTCAGGTAACGTGTTCAGCATACCTTCATTCCTTCCTGGATATTGCTTTGCATCTGCAAACATTGGCCGAGGTACATCAAACTCTCATTGATCTTGCCTGCCTCGGCTAGGGTGGCGCCTGCTGTCTTCGCCGTTCTCGCGCGCTCGGAGCCTGATCTATTAGCAAAAATCCAGAATGAAGGCCTCAATTGACTTACCTGCAAGATCAACAACAGTGAGGGCGTTTCCAACCCAGCTGTAGTCACCGGTCCGTTTCGAATATGTGCGCTTTTTCACCTCAATAGAGAAGAAGCCATGGCTTCGAGAACTGACGCTGTTCATCCCGGTTCCAGTTACCTTACGCTCGGTGAGACCAACATCCAAAATCGCGAGAGCTTCTTCATAGTTAGCGCAAGCAATCTTGCGAAGACCTGCCACCAATTTTCGGTCTGGCGATCCTTCGGTTGGCTTGAAAAGCAATGGGCGTCGTCGATCCTTTTGGTTGTTGCCGCGGGACATTGTGCTTCCTTGGCCGGGGGCAATTGCCGGAGAAAGGAGATCGAAGATTCGGTCATTGTATACTTCGTACATGGATACCAACACAACGTAGTCGGATTTGGTATCCATGTCAACAGTCAGGTGGCTCATATCAGGCAGTCGAGGGAGGGCATCGGGCCTTTCGCGTGGGTGGCGACGGGGAAAGTTCAGTGCCGGAGAGGGTTCCTTTAAAAAGTAAAATCGAGATTTAGCGGTCTGCAGCTCAGATACATTGGAATGGGTGTACGGGAGGGGTTTGGAGAATCCAGTGGCAATCTTGGCTGTCTCGGTCTGGCCGATACCAGCTCGGTTAGTGCCTTTGGGGCTAGCACCATGGGTAATGGCTGCTTTCTGGGGACTTCCAGGTTGGGATATCGGTCTCGGGAGAGACGATCCAGTTTTGGGGGTTCGCGGGGTCGGCAATCCAATGGGAGTATTCAAGGTAGGGGGGCTTCGTACCATCAGGGGAGTACCAGCACGGCCAGGGCTCATGGGTGTTTGCGCTCTTGACGAGCGTCCGGTTGGCTCGCCATATACGGCCTCCAGGAAAGTTTGCGCCGAGAACAATTGCGCTTCGGATGCATCTGCTGTGGCTAATGAGGCCATCATCACGGGAGTGATGCTGCCGTCGTCGTTCTTGATTGTCGGCTCCAGGGAACGGAATATCACATCGAGCGCCATTTGGGTCATTCCTCGTTGTGTTTTTGATCCCAGAATAGTGTGGCTCTGAAATACAGCGTCAGTATAAGTCTCAGGCCCATTAATTTGAAAGTCTAACCTTTCCGCTGCCTGTTACTCCAAGAGTCGCAACCAGACCATCTCGATTCTCCTTTAGGACTCCCCGGATGATGGGTTCCATTCCGGTGTCATGAAAGACATCCAATTGCGACGCCGATTCCTCGAAGACCTTGGTGAAACCGAAGCGCTCGACTGCGCGTTTTCTCGTGTCATTTGGTGGTTGCAGCGTGATATGTGTCGATCCCGGCGAAACAATTTCTGTGTCGTCCAGTGAGGCCTCAGGAGGCTCCACATTGAGGAAACGGCCAGATTCGTCAGTATTCTGGGACATTGGGGGCCGTAGACGCAGGAAAACCTGGAACAACGAAGTCTGGGGCTGTTTGGGCGGCATTTTGGGTACTTGTGTCGCGAATGGACAACACGATGACGGGCGTTGAGGCTGTTAGGGATTCAAAACAGTCCCACTCCTTGTACCTGCAGAAGCCCAGAACGATCATCGCCCGCTTACCGCTTTGGGGCGTTGCCGGGACAACACAGTCACGTGCGGAGGCTCTGCTTGTCTTAGCGTCCTTACATTTGCTACAGTTACTCCGTACATACATTTACAGATATGCACTTACTATGCTATGCTCCATATCTGCTTGCTATTGACACCCCTTGCTGAGTACTAGACGTGGGGTAATCTCATGCCTTCCACTGCATCTGCCAATACTAATATGCCCTTAAATTCGTATATGCGGATCACAGCCAAATCAGTCCCACTCGTATTCTCCTAACTCACACCCTATATCGGCCAGTTCTACATACTTAGGTATTGATGAATCACAAGCAAATCCAAATGACTTCGTATTTGACCACGCTTTGCCAACCAGGGAACTCGTGCGGAATACGAAGCTTCTTTCAGTCCAATCATATCTCGTATTCATCTCGCGCTAATCCTAATCAAGTAACTCGTTTTCGCTTGTCCGGGGCGCATGCTATAGGCTTCACTCCTGAAGTCCTTATACAACAGGCTCTTTATCCTTAATGATATATATAAGTCCCGTAGAGCCCTGCTGTAATGATACAACTTAATCAAATCATCTCGTATGAGAGAACTTTTCATGTTGGCACTTTCGAATCTTTGAAATATATACCTCAGTCATGCTTGAAGCAAGATCTTCGTACCGTCAGTGAAGTACTTCTGGGTTAATCCAACAGAGCCTCGCTACTAACGAAAACCAGAAGAAGGAAGCTTGTGGTTCTACGCGCCCAATAAAGGCGCTGCGATCGCGTTTGCAATCCTGTTCGCTATCTCAGGTGGTATACACGGGTACCAGAGCTTGTATGTCTCGTTCCCTACTGGAGAGCCTCACTGAAGTAATCGCTGATTTCTTAGCAAATACAAGTCATGGAAAGTGACTGGCCTCCTCCCATGGTCAGCATTACTTTTCACAGCAGGTTTTATCCTGCGTACTGTCGGAGCATTCGGTCATTGGGACGATAAAGGCGTCTTCATCGCAAGCACTGTGCTTCTCTTGGCTGGACCGTAAGTCTGAAATGTCTTGCAGGGCTTGGCCTTACCATGAATCCACCCCTAATCACTTATTGATCCATCAGACCTGTATACGAAGGCGCCAACTTCTTCATCCTCGGCCGAATCCTCTACTACATCCCTTATCACTCGCCAATCCACCCAGGTCGAGTATTCACAACTTTCGTGGCCCTGGGTGTGGTTATTGAAAGCATCACCGCGAATGGAGCCGTCCGAGTCGCAAGTTCAGACTCCACCGTTGCATCACAAAACATCGGCAAATCACTACTCAAAGCAGCGCTGATTATGCAAATTGCCCTGATGGTAGGGTTTGTCACACTGGCAGCCAAATTCCACTTCAACTGCTCACGAGGGGGTGTCTTGAACAAAAAGATCAAGCGTGCGCTGCTGGTGCTATATTGCAGTTGTACGTTGATTACAATCCGCACCATCTACCGAACCGTGGAGTACTTCACTGCGGCGAGTCTCAATATTTACGATGACATCAACAATATCAGCCCTGTATTGAAGGATGAATGGTTTTTCTGGGTTTTTGAGGTTGTGTTCATGTATACCAACACCACTTTGTTGAATGTTTTTCACCCGATGCGGTCCCTGCCACGGTCAAATAAGATCTATCTTGCCACCGATGGTGTCACCGAGGTTGAGGGACCTGGGTACAAGGATCCCCGACATTGGCTCCAGACATTTGTGGACCCGTTCGATATTTATGGTCTTATTGTTAACCGAGGTCATAAAGAGAAGTACTGGGAAACAAACTCAGCCGGAGATTCCATGCCCTCCAAACAAGTTGTGTGATGACATTTCCTCGGTACTTCTCTTTACTACATCATGTTGCTTTTTGGAACAGTGTACTGGATTATATCATTTTCTTTTGCGCAATATCGAAATTTTGAATATTTAACTCGCTTCTAACTGACGTAATTCTTCTTTTTTGGGAAACTTTATATACAGTCCTGCACACAAAGCACCAACTCAGCCAGACATAAATCACATATCATCCTCATCTTTACCCAGCTCCTGTTGAATCTCCCAGCTATACCGTGCAAACTTACTAGCCTGGCGAATTCTCTCACCATAAATAATGAACAGAGGCGGCACGATACAGAAAAGAGTCGCCACAGCAGCAAGCACCGACATGGCAACATTGTTACCCAGTCCATCAAACATCTGATCCGTAAAGAGCGGGAATGTACCAGACAGCAGTGCTCGCACGAAAGCAACCGCCGCAGTGGCACTAGCGGAATAGCTCAGATAACTATCTGAAATGTACCCGTACAGCGTGGTATCCAGCTCTGTGAGGGCATATCCGACCAACACGAGGGAGATCGCTGGGACGATCCAGGGAGTATGAACGGCAGCTGGAATAGTCCAAGCGAACCACCATAGACCAATTGCCAGGATTGGGCCGCCGATTGCTAAACCTGCTAGTTTGTGCTCTGGCTTGATAGGTTGGCCCTGTTTGCGGAGGTAGTCGAGGATGTATTCATCAAGTAACCGGGTAAATGCACTGAGGACTGTGCCGAGGGCGATGGGAATGAAGAAGAGGGATGCGTCGGTGTTTTTGAAGCCCATGGATTCGAAGATTGGTTGGAGGGCTTCCGTGAAGATGTAGATGAGAGACATGGCGACGGCGATCATCATCGCAACGAGGAAGATGATGGGCTCTCGGAAGAACAGCTGAGCGGGACGGAGGAGAGATTCCCTTACAAAAGTGTGGAGATCGGGGATGTGATCGTGGTTGAGCGGTGGTGGGATCGAGTCCACAGTGGTCAATTCTGAGACCTTTTTGACCTCGTGAGCTAATAACAAGGCGGGTCGAGATTCACGGATAAGACACAGTCCACCAGTGATCGAGGCAATGATGATAGCGAAAATGTAGAAGTTCCAGCGCCTGGCGGGTTGGTTAGTATAAAGCACCACACTCAGAAACGTCAAGCGGAGGACTTACCAATCAAGGTCTGAAATAGTAAAGGTGCTCATGATGGGCCCGAGAGTGAGACCGATATTGGATGCAATAGTCCAGCAATACATGCCCCAGATTCGACCTCTCGTGTTGAACATGTCTTCAATACTTCCGCCAATGATGGTATAAGGGATCGCGGAGAGGAGACCGGCAACGATGCGCATCACGATAATAGCGGGCATTGGTCGAACAAGACCAATGATCATGCAACAAATAGCGCTCAAACCACTGCTAAAGATGTACATATTCTTGCGTCCGAAGGCCTCCGACCAGGGCGGGAATAAGATGGTGCCTGCCACCTGGCCGAGAAGAAAGCTATGTGACGTTAGAAGAGATATCAAGAGCGGAAAGAAGTAGTCTCACATGGTCACGAAGATAAACGTGGCGAGTGTTTCACTCAAATTATATTCATGTTGAGCTTGTGCAGCAGCAGCCGACTAGAAACTATAAGTTAGCGTCGATCGTAGACCAACAAATAAGTAGCCACTCACACCCGCGGTGCTTGATGCTGTACTGTGAATATTGTCAGCGATCAACTCCGATATATCAATAATGGGTAACATACATGAAGAGATCTAACAAGCAAATGAGAGTAAGATCGTATGCCTTTCGAGGCGCCGACCAATTGCGAGGATGTTTAGGGTGATCACGGAGCCATCGCACATATTTTCCATCCGGGGTAAGCTCGAGAGAATGTTGATGTAGCAAAACTAGAGGAGAGCCCTTAGCTTCGTCTATCGAGACGGTCGACACGGTGGACTCGGGGGAAATAGGCTGCATATTGGAAACGAAAATCAATCAAAAGACCTGTGAACGAAAGAAAAGCCTATACAAGCAACATATGCCGAGATGAAAAGCCTCCATGAGGCGGAATTCGGAGCCTTTAAACATTGTCAATGTGTCTGGGAAATTCTCGTGGAAACCTTGCCCTGAGAATGAAACCCCTTGCGATCTGCACACCATCTGTTGAAGCTCGCCTCATACAACACGCGTCAGCCACCTAAAAATGCGTTGGAGATCTTGCGTGACCCACGGCTGGAAGCTGCACTATGCAGTAGCTGAAGCTTAGCTGTTCAGTCAAGCCTTTGGCGTAAAATCCAGCCTAGGTGCTATACGTTGCGGGTATTCGGAAATAGATATTGAGGGATCCACCACGAGACTTTGTCCAGTGACCTTATTTGCAGGGGTATTCGTTTCCAGCATTCCTAATGGCAATTTCTCCGCGATGCTTCTTCTTAGAGAAGGGATCTGCTGATGATGTCAAACCTCCAGGACTCTCCTAGTCGGTATTACATATCGCCCAAAATGTAGAAGTAAGCTTTCATTAGTACGGCCCATACGAGTAGCCCTGGAGCTCTAGCCTTCGGGGAGACGGAGCAGCCCTGGAGACCCGCTTTGGTGGCAACTAGCATCTTTATGCACGGGTGCTCCATCTAGCAGAACCCTAGGTCTTTTTCATGTCTGGTTTCAATCCAGAATCCACGAGCAGAGAATTGCCTTCAAAATCTGACCTTACTGAGTGCACAGCTCAATCCTCGAGACTTTCCCTCAAGTCGACTATGAAACAGAAGAGAACATCCCAAATTTGAGATGAACAGTTGGAGGCAGCCAAATTTCATCATTGCATAAAAATTGACGTTGGAGATCCCGAACCAAGCATTCGGATGATGCTCGTCGATCCAGTCTAGTCCTTGATCGCTATGCCAGGGACCACATAACATCTCCACTCTTGATCAGTCCATACCTGGATCATAGCTGAGCACGTTGTCTGCAGTGGAGCTCAACTCAATGTCTGCTATATATGAGCGCATTTCCGTAACCAAACGGAATTTTCAGCCAGAGACCCCTAGCATTGTCCCTCTGGTACGTGCAATCGGAGATCTCGCCCAATTTGAACACTCCCTATTGTACTCGTATTAGTACGCGTTGTCGACACATGAATAACGCCATTGCTCGTGGATCCAGGCTCATATCATCGGCAGTCTAGACTTGCGAGGTCTGCCGGGAGTAGATCACCCTTAACCCGTGTGCTACGGGTATTCGGGTTCTGACGATCTGCTGGAATTGCTGCCGCAATAGCCTTGGAGATACACTTCATGATGGTATATTGATTCAGTCAAGTATTTTGTTTTCGTAGAAAAAATAAAGAAAAGGAAAAAAGAAAAGAAAAGAAAAGAAGGAACAACTTCCACTTGAAGATGAGGCATCAAGGCACCGAGATCTGCGCCAAGCCGATCTCCGACAAGGCCACCTCTCCGCATCATCAAAACACAGCGTGAAGCACCACAGGTACTGTCTTCAAGCTCAACGGATAATCCCTGGATTCTAACCCATTGCTAATCAGGAATCCCATCAGTCCTGTCATCCTCCCCAATCGTGACCGAACCGCCCAACATGTTGTCCTCGCTGTCCTCAAGCATCTCAAATATGCGACATTCGATCGCTCAAGTGCTGAATTTCGCACTCGTTCTATCCACCGCCTTCATGATGGTAGGACCCATCCGAACCAATCCCGGAACACCAAGCTGACCAGCACAAAGTGGAAGGGCCTCAGTGTCCTGACGGCGTCATCGTCACCGATCGTGGTAGTCCTGTCCGGGTCCATGGAGCCTGCGTTCCAAAGAGGAGATCTGCTCTTCTTGTGGGCGCGCAGCCCCCGCGTGGATATCGGCGAGGTGGTTGTTTGTGAGTTTGGCTGGGTTTCAAGGACAAGACCCCGATCTAACAAAGCTAGACAATGTCCGCGGAAAGGATATTCCTATCGTTCACCGAGTCGTTCGAACATTCCCCGAGGTTGAGGGCCGTGGGAACGCGAAGAAGGTCAAGGAGATTACAGTGTATGGTTCTACTGCTTTGGTGTATGGCTGTTGCTAATTGGTAGCTCTAGGGATACCACACCGGAAACTCATATGCTCCTCACCAAGGTATGTGTTTCACTTAATTCCCGAGCGGATCCCAGGTACTAATGATTGCGCAGGGAGATAACAACCTCTCCGACGACACTGAGCTGTATGCACGCGACCAGGACCACCTGGACCGAAAGGCGGATATTGTGGGCAGTGTGAGAGGGTATATTCCTATGGTTGGATATGTGACCATTATGCTCAGCGAGCACCCTTGGCTCAAGACTGTGATGCTTGGAATCATGGGACTGATGGTGGTCCTTCAGCGCGAGTAAGCGTGTGTAAAAAAGATAGAAACATTTGAAGCCATTACACTGGGCATAAAAAGTAAACAGACTAGCAGGAAACAAGTAAAGTAGACAATTAAAGTAGACAAGTAAAGTAAAGTGAAGTAAATAAAGCAAAGTACATGAAAGTCCAGACCAAAAAAGCACCGCGGGCCTTTTAAACCTCCGACCTCTGACGTCTGCGCCCCCACCAGTTCTACTTTGCATCTTTCCTCGGTCTTTGTCCATAGCATTTTCATTTTCATTTTCATTTTCATTTTCATTCTCTGGTCTCCGTTGAATACCGTCCACCTCACTCCCCTCATCATATTCCAAAACACAATGGGCAGCGTCAAGCGCATAACCAAGGTAGCCGCCATACCCCCAAACACCAACCCAGCTAACCACCCCACCAGGAGCTGGCAGAGCTCACCCAATCTCCACCAGAGGGAATCACAGTCGAGCTAGCCGAAGAAGGCGACGTATACAACTGGAAAATCCACATGGAAGGACCCGAAGGATCACCATACCACGTAAGTCGCCCGCCACCCATCACCAACCCAACTAACCAAATCCCCAGAAAGGAAACTTCCTCGTCAAGCTCTCCCTCCCCACAGAATACCCCTTCAAGCCACCGACAGTCTCCTTCGTGACGAAAATTTACCACCCGAACGTTACAAACGACGATAAAGGAAGCATGTGTCTGGGCATGCTACGGGCAGACGAGTGGAAACCCAGTTCCAAGATCGCGGCCGTCCTACAATTTGCTCGCCAGCTGCTTTCGGAGCCGATGCCTGATGATGCGGTCGAAGGCCGTATTGCTGAACAATATAAGAATGACCGTCCGCGGTATGAGGAGGTGGCGAGAGAGTGGACGCGGAAGCATGCTTGATTACTGTCGCGACATGGTTTGGTGTATTGATACCCTCGGGATGTGAATGGGGTCGTGGATTGTGGCCGATAAGTGAAATACTGCTACGTTCAATGCTACTGGCTGAACTTGGTGGTTCCTGTGATGCCCAGGAATGTTCACGGCTGTATTAGCATAGTGGAGCCATTGTATAGTCTCTTCAGCCTAAATGATATTAAAGGCGATTTCGCCCTTAGACTCGTGGGCCTGTTTCGCATCATCTTGCTCCACAATCATTCCGCTATCCAACCTGCGGCCATGGACATGTGCTTTCAGACCTGTTACAGCTTCAAGCTGCGTGTTCGTAAATTAAGCTCCTAGCAGTTTCAGAGGGAAGTGGGTGGTTTCAACTACAGATAAGGCTTCGATTCTTCTGCAGGTGTAGAGCCATGCCGTTAAGGGCTTGCAGATTGCTGCGCTGACTGCAAGGCTGGAGCTGTACATGTGCGTGCAAGACATCATATTTTATGATCTTTGAATTAAATATTATCACTCGGAATGAACGGCCATATGGATAAAACGGCCTGTCCTTGTGTTACAACCGCGCCCTCATCTGGATTCTTGCTTTCAGGTGTCAGGGGCAAGGGGGCGATTTGCCCTAAACTTTTCACCAGCTGTAATCATATACGATTGAAACGTCGAGTTAGGTGATGCTCGCTCCGTAGAGAGTTGCGATTTCCCTCCTTTCCACTTTCTTTCTGCCATCCTTTTCCCTCCAGTCCACGGGCAATGAAGCCAGAGAAGACGGAATACTTAAACCCATCGATTTGTGGACAGACCAAGGTGCCATACCAATAGCTATCCTTGGATGGATACGAGCGATCAATATTTCAGCACCCTCCTTGCCTACGAGGTTTTTTATTTGCATTATGATGTATCTGTTTGGATTTTTCCCCCTTCACGTATCCCCCAATAACTAGTGAACTTGGCATCCTTATTCAAGTACCCCGGTGCATGTTTGCTTTTCGATAAAATGATGGATCTGATCATTCCTGAAGTCCTTCTGTGAATATATTCAACCCTCTGCCTCTCATTTTCTTTCGCATTTTCTCCCACGCCACAGATAGCCACTAACTTCTAAAGTTGGAATCTGCCTCTATTTGCTCAATAAGATTTTCATCCAGCCATAGTTGCAACAACGAGTTGACTTTGCATCATGGTCGGCGTGATTGCAATGATACGGATGTTCTTCCAGTCGGCCAAGTCTTTACAATGGCACTCCATCAACCCCACTACATTTCAACGAAATATGGCCTCAAATGAGATGTTTCACGCGCTATCTGGAGTTCACAAAGTGACAACTGGGAGACGATGGCGAGACGTCACAGCAATAGCCAGGCTTCGAACGGAGTCGGGACAGACAATGTCTATTGAGCAGGTCACTGCTGCTTGGATTTCACTCAGACGCAAGCATCCTGCTATGGCGTCTGTGGTTGAGGGCAGCAAGCGCCTTTATCACAAAGCCGACGAGGAAGAATTACAATCTTGGCTGAAAGAAACACTTATGAGGATGTTACCCCAGAGCTGCTGCATCGCCTGGAGGTCGCACCGAGGCCAGCATTGTATTTCCTTGTCAAGAGTTCCATTTTCGTCATCCGTACCCCACACCACACTATGGACGCTGTGGGACTCATGCGTCTTCTCAATGATTTTTTGAAAGAGTTGGACAGTCCAGAAGGAAAGGAATCAGCTCTTCCATTTGACGAACAAGCAACGGATTTGGCATGCAGTATGCAAGAAGCCACACAAGCTCCACGTCCATCTATCATGCAACTCTACCGACTATGGAAGTTGTCACTAGAGTGGAAGAAACGCTACCCATCTATTGGAATCCCACCGGATCAACCTGACGTGCATTCGGCGATTTCGGCTTGGCAAGATCTCCAACTTTCGGAAACAATGACCGACAATCTTCTCAAGGGTGCAAGGAAGCACGGGTTAACACTAACCCATGTCTGTCACGCAGCCTTGATGGTCGCCGCAAAAGCGCACAGCGACAATCAAGAGCTCTCCAACTACACCAACGTCATCATTATGAACATACGCAACAGAGCTGCAGATCCTTCAATGCAGGACAGAAATGTGGCCTCAACACAACATGCCATCTGGCCGTTCACTGTCCCCGTCACCGACTTCTTAGCTACTGCACACCAAGTGAAAGATCGATATGTTACTGCCACCCAGAACAAGGACTTAATGCCTCTGGCTGAGAGCGTGTTTTTGGATGGGATCCGAATGATGGACAACTCTGATCATTGGTACAGAGCGCCAGGCGTCAGCAGCTATGGCAAAGTTGACAACTTTGTTTTTGGTGATCATAGCTCGTTCGAGATAGAGGATGTCTCGTTCGCAGTCGAATCCTCCAAACATGACTTAGTGGCCGCTATTTGGTCCTACAAAGGCAAAATGACCATTCGTGTGATGTATAATAGGGGGTATCATAGTGATAAAAGTATTGAGCGATACCTTCAGATGACAGAGCGGGAAATCTTGAGTGGACTTGGTTTGGATTAACTCGGATCAGAATGTATAGATTCTAAGATCCTTGGAGTTTTGCAAGGCAGCTCTCATGTCATGTAATTTAGGGGATTGTTGTTTTTCCTTTCGCTGGTTTGTTTTTGGGGGGATTGGTGCTCCCCTTCTACACCGTCTTTGCTTTTTATACTACGCTTTCTGCTTGTCTTAAGGTCAACACCCATGATACCTCTATTTGTATCTAAACCCTTAGTGAAAACAAAGGAACACAAAAGGGTGTGATTCTAAGCAAAGGGGGTGTGGGAGCACCAGTCCCCTATTTTTTTTGTTTTTTTTTTTTTTTTGTTAGCGCAATGTCCTATTGATTCCCTGCACTTTTCAACTATCGATTTTACGCCCTGTGCTGTCACGCCAAGATACCTTGAACGTTATCACTTAGTGTCGCCAGGGCTTCGGGGCCAGGGCCTTGCTCCACGGACGTCGAGGCTTCTCCATAATCTATGAGTAGTGGGAGACAAAGCGGAAAGAAATTGAACGAGACGGAACGATGAAGGTAAATTGCCAGCGCATAGGCAAGACAAACAAGTACTTAATTACAGGGGGTCTCACCAACATAGTAGGATAATTTGGTTGGTCCAGGGAAATAGGTACTAGGCTCAAAGCCATCATCTCACCGCTATACTAATTTCATTCGCTTTAAGCGCTTTTCCAGGGTGCTGAATTAATCCTGGTCTATATCAACAACTCAGCCCATTTCACAACTCAGCCCACTTCCCAACACCCAACTCAAAGTAACACATTTCCCCGCTCTTGTGTCCTTTTTTCACCTTCCTTCATCTCATCACTCAGTCTGGATCACCCCTTTGATATTCATTCTTTTTTTCGAAATATCATCAAAGCTTGTGGTTATTTCACAACCTGACCACGATGACCGAACCTAACTATACCGTGTGGGTACCCGGAATGAACGAAATGGAAAACGACTGGAGACCCTCTCGATATCTTCCATCACCGGAGGGCACATTGCTGAGTCAGACTTTGCATAGAAAGATTATCCGGATCAGCGAAGACCGAGTGGTCAAGTTCGGCTTCAATCTCAACCCCAGCGAAGCAGCAAATCTCCAATCTGTCGCAGAAAATACTACCATTCCAGTCCCCAAGCCCTATGATGTTGGCTGGGAAGATGGCAAAGTCACATCTATTGAAATGGACTATATGCCGGGAAACCCACTGGACAAAGTATGGCCTTCTATGGATTCTACTCAACGACTATCTATCGCCAATCAACTGCAGGGTTATATTTCTCAACTGCGAAAGCTGAAGGGAGATTTTATCGGTTCGGCTGATCGCGGTAAAATCACTTATGGTTCCTTATTTGCGATTCGCTGTGGGCCCTTTGACTCTGAAAAAGCCTTTAACAAGTGGAGGCTTTCCGATATAAAGAGAGATCTAAAAGACCCGATGAAACCGTGTGTCATGTTTGCTTTGCCAGATGATCATGAGATTCTCTTTACCCACGGCGACATAAGTGCTCGAAATATAAATGTCGATGAAAACGGGAACATCACTGGTATTCTGGATTGGGAAACCAGCGGTTGGTACCCCAAGTATTGGGGGTATGTCGAGTCAGTCCACCAGCGGTCTGATCCTGATGGCTGGACTGACTATCATTCTATCATCTTCCCAGATCGATATGAGAGAGACTTCATAAATTGCGTTTTCATGGACAAATTTACGCGATACAATTAATATGTGAATTTGTGATATCCTGGATGTACTGAAAATGGTCAACATTTCAGAACCACGAGCAGACTTTAGTAGTAAACATGAATGATGTCCACATTTGGTGAAAGATTTTGCCCCGTTAGCCAACAAGATTTGACATACTGCCCGCTCACTTCCTTTCTAAGTCTCTCTTCCCTGTCAGTCATCACGGTAGTGGATCGTTTTCTAAAGTTCTTCTGTTTGTGCATCCCTCTCGTCCTAAAGATCCAAGAATTCCCCAGGAAGTTAAACAGGCTTTCGGTTTCACAGCAAGGCTCTTTTGTTCTCCCAAGACCTCAGACTTTGGCAAATGATTCAAATATTCTCCCACCTTCCAAAGGTCAATTTGATGACCGAATCAGAGATATATGGCTCCCTTTTGGGCTTTTACGGTATAACTACATTGGTCACCAAAAGTTTCAGCCAAAGGTTTTTAATTTAGAGGCTTTTCAAAAACAAAAACTCATGCAGCACAGAAGACATCAATGATGAACCCATAAGAGAGTGGCTAGGAGCCAGGAAGAAAATGGGACATCAGATCAACATGGCACAAAATCGAACGTCAACAGAAAAAGAAAGGAAATCCACGGGAACATTCTGATATGAAGTCAATCCACACACTTTCCCGGATAGCAACCTTGATATGGCGATGTCATACTTACTTGTGCTCCTTTTGACACAAGGGCATCAAGCTCTTTCACGCTCTTTCGAATACAGCTGCACTGATTATCCCCTTCTCTTGCAGTCTCAGCAGCGCGTCGGCGACCCAATGTTTGGAGCTCCATTCGGTCTCTTGGAAGTCGTTCACGACTGGAGTCCCTGAGATCACCGACACAATCTCGTCTTCCTTTTGCGGGTTACGTGGAAGGACGGCCACCGTGTGAGCTCCCACAATGTTGATGCTTAGCTCTCGTACCTTCTCCTGATCGGTGGTGAGCCCCCAAGAATTGTCATCGCGTTCGACGTTCCAGCTTAAGGCACCTTTCAATGGCATGTAGCAGACGAGTGACACATGGCGCTGGTAGGCAAAATCCTCCTCGATCGCCTTGCGCTTGAAGACTTGGAGCATGATGGTGATTTCGTTGTATTCGGCGCGCATTTTGACTTTGTAGATTGATCGGTATGACACTATCAAATGCTATGATATTGCTGCAAAGGATGCCAGGCTTTTGATTTGGAATGAAGACTTCAGGGGCTGATGAACACAGCTTAAACTGACAGGAACTGAGAGATATTTAAGTCAAGAAGGAGCCACGGTACGTTTTCATATAACTCACTCGACTATGATATCTTGACTGGGTCGAATGCCATCAGATTCCAACACCGACCAGATGACCCTTGATGCTGCAGTCTAAGTCACAAGAAGACCTCGAGGAGAAATGGCGTCTCTGCAAAAGTTACAAGGTAGGATCCGCCAGCGCAGGCCCTGGGGGTTGTTGATGTGATCCATAGACCGGATGGTCTGCGAATGACCTCAAACCTGGGGTCTAAATAGGGTAATCATGAATCGGACTGGCAAGAGTGAAGAAAAGCACAGGAGATGAATACAACCTACTAATTCCAACGAAGTTGAATTGCTCTGTTGGTATGCTCGTAGCCTTGATTCGGTCTGATCATGCCTGCACGGCTATACAAAGAGTTCATTATACCTGTGATCCTGATGTCTACCCAGTCAGACGTCTATATGCAGTATAAGCGGACTACCCTTGAGGCTAAAACTATTGCCAAGAAGGAACCCATCCGTTAAGTACCGGATCTCTACAGCGTTGTGCTAACCAATAGATATCCTCCGTCACTTGTTGGGGGGCGTCCTTGGCTGAGAGTTGAATACCAATCAATTACGGACTAATTATTATAATGTGACTGTCTATCCAGTAAGAACTCTGCCCATAGATTTGGCGAACCTCCTACTTAAGTAGAAATTACCAGCTAGTCAAATCCTGTCAGGTTTACTGCGGCTGTTACTTCGCCCGAACAAGCTAGGTTGAGCCAACCTGGGCATCATATTAGCGCCCGAAGGTCCAAACTAGATCTATGGATAGCATCAAACGCCAGCCCAGTTCACTCGCTAGCTAATGGAGGGTACAAAATTACTATAGCAGGCATATCTAGCCATCGGGGAGACTGCAGACGCTCGGATGTTTGGGTTGATAGAATCTAAAGATGTAGTCCACACTCGTGAGGTTGTTTCGAGGGCCGTCCGTTCCGGAGATCCTTCTTTCACCTATAGAAGGATCTATTTATCACAACAAACAAACTGCACAACGTTAGGTTCTGATATTTTTCATGCTATCATGTATTTCTAAAGTTGGTTACCCGATGGTGTCGCATTTCTCGTAAAAATGTGTTTTTTGACTCGATATCGAAAGCAGCAAGAGGTAGACTTCAAACACACCCATGTAGTCAAGATGAACATTGACCGATCCATGTAGAATTCTTTATTTGCGCTCTTAATTAAGCTATAGCTGGTTTACCCCTCAGCCAGAGGTTTGTCGACAGCCTGTTACTTCCGGGAATGTCGGACCCCCATGGGTCTGAACAAGGTAATATCAGCTGTGTGAGAATGACAACTCACAACGTCGCTGTGTTTGGTGATTCTTGCCGGACGCTCTGTACTAAGAGCTGTAGGATGGCTTGATTGATGTTAGTTGTCTATTGGAACTGAAAGGGGCGTTGCGTCCCGGGGACCTCGGGGTTACAAGGGGATGCGTAGGCTCATCATACTCAGTAAGACCTTGTGTTGAATATCATTTCTTGGCAATAGCTCGAGGCTCAATCCAAGGCACACTCGAGCTGGCGTCTCTGCTCGTATTTCCAGGCTGGCTAGTGTGATTCCGGAAGTTCCATCTGCATGCGTTCAGGCTGGTGACTATGGCGTCCTATCTTGTGACACAACATCCTACACTCACGATGTCGCTCAAGTAGTAGGAACAAGCAATCATAGAGATTAGATCTTGAGATAATTGTAGCCGGACCTTTCACCGTTAGACGGTGAAGCCCGACTTGTTGTCTCGAAGTAGAACCGTCAGCTGGGTCGATTTACCGATCCAGATATTTCTGGCAATCTCATCAATAGCCATCTTTCAACGGATATTCTAAAGGCTTTGGATTGCGCGGGCAATGGTTTTGTTTCTTTTCAATCTCCTTCTCATGAACTCACACCTTCTGGCCCCCACCCCGCTCCTACTTTCTGTCTTCACCTCTGTCCCCCTTCTACTTTTATTCAATTCATGCTAATCTACTGCATCCTTTCAGCTTTCGATCTAGCTCCCCTCTCTTTGAAAACGATGTTTCCAACATCAAACCCTCTGGTCCAGCCGCCGCCCCACTACAGCGTGGGAACCCTCCAGCTTGCTTTCAGTTGTCGCACGAACTGATATGAGACCCCCAGCGCCGACCGGCAATCAATGTGGCCAAGCCCACCAACGGATAAAATGAAATTGAAAACGAACCGAAAAACCAGGCTTGGCTCGAGGATATGATACATATGAGGCTCATGCAGATCGAAATAGTCATCGGCAACATTTGGATAGAGTTATTCCGCCGAAAGTATAAAATCCAAATTCAACTCAATCTATTATACCCCCAAACCTTCTTTGCATAGCTGTATACTGATATTGTTCTCAAAAGAGTGGTTGAATGTCGTCGGACGGACCTAAAATAAACTATCAACCTTCCACGGCAAGGCGATGCGGGATGCGGGAAAGTGGATACCACGCTAACCGCATTGGGTGGGGTTATGGGAATGCTACTTACACTCTTCGACTCCGTAGAGTTGTGAGTATTTCGAAAGTTGCATCTTCATGATATGATTTTATTTGCAGGCGTGATATATTTTAGGATACATTTTTGATGAACGAGTCTATTGTTGAGGGTATCTTCTTCTACCTGCTAGATAGCTTGATCTCTCGCTCTTCTCTCTATTCAAGGCAGAGCCCAAGTCTCAAGATACGATTGTTTACGTCTACTTCTTTGATACTCGGACTCAATGGTTGGGGGCAATAATGCCCCGATGTGGATGAAACATGTCAACGACAGACTTAGACGTAAATTGTCTATCTTTAGGTGGGAACATGATGGATTGACAACTTCAAGACGGGGATATTGAAAATCGGAATGAGGTCATGGGGACATGTGTCCTGATCTCTACCTGTGGATTGACGACAAAGCCCACCAGGGTATGCAGTAGCCTTGTGCTCCACCTCATCGATCGGCAACACGCTTCTTGTCGAGAATGTCCACCTCTTTACTTCCAGTGTCAACGTCAAAGGATGTCGGATTCTTCGAATAGAGAGATGAAAGAACGAATATTGCCTTCGGAGAGTAATATTGTCAGCCTGAATCTGATGCTCTGGGCTACCTTTGAAGACCCATGGACTTGCAGCCCAGGCGGCTGATATGCAACTCACACAATCGGTTCTGATGTCTCAGTGGCCCTAGCAATGATCCCCTCTCTCTCTCATGCATATCTTCATCGCAGTGACGAACTCGTCCGCAAAAGTGCATCCATAGCATTTATTCAGTATTTCCACAGCAAGCTGGGGTTCTGCGACTGATTGCATCAAGTAGCCCACCAGCCTTTTAGATAGATTGTACCACCTTTCAGCATTAGGATCATTGACGGGCGGTCGAGGCACATTGACATCAATCAGTAAGTGCAGGTGATGTGGACGCAGCTCGTTGTACACCGTCTCGTACCACATGTGGTAATATTCATAACCGTTGTAGGGGCCGAAATAGCGATCGTGGAGTTTTAGTATCGGGTTGATGTCCTGCAGATAGAAAGTGTTTTGGTCAGGTAGACCGGATCCTTGGTTGACGCTCATTGCTCTTTCGACCTCGCCCCAAGTACGGTCGTGAGGCGCACCTGGGCCCATGATGGGCTGACCCTCGTCTCGGGGGAGCTCGAGTTTCCCAGGGGATTCTGGTACTCTGAGAATGTACGTCATGGCCGCGAAACGGTAATAGGCGATGATATGAAGTGA